AAGAGAGGGATAGACATAGAAAGATTGCATTCATCTGGGGGATATAAAGTAACAAAGTATGAGATTAATACCCAAGAATAGCTGAGATCAGCACCAGGAGGATTACTCCATAGCTTAGAGGCCAGCCGGGCATTCTAGGGGAAAGGGCAGCTTAGATAGAGAAGGGAACACCAAATAAAGGGTGTTTGGAGGATCCTCCCAGGAGGGGAGATGCATGTCGAAAGTAGACTATGGACTGAACATGTTTGCCACTCAATGCCTCTTTTGCAGACCACAACACCCAAAAGGAGAGAGAGAACACAGGGGATTGCCCTGCCACAGAGACAGGGGTGGATGGGGGGATGGGGGTGGGGGATATTATCCATGGTGGTGGAAAATGGGCACTGGTGGAGGGATGGGTATCTGATCATTGTATAATCGAAACCCAAGCACAAAAAATTGTAAATCTACAACTGTAAAAAATAAAAAATAAAAATAAAGGGAAAAAATTGCCATTGTAGGGGCTGGAACAATAACACAGCGGGTAGGGCGTTTTCCTTGCATGCGGCCGACCCGGGTTTGATTCCCAGCATCCCATGTGGTCCCCTGAGCACCGCCAGGGGTAATTCCTGAGTGCAGAGCCAGGAGTAACCCCTGTGCATTGTCGGGTGTGACCCAAAAATTTTTTAAAAATTGCCATTGTAATCTAGCTGCACATATTTCCATTATAGACCACCCTCATTATAGACCATTAGCTCTACGGATATTTAATAGCAATTCAAACTTACTCTTTCCTTTGACATTTAGCATTTGTTTATCAAAGTGACTCTCTCCCATACCTAGGTCAATAGTGGGCATTGGGAATAAATGGTTTTTGAACAGAAAATAGAGTCACATAAGCAAAAGGGACAAATACCCTATATAACCCAGTGCCTGTTTCTGAAGGCAGCATACATTAGTTTCTTGGGTAGCCATCTGGATAGCAGCACATGAGGAAAGCACAGTAGGTGAATTTGCAAAAGCTGTCATACAAATATAGCCCAGGAGGCTTGAACAGTGTCTCACGGTTGGGGGAGACTTAAAGTCCCAGATCACTGTTAGTACATTTAACTTTTCTTTTTGTTTTCTTTTTGGGTCACGCCCAGTGATGCTCAGGGGTTACTCCTGACTTTGCACTCAGGAATTACTCCTGTTGGTGCTCGGGGGAACATATAGGATGCTGGGAATCGAACCCGGGTCGGCCGCATGCAAGGCAAACGCCCTACCCACTGTGCTATCACTCCAGCCCTGGTATATTTACTTTCCGCATGTGCCATGCCATCCTTGCGCACAGACAGCCCGGCCGAGCCGGGTTCGATTTCTCCACCCCTCTCGGAGAGCCCAGCAAGCTACCAAGAGTATCTCGCCTGCACGACAAAGCCTGGCAAGCTACCTGTGACATTCGATATGCCAAACACAGTAACGAGTCTCACAATATTACTGGGCCCGCTCCAGCAAATCGATGAACAATGGGAGGACAGTGAAACACCATGAGGTACAGTTGTGGACTTACAAGTTTTTGTGCTTGGGTTTCAGTTATACAATGATCGAGTACCCATCCCTCCATCAGTGCCCATTCTCCACCACCGATGATCCTAGTATCCCTCCCACCCCCCCATCCCCCTCATCCCACCCTGCCTCTGTGGCAGGGCATTCCCCTTTGTTCTCTCTCCTTTTGGGTGCTTTGGTTTGCAAAAGAGACATTGAGTGGCAATCATGTTTGGTCTATAGTCTACTTTGAGCATGCATCTCCCATCCTGGGAGGATCCTCCCAACACCCTTTACTTGGTGCTCCCTTCTCTATCTGAGCTGCCTTTAACTCTAGCATGTGCGGCTGGCCTCCAAACCATGGAGGGACCCTCCTGGTACTTATCTCAGCTATTCTTGGGTGTTAGTTTCCTATTTTGTTACTTTATATTCCCCCAGATGAATGCAATCTTTCTATGTTTGTCCCTCTCTTTCTGACTCATTTCTCTTAGCTATTCATGGGTACTTATTGTTCCATATGAATTTCAGGAGTATTTGCTCCATTTCTTTGAAGAATGTCATGGTTATCGTTATAGGGATCGCATTGAATTAGTACAATGCTTTGGGGAGTATTGCCATTTTGACAATGTTAATTATCCTGATCCATGAGCAAGGGATATCTTTCCATTTTATCGTGTCCTCTTTTATTTCCTGAAGTAGCATTTTGTAGTTTTCTTTGTGCAGGTTTTTTACTTCCTTAGTTAAGCTGATTCCCAGGTACTTGATTTTTCTGGGGCACAATTGTGAACGGGATTGTTTTTTTCATGTCACTTTCTTCTCTCACACTATTTGCATATAGGAAAGCCATGGACTTTTGGATACTGATTTTATAGCCTGCAATGTTACTATACAAGTCTATTGTTTCTAGGAGTTTCTTTGTAGAGGTTTTAGGGTTCTCTAAGTATAGTATCATATCATCTGCGAATAGAGAGAGCTTGATTTCTTCCTTTCCTATGGCTCAAGGAAATTTTTTTGGCTAAACACTTTGGCTCAAGGTAATTTTTAAGAACATCTCTCCAGTCACTTTCTGAGCTACTTGGGGCCTAAGGCTTGAACATTTGAAAGCGCGGGGCACCATTTGTCCCACAGTACTTGCAGGTATTTACAAAATGTCATTTTGATATATGTATAGATTCGAGTAATTTGCATTTGTCTTGTTTAAGCATCATTTCAGTAACATGTCAGTGAAGTATCCAAGGATTAAACTAGTTGGTGTTCGAGCAATCTAGTGCCAGCAGCACAAAATAGTTAAGGCAGGGACTATTGGGATCCAGCCTCACATGGAGACTTACAGAGGTTCACTGCACAGGCTAATTCAAGGAACATGGTATCCAAATGTGACTTCAGACGCGAGCAATGCCTGTCTGGATGCCTCTGCCTTCAACGAAACTGATGCTGGATGAAGAAACCAAGCAAGGCTGGAGAGAAAGTACAGGGGTTATGCCATGTGCCTTACTTGTGGTTGAACCCAGTTCAATCCTTGGCACCATAAGGTCCCCTGAACACCCCACTGCCCAAAAAAAGGCACTTTAGCTAGCGGCAAATTATAATTGCAAATCTGATGATTCTTTAAAGGAAGCTTCGGGTGCTTTGTGTTCTTTTTGACTGAATCAACTTGAGATACAATTACAAAGTCGTTCATGATTCAGCTATTTAGTGTTGCAACACCATCACTCCACCAGTACACATTTCCCACCGCCCATGTCCCTAGATTCCCTTCCGCCTACACCCCCAACCTGCCTCTATGGCAGACACTTTTCTTCTCTCTTCCACTCTCCCCCTCTCCCCCTTTTAGGCACTGTGGTTTGCAATGCTGTTTCTAAAAAAGGTATCCTGCATATCCCTTTCCCTCCTTTCAGCACTCAGATTCTTGCCCAGATCATTTCCAACTAGCATTGTCCTGATAGTCCCTTCTCTGTCCTAACTGCAACCTCCACTTGTGGCAAGATTCCTGCCATGAACAATTCCTCCTGCTCTTGTTTTATTGGCTTTGGGTAGTCTCAGTAAAAGGTACTATCCATAGAGAGGGGACGTGGGTAAACGTTGGGGCTTCATAAAGTAGGTGCAGGATCCATGCCACAGTGCCAGTACTTCTCTGATGAAGTATGATTCCAAGCCACTGGGCACAACCTTTGAGACAGTTCAGTGTTCAGAAAAGGCCAAGTCCTGATCTGAGCACAAACGTTCATTTGCCAGTGATGGGCATATTCCACTGTGCTGTGTGTGAAAGGTGGCGAAGTACAATTCCATCACTGGGTTACTTAATGGTCTCATGAAAATTCCTTAGTTCAGATTAAAATAGCCCAGATGTTGTCAAAAAATTCTTTGTGTAGTATACATTTTTGTACAAATTGGTTGGTGTTAAGCTTTCACAGTAGCATTACGATGCCTTAATGCCAGTTCTCTGGTAATAGTGTCTGACGGAATAGTTGTGTCAAATAGAAAGGGGACCACTACACAGTTGGTCTATTCCAAGCAATCCCCACTCTGGACCATCAACCAGAAAGTGCTGAAATGACAGAAGAGCCAGCCAACAGATGGAGCACAGGGCCAGGCAGGGGAAGTAAAACCGGATACCTGCCTTTTATTTGGATCACTTTGGAAATTGTCAGTTGCAAATTTGGCATTGGCCTTCGTGTGCTCAGTGGAGCCTGATTCCCACGTTGTTCTAGTGTTCTGAAATCTCTGGTGATGTCAACTATCAACTGCCACCAGATCTAAGTTCGGCCAGCTCTTAACCTTTTGTATCAAGCCCCTGATTTTCCCTTATACAGATCCTGGTTCAGTCTTAGGCCCAGTACTGCTGTGGTTTGTGCAGCTGCCTGGACTCCAACCACAGACTCCTCACCCTCCCTCCTGCCTTCACACCAGGGTAATGAGGCAATGAAATGGGTCCAGGTGTTTGCGATCACCATGGCTGAAAATCACCCGGATCGGTGAGAGTGTATCTTTGCTGGCATCCTAAGATGCTCAGGCCCAGGTAGCCTGGACCCTGGTTGAGCAGTCTGAGCTCTGCACAATGGGGTGAGCCGTGTATTAGCCTGTGGACTTATTATTTTTTTTTTCAGAAAATATCGATAGTTGTTTATTTTTTTTAAATTTTTATTAGTGAAACACCGTGAGGTACAGTTGTAGACTTACAAATTTTTGGCTTGGATTTCAGTTATACAATGATCAAATACCCATCCCTCCACCAGTGCCCATTTTCCACCACCACGGTCCCAGATCCCTCCCACCCCCCATTCCACCCTGCCTCTGTGGCAGGGCATTCCCCCTTGTTCTCTCTTTCTTCTTTTGGGTACTGTGTTTTGCAAGAGAGGCATTGAGTGGCAATCATGTTTGGTCTACAGTCTACTTTCACCATGCATCTCCCATCCTGGGAGGAAATGGGACTGCAACTGTGGTGGCCTAAGAAACGCGCTAAAAATTCAATACTCAACAACCATCATCTCGCACAAACATCTTTATTTAACAAATCAAATAAATAGCAGGGGTAAAAAATTAGGGCAGTGATTACACACAAGGATATGAAAACAAAGTTAGATTTCACAAGCTATTCAGAGTGAAACAAAATCCTTCCAGTGTGTACATGCACAGGAGCGAAGATAATGCCCGGCTACATCACTTGCCTTTAAAAGGACATTTAGTATGTCACACTAAGTGTCCACACTTTTTACAGTACATACAACAGATGAATTGTTTTGTCCCCTGTGGTGTCTAGCTTAAAAGGCTGAGTGTAATGCCAATGTAATAATGCAAGCTGGAAGAAAAGGTTTTCACTGTAATTCTCAAAAGCCTTACAACTTTTTTGCTAATACAGATCTTACGAGGTTTATTTCATCTTTAGTTGACTGGCTATGGAGAAAGAATGCTAAGCACATAAAAGTGCGGCCAAAGCGATCGTACAGCGAAGGGGCTGTTTGCTCCCTGGTTGGTACTCCATATGGTCCTCTGAGACCGCTAGGAGTGATCCCTGAATGCAGAACCAGGAGGAAGCCCTGAGCACCACCAGGTGTAGCTCAAAAAGACAAAAGGAAAAAAAAAAGAACCTACTAAGCTGCTTTGGTTGCAGCCTCCCATCTTACAAAAGCAGGTTCAGGATTCAAGAATGACAGTGGCATCACTGTACCCAGAGTCACCTGGCCACACACAAAAAAGCTGCTTACCCTGCATTCCTAGAGACTGCTACTATGTAGGCTGCCGATATATTTGGGGGGGGGGGGTGTTGGGGCACACCCAGCAGTGCTTAGGGTTTACCCCTGGCTCTATATCAGGGATCACTCCTAGCGGTGCTTGGGGCACTATATGGGATGCCAAGGACCCAAGCTTGGTAGGCCGTGTGCAAGGCAAGCTCCCTGTCTGCTGCGCCATATCGCTCAGGCCTCTGAGATACATTTTTTTTTAAAATAGCAGCTCTATAGCTAAGCCTGTGTATCTGCCACCAAATCCATTCTCTACTGTGAAAACGTATCTGCCTGCCAAATCTTGACAATGACATTTGTCTCTGGGTCCTTACTACATCAAGCATGAACTATATGAATCTGGAGAGTCAGAAACGTATGCTCATTTTTTTTTTTGCTTTTTGGGTCACACCCGGTGATGCTCAGGGGTTATTCCTGGCTCATGCACTCAGGAATCACTCCTGGCGGTGCTCGGGGGACCATATGGGATGCTGGGAATCGAACCTGTATCGGCCATGTTGGCTGCGTGCAAGGCAAACGCCCTACCCGCTGTGCTATCCTCCAGCCCCAGAAACGTATGCTCATTTCTTAACATGAAAGATATTTCGTGATTAACAATGAAAAGCTCTTTATAAATAACATTCATTGGCAAACGCAAGACTGTAGATAATCAAAGGAAATGGAATATACTACTTTTAACATACAAAAGAAATTTTATGAAGTTTAAACAAAATTCAGATTACAACAACAAAAAATTTCTTAGAGTGTTTAATCAAATTACTTAGAATGTGCACACCTTTTAGGTCCACTCTATCGCCAACACTGTTTACTTCTGAATTTTTCAGAATTCAGCTTAGAAGGTGTTTCTTCCCAAGAAACTGAACTTTTCGGTCAAATGCACTTGATCGTATCGGAGAATTGGGTTCGTAAAATGGATTCATAGCAAACTAGGAAAGAAGAAGGTAACCTTGTCAAAATAAAGCAGTCAACAAATTACAGGTAAGCATAAAAGGAAACCATCATGGTCACGGTCCTCCCATTATTCACGATTTGCTCGAGTGGGTCCAGTAACGTCTCCATCGTGAGACTTCTGGTTACTGTGTTTGGCATGTTGAATACATCACAGGTAGCTTGCCAGGCTTTGCCATGCGGGTGAGATACTATCAGTACCTTGCCGGGCTCTCTGAGAGGGGTGGAAGAATTGAACCTGGCTCGTAAAACAAATGCTGGGACGAAGAAACCAAAACCACAGTATAGTGGGTCGGGTATTGGCCTTAGATGCAGCCAACCCAAGTTCAGTTCCTGGCAGCCAATACGTTCTCCAGAGCCCTCCAGGAGTGATGCTTGTGTGCAGAGCCAGGAGTATGCCCCAAGTAGTGCAGGGTGTGGTCAAAAAACAAGAAGCAGCAGCAAACTAATGGTGGGATAATTAGGGTTGACTGCCCATGTAAGTCATTACATTTCAGGACTTATCTGTGTGAAATACGAAGTTCTATTTTTTTTTTTTTTTTTGCTTTTTGGGTCACACCTGGCGATGCTCAGGGATTACTCCTGGCTCTGCACGCAGGAATTCTTCCTGGCAGTGCTTGGGGTTCCATATGGGATGTTGGGAATTGAACCCGGGTCAGCCGCGTGCAAGGCAAACTCCCTACCCACTGTGCTATTGCCCCAGCCTCTGAAGTTCTAAATTTATAGTTAGTAAATATTAAGCTATTAGTTCTAATGGTCCTCTAGTTACATGAGCTCAAAACCTGCAATAGAGCGATAGCACAGCGGGTAGGGCGTTTGCCTTGCACGCTGCCAACATGGCCGACCCGAGTTCGATTCCTCCGCCCCTCTTGGAGAGCCCGGCAAGCTACCGAGAGTATTCGATATGCCAGACACAGTAACAACAAAGTCTCCAATGGAGACGTTACTGGGCCCGCTCGAGCAAATCGACGATCAACGGGAGGGCCTTTACCTTTTACCTTTACCACACTTCCATTAAGAGTTAGTTTCGGGTGGGAATGTTTCAACAATAAGGCTTTTGTTCTGGTGTTTTTTTGATGCCAGGAATTGAACCCAGGACCTCAAGCACAGAAGGTGCTTTCTCCTACTGCTGAGCCATATCCCCAGCAACACTCTGGCTTTTAAAATCTCCTTTATTTTTCTGGGGCTGGAGTAATAGCATAGTGGGTGGGGCGTTTGCCTTGCACGCGGCCGACCCGGGTTCGATTCCCAGCGTCCCATATGGTCCCTTGAGCGCTGCCAGGAGTAACTCCTGGGTGCAGAGCCAGGAGTAGCCCCTGTGCATCGCCGGGTGTGACCCAAAAAGCAAAAAAAAAAAAAACCTTTATTTTTAATTATTATTATTATTATTTGCTTTTTTGGGTCACACCCGGTGATGCACAGGGGTTACTTCTGGCTCTACACTCGGGAGTTACTCCTGGCATTGCTCAGGGGACCATATGGGATGCTGGGAATCGAATCCGGGTTGGCCATGTGCAAGGCAAACGCCCTACCCACTGTGCTATCTCTCCAGCCCCTTAAAATCTCCTTTAACACAGGGTATGTGGTCAGTTTCTCAGTCATGAGTGTGATTCTGACATGTGAGAGAAAATAAAATATTAAATGGAGTCACTAAAATGAAAAGGAGTTTCCATTTTTTTTAACCCCTTAAGCATTTACATGAGGGCAAGTTATTTGTTGGTGTTGGTCTGTTTTTTTTTATCTTCCATAGGTAGTTTTGCAATTTAGGGAAATATAAATGTATAATTCAAATATTTTGTTTAGTAGTGCCGGGGTCAAACCCAGGTCTCATGCATATAATGCATAATCTTTACCAGTCCCCGGCCTTTTCCCAGTTTCACTGAGAAATAATTGGCATCAATCACTGTTGATGTTTAATGTGAATAGCATAACAATATGCTCAACATATGGTGAACTGTTACCATAATCCACACAGCAACATCTCATTGTCTCATGTAGATAAAATCACTGTCCTCCCATTGTTCATCGATTTGCTCGAGCGGGCACCAGTAACGTCTCCATTGTGACACTTGTTACTGTGTTTGGCATATAGAATACGTCACGGGTAGCTTGCCAGGCTCTACCGTGCGGGCGAGATACTCTCGGTAGCTTGGCAGGCTCTCCGAGAGGGGCGGAGGAATCGAACTCGGGTCGCCCATGTTGGCTGTGTGCAAGGCAAACGCCCTACGTACTGTGCTCTCGCTCTAGCCCATAGATAAAATACAAAGGAAAAAATATTTTCTCCATGTGACGAAAAAACCATCTTTAGTATCTGCCCTACAGACTTTTTTAAAAAATAGGGTAATACTGGGTTAGAAGACTGGGTTTCACATGTAGTCTCTGACCTCAGCAGGGGACAGATGACACCATCAAATGCCCCAGCACCAAATGGCCCAGAGAGGGTTGATGTTCTGATTTGCTAGTTCTGATAAAAAATATTGTCACTGTGCTGATATTGCAAAATTGCATCCAAATTCATACCCCTTAAATTATTAAGAACATGCTGCTATTAGCAGTGCACTTCAACCACTGATGTCCTAGCATTCTTTTATTTTTCCAAATCGGTCGAAAAATGTGGGCAGCACACTCTCCTATGTGAATTGCTTCCTGCCCGTTTATGACCTATGTGCATTTCACCTACAGGTAAAGTAGATGGAAAACATTTCAGAGGGAAATGATGAAGCAATTTCCCCATCCATAGAAAACTGCTTCTTTCCCTTTATGGTTCCCTAATAAAATCAGCTATAGGCATGAAAAGGGGGAGAATGAATCCTGTTTCAAAATAACCCTACATACATGTAACCTGGGCTGGAGCGATAGCACAGTGGGCAGGGCGTTTGCCTTGCACGCAGCCAACCCGGGTTCGATTCCTCCATCCCTCTCAGAGAGCTCGGCAAGCTACCGAGAGTATCTCAGTTGCACAGGCGAGCCTGGCAAGCTCCCCGTGGCGTATTCGATATGCCCAAAACAGTAACAAGTCTCACAATGGAGACGTTACTGGTGCCCACTCGAGCAAATCGAAGAACAACGGGAGGACAGTGCTACTACAGTGGTACATGTAACCTGGTGGTTAAGACTTGCTCTTGAGGGACCTGCCAGGATAGTTCAGGTAGGAGAAGAGCTGGCTGGCCTGGAAAACAATGACTCCAAGACAGCTACTTCCACAGGCTCATTTCAAGTCATTTGGACCCCTTTTATGATCAGAGATCTACGGGTAGGAACATACCTTTATGTATAAGTCATAGACATCAGTAAAGAAGTTCTTTATTCCATCCTCCTGTCTTACATCATGCAGCATGATGAATCGCATATGTGAACAAATTAAGGTATAATCATAGAAATGAGAAACAAACCCAACTGCTCGATACAACAGTCTTCAGATGAATCACATGCAGTGTAATCGGCAAAGGGAAAGGTGAATCGGGAAACTGGGCTCGGAGTGAGGAGAGCTGAGGTGGCAGCATATACTTGGCACACGGGAGTCCAGGTTTGAGCCCTGGCAGTGCAAAATCCTCCCACCCCCAGGCATAGCCTCGAATGTTGCTGGGTGCGGCCCTCAAACCAAAAAAGCAAACAAGCAAATTCTACAACGTTGGGGGACTTTTAAAGAGAAAAATCATCTGTGTTTGTAAGTTAGAAAAGAACTACAGACCCAGGGCAAGCAGCATAGCTACCCCAGCATCAAAATGGAACAGTCTAGAAAGCATAAAGCATGGTCTTGATGCAAACACTGATGACTTAAGAGACAGGACCCCTGGGGGTAGGAAAAGCTAAACTGATGTGAGGACTTAGTCTGAGATTTATGGTAAAAGCCCAGCCAGCTTCTAAACTTTATCCCTGAGCACAGAGAACTAAGGGAATCTGTATCTCCTGCCGTGTTTATCAAAATAACTGTAAGTATCAATAAGAAGTAAACTTAATTGTTCAATATGGACGAGCAGCAAGGAAAAGTGAAAAGCAACATGAATGCTTGTCAGCTGTGAGCGATTTCTCAGTGTAGCATAAGACAGAGCATCTCCTTGAGTTAATCCCCCTGTGAGAACTGCATCCACTGAAATGCTTTACCTCTGTAAATCATCAAACACACCTACGTGCAGTCCTATACCTTGAATCCCATCAGATATTCTACAAGTATGCTAACAGCTCTGAAATAAACAGGCACTCTGACCATCAGAAAGAAAGAAAGAAAAAAAGAAAGAAAGAAAAAAAAACAACAAAACTAAGGAAAATCACCTGGCTATGGCTCAACTAACCCTTAGTATTCTATGAGACCTGGTTTTGAAATGATCTGCTTAAACATAAAGAAATAAAATCATCTGCTTAAGACACATTTTCCCCCCTAAAAATAAAAAAGTTGCTGCATCACATGGCACTTTCCCACCACTTTACAGTGACCAGACGCAGACCCTAGCACCTATGTGCCCTGCATTTTCAGTTCATTCCCCTGACCTTTCCTGAGGCCTCTTACTGAGCAGTAAGGATATGACCTGCAGTCACAAAGGCTGAGACAAACCACTCGTTGAACTTGTCGACAGTTTTCAAGTACATGTTGTTTGACAGCCACATATTTTCATCCACCAAGTCGAGTGCAGCGTGCGCTATGAACTGGTTCAGATGGCGATGGTCATCCTGGAAGACAGCGTGAGGGATAACGTTTCCTGAAAGTCAGCGGGAACCCTTGCCTTGACAAAGCTACTGTCAACTAGTAAATGACCATTGACAGCTTTGACGGGATTATTGGCGTGAGACTTCACAAAGTGCTTCTGTGCTTCGCATCAAATACTTTGAAATTTGGGATCAAAACGCAACAGAAACGGTCAATGATTTCATGAAATGTGCTCAGGAACCTTTAAAGGTAAGGTTTTTTGCAGGTGTACAAAGGAATTTACCCAATTTTAAGACCGTATGAACATGAGGAAAATGAACTGCTAAGGAAAAATTGCTAAGGGAAATTGTAGGTCCTGCTTCCATGCTCTCCGGAAGTTCACAGGTAACCAGAGGAGAGGCAGAGGGTGTGGTGATGGAGATAGGGCAGCAATTCAGGCTGGTGAAGGAGCGCCCCAGAGAACAGGTGCTCAGGGCTTCAGTCTGATGTAGGTCTCTCAGGTGGATGATCTCCTAGGCAGGAGGACCAAGAGTGTCAGGGAGCCAGGCTTGGCCCAGCTGTGCGCGGTTTCCTGTCTCAGTAGCAGCAGGGACTCCTATACCGGAAGTGGGCACGAAGGGCTGAGGAGTAAGTGGGGATGTCCTGCCATGACACGGAGAGAGAACTCACCATCATATTCACACACAGTGTCCCAGAATACAGGTGTAGAAATCAAAGTGTGTCTCCCCAAAGTTCTTGAAGTCCTAACTCCAGTACCTTAGGAGGGTGTTCTTACTGGGAAAAATGGTTGCAGATGTCACTAGTTAAGCTGAGAAGACATTAGCAGGTGGGTCCTTAATCCAACATGCAGGTGCACTTATTAAAAGGAATAAATTTCGTGACAGACACCCACAGGAAGAACATCATGTGGAGACTGGACTTATGAAGCTACAAATCAAGGAACCATCAGATGCTGGGTCAGAAGTCTGGATTAGACCCTTCCCAGGCAGCCACAGAGGGGGGACCCAGCCCTGATAAGGCCCGGGCCTGACTTCTGGCCCCCAGAACAGAGACACAAAGTTGGTTGTTCTAAGTCATCCGTGTGTGGTACTGTCTCAGTCGCCTCAGGAACACAATGCCTTGCTGATAAAGCTGTCCCCATAACTGGCCTGCCAGTCAGTTGCCCTAGACTCTTTCAGAGGGCAGAAGCAAATGTACTTGAATCCCATTGCCATGGTGAAGCTAAGTTCATCTTCAGAGATATGGTTTTATTGTGTGTCTGGTTCTAGGCTGTGGTTTCCATACCTTTACACTGATAAAGATCTTCTGATCTTTGAAGACTTGAAGAAAATGCAAAATGCTTTAAGAAGATGAGTGGCATCAGGAGAACTGGAATGAAGTCATGGGACCATGTGTTTCGGTATGCACGACAGTGCTGACCACCGGCAATCATGTTGCTGCAAAGCAATTCATTGCTACAGAGGTGTTTCAAAGGAGGTTTCATTTATGTCTTTAGTTTTGGGGCCACAGGGAGCTGCTTGGAACAGAAGCAGCTGTGCAGACCTTGGGCAAATATCTAGAAAGCAACTACATGGGATCCAAACCCATGGATCTCTTTTAAAACTCACACACAAGTTAGAAAGGTGAAGGACGTGGCTTTTCCAGCGGGCGGCCACCAGTTATACTCCCCAACTACAACCCATAAAATCTATCTCCAAAATAGCTCCACGTGGTTACAAAGGAACACCAAAATGGAAGGGAATATCCTAGAAGGGGAAAGAAGAGATCACCACCCCCAGGCTGCCACAGGCACTATGGGAAGACATTGCAGAACCCCACCATGAGGGGGGAGGAGGCTAGGAGCCCTGAAGCCCCTACATGGAATACTCACATACAAAATCTCTCTGATAAAGAATTCAGAGAGGAAATGGTGAGGATGTTCAATGAGTTCTAAGTAATGGTGAAATGGACATCCAATAAAATACAGGAAGATGTGAGAGCAACAGTGAAATGGACAGTCAATAAAATACAGGAGGAAATGAGAGCAGAAATAAGAAAACTACAGAAATGTCATTAATTAAAAACTTGGTAGATGAAATGAAAAACTGAATGGGTGACCTCAACAGTTTTATGGCAACAGCCGAAGACAGAATCAATGAGCTTGAAAATGTGCTCCAGAAAGCATATAGGCAACAACAAAAGCTGGGAAAGAAGACCTCAAAATAGTCTGGGGGCCACATCCAGCAGTGCTCAGGGCTTACTCCTGGTCCTGTGCTCAGGGGACCATCTGCGATGCTGGGGATCAAAGCAGGGTCAGCTGCATACAAGGCTAGTGCCTTAACCCCTATACTATCTCCCCGGGCCCCCAAACAATAATTTTGGGGTCACACCTGGTGATGCACAGGGGTTACTCCTGGTTCTGCACTCAGGAATTACCCCTGGCGGTGCTCAGGGGGCCATGTGGGATGCTGGGATGCTGGGAATTGAACCCAGGTCGGCCACATGCAAGGCAAACACCCTACCCACTGTACTATTGCTACAGCCCCCAAACAATATTTTAATACTCATACAAATATGGGAGAAGAACGAAGCAAGATGGGGCAGGCAATACCTCAAATGCTTCTATTGTATCTTAGTGACGAGATCCCAACAGCTGAAATGCAACATACGCTAGAGACATTCTGCATCAGGATTCACTTCCGAAATCAAGTGCTTCCTTACAGGACATTAATGCTTGTTTGGGGAGACTGGGAGAAACAGGGCATGACCTGCTGGCAAGATGCCAGGAATGCAGACTAACGGAGTCTGAGGCTCTGTTGATGCCGAATTGCCACGTGTTCTTGAACCAAGCTTGTTGTTCTGGCTTTGTTCTCGACACAAGTGTGGTAACAGCATGGAGAGAGCATAACCTCCACCCCAGCACAGGGAGAACTCACTGAACACAACCAGGCTGCAGACTTACTCCGGCAACGCGAGCAGCAGTGAACGAGGCAAGTCTACTGCTCCCAGATGGAAACGGATCTTTTAAGATCCAATTAGAAACCATGTCGTAATGGAAAAGTTGACTCACTGGAACAGAATGGGTTCAATGAGCATTGTTCCAGGGCACTGTGCATTCGGCTGTGCCCCAGGATCAGTTTCCCTACTCAGCTCCTGTGAATGAGTGTCAGGGGCAGAGACCTGGAGTAGCCTGGCAGGGAGTGCGCAGTAAGTGTGTGCTCTACCACACACTGGGATGAAGAAACAAGTTGTGACATTCCCTGGTGGGCTTCTCTTTCCCCGTGGGAGGTTCCAGATCCCCCATGTGCCCAGATCTCTTCCGGTCCTAAAGCACATGCAATTTCATGGAATACATTAAGGCAATATACCTACTTTGGACTCAGCTTTTCCAGGTGGCAAAAACTCCATTTCAAAAATTGGATTATCATGATGGCCAACAATAACAAAGTAGTAGCTTCCAGACATCCTTTTTGACGTAGGCGCTCCTAACGGAAAACAAGAAATAGTTTGAGTACTGATTGCTCAAAGCCAAAAGTGGTTAACAGGAAGACTAACATTTTAAAATTTTTACTTAAACCCAACAGTGTAAAGGCATGGGGGTGCTTGGCATGCTTCCTGGGCCCTGAGCCTAGTTACACAGCTTGTAGACTAGAACCATGATATAATCAGGCCACATCCTGTAGAAGCTGACGCACTTCTTTAGTGATACTTTCTCGTGGAAACTAGAAGACCTGTCGAATGAAATCCTAAACTGACAGCCTTATGAGTGGAACATTTGGAACATCCCACTCAGTGGACACAGTGTCTAGTGGCATGAGTTGGGTTCACATGAAATCAAACATGTTAGCATTCAAAACACTGAAATAGGGCTGGAGCAATAGCACAGTGGGTAGGGCATTTGCCTTACACATGGCCGACCCGGGTTCGATTTCCAGCATCCCATATGGTCCCCTGAGCACTGCCAGGGGTGATTCCTGAGTGCAGAGCCAGGAGAAAACCCTGTGCATTGCCAGGTGGGATCCAAAAAGCAAAAAAAAAAAAAAACAAAAAACAAACAAAACACACACACAAAAAAAAAAAAACACAAAAAAACCCCCAACAAACCAAAAACCAAACACTGAAATAAAGAACTGTGGGTGATCAGGGAGGTTTAGTCGCGGGGAACATGTGACTGAGGCGTGCCAGAACCCAAAGCCCAGCAAGACTGTGTGGGACTCCTGCAGACCTACACAGCACACAGGGCAGAGGAGAGTAGCAGACACCCACTTGTTAAGAAAGCAGCAGTGTGTGAAGGAAGTGAGGCCCTGCTGGTAACTGCCCTCTGGGACAGGAGAGCAGACAGGAGAGGCTTTGGACAGGATGAAGGATGCGAAATGGAAAATGGTATTTGGGGCAGGGCTTCTCTCTCCAAGAGCCCAGGCGAGCAGCTGCAAGACAGGACACTCACCCCCAATGCCAAAACCTACTATCTGCCATCTTTTTTTTCTTTTTGGGTCATACCCAGTGATGATCAGGGGTTACTCCTGGCTTTGCACTGAGGAATTACTCCTGGCAGTGCTCGGGAGACCATATGGGATGCTGGGAATCGAACCCAGGTCAGCCGCGTGCAAGGCAAATGCCCTACCCGCTGTGCTATGGCTCCAGCCCCCTATCTGCCATCTTCCAGAAAAGACTGAAGCCTGTTCTGGAGGAAAGACCAGGGAAAGACCCGAATTGTCACACTAGAGAAGCGGGAACCAGTAACTAGAGAAGCAAAGGTAAGAAAACTAGAATGGAAGAGAGAGCTGAGATGAAATGAGAAAACAGTTCTCAAGAGAAAGCGAAGGGAAGAGGAACTGAAACATGAAATTTTGACAAAGCCAGTGCTACTCATTCCTGCTGGAATAAGTCTCATGGCTGGAGTCTGCCAAGGGGAAAGCTTATGTTCTTCAGCATAAACATTAACTAAGCTGCAGGGCCGGAGTGAGGGTAAGGTGCTTGCCTTGCATGTGGCTGACCCCGATTCGATCCCTGGTACACCAGATGGTCTCCTAAGCCTGGCAGGAGTGGCCCTGAGGACCAAACCAGGAGTAAACCCGGAACACCATTGGGTGTGGCTCCCAAACAAACAAAAAAATCCATTTAAATGGGAACAACAGCAAAAAAAAATTTACATAGATAAGATCTTCCCCCACATAGGTATTTCACTAGCAAAGCAGCAGCAGAGAAAGAATGCAAAAGGGAAATCCACCCCCCCCTTCTAACACTCACCCTTCTCTGGAGTCTCTGGCCAGAGAGAAGCAAACAGAGAAGGGATGGCGGCACCTCACTGCGGCTGGAGCACAACCCCAGCTTTGCAGAATCTGAGCTGCCAACAAATGTGATTGCCCCAACCTCCATCGAGGGGCTTTGACGGTCTGGGCGTCGGCAGAACACTGCCATGCACTCAGCACCGGGTGCAGCTACCGGCTCCTGCCTGGGGGAACCAGTCTAGACATTTTCAACCCTTTGGTGTCGTGAAACAGCAGTGGTCCACAGAACCACTGCAGCAGAATGTCAACCGTCGAGAAGCGGATCTTTGTGGGTGAGCGGCAAGGTTAGAGACAGCTGCAATCTGCTGGTCGCTAATAAGGACCTGAGACCAGCGGATGGCGAGTGGGTCTGCAGTCCTGAACTGAAGTTGCATTTCATTTTAACAAATGGACACTTTGTAGCTAGCAGTCCGGGCAGTGCTACTCTTGGTGGATGGTTTCAAACTTTGAAGTTCTGGTAACCCTGCACCTTCACCCACCCGGTACTTGGCTGCAGAGTTGGGAACCGAGGACAAACTGAGTGCGCATGCGCGGGCCCGCCCATTTTTTTCCATCCCGGAAATAGGGGTGCTTCAAGCGTCTCCACGGGAAAACTAGTCTAGACGTGCTGAGGTGGTGCCACGGAACTTGGCAAGAGATTAAAGTGGTAGCTAAGGGAGCCGAGGAGAGAACCAAGAACGTTCCCGAATGTCTGTGGTGATCAAGGAGGATATCAGGGTGCTGCGGCCATTCACCAGGAGAGGAAGAAGGAGAGGAAGAGGGATGAAACGGAATAGCTGCTAACCAGACCCGCGGCCCCTGCTCTTCCACCAACGGCCCCATCGTAATCTCATGCTATTTCACATGCCTCACCACCACCAGCTGCCCCTAGGAGAGGGGGAGGCTCAGGAACATCCAGGTGGGCCCAATGGAAGCACACGGGGCTTTCAAGGAGAGGAAGAAGGTGCACGAAAAAGGTCAGGGGCTCATGGAACACCAGAAGTCCTCTTTGGCTCTGGAGATGCAGGAAGGAGTCAGGTAGTTCGGGTGGCTTCTAGAAGCTGTGAAAGATAAGAAAACATTCCTTCTTGAGTGCCTCGTGGAGGAACACAGTCGAGGAGCTCCTAGTCCTGAACATTCAGAGAAAACCTTGATGGTGTGTCTAAACTACTGGGTTTGTGAACATTACTTATGGCTGCAGTAATGAGGTACTTTTTTTTTTTGCTTTTTGGGTCACACCTGGCGATGCACTGGGGTTACTCCTGGCAGTGCTCAGGGGACCATATGGGATGCTGGGAATTGAACCCCAGTCGGCCGCATGCAAGGCAAATGGCCTATCCACTGTGCTATCTCTCCAGCCCCAGTAAGGAGGTACAAACCTAACAAAGTTATTATGTTACTTTATATTTCACAAATCAGGGGCTGGAGCGATAGCACAGCGAGCAGGGCGTTTGCCTTGCACGCAGCCAACATGGCAGACCCAGGTTCGATTCTGAGCATCCCATATGGTCCCCCGAGCACCGCCAGGAGTAATTCCTGAGTGCATGAGCCAGGAGTAACCTCTGAGCATCGTCGGGTGTGACCCCCCCCAAAAAAAAAATATATATATATATATTTCACAAATCAGTGCAGTCATTCTACGTCTACGCCTGTCTTTCTCTTTCTGACTCATTTCATTTAGCATGATACTCCATATCTATCCACTTGTATGCAAATTTTATGATTTCATCTTTTCTAACAGCTGCATAGTATTCCATTGTGTATATATACCAACGTTTCTTTAACTGTCCTCAGGCATTTGGGTCCCCCCCCAGTTTCTGGCTATTGTAAATAGTGTCACAATAAGCACACAAGTGCAGATGTCATTTCTACTGTACTTTTTTGCATCTCTGGGATATAGTCCCAGAAGTGGTATTGCTGGGTCAAATGGGAACTCAATTTCTAGTTTTTTGAGAAACATAACAGGAGACTAACACCTAAGGATTGTAGAGATAAGGGCCAGGAGGATTCCTCCATGGCTTGGAAGCCGATCTCATGTGCTGGGGGAAAAGGCAGCTGGGAAAGAAAAGGGACCACTAAGTAAATGATGGTTGGAGTGCTTGCTCGGGATGGTAGATGCATGCTGAAAGTAGACTATGGACCAAACATGATGGCCGTTCAGTACCTGTATTGTTAACCCAGAAGGAGAGAGAAAGAGGAAACGTGCCTGCCAGAGGAGGGGTGGGTAGGGAAAGGGTGGTGGTGGTGGGAAGGATACTGGGAACATTGGGGGTGGATAATGGGCAGGGGTGGGGAGGAAGGGATGGGTACCTGATCATTGTATGACTGAAAAGTCTGGAAATGTATCTCATGGTGATTCATTGTAGCACTGCACTGTTGCACTGTCCTCCAGTTGTTCATCGATTTGCTCGAGCAGGTCCAGTAACGTCTCCATTTTGAGACTTGTTGTTACTGTGTTTGGCATATCGAATACGTCACAGGTAGCTTGCCAGGCTTTGCTGTGCGGGCGAGATACTCTCGGTAGCTTTGCCAGGCTCTCCGAGAGGGGTGGAGAATTGAACTCGGGTCGGCCATGTTGGCTGCGTGCAAGGCAAACGCCCTACCGCTGTGCTATTGCTCCGCCTAGTGCTGGCTTGACTTCCTGATCATCGATGTGAGTCCGCCCCCAGCCCAGGCACAGGTGGCTCCCACCACCCTCTTCACACTCCATCTCGCCTACCCCACGCCTCAAGTGGCTCGAGAGTCAGAGGAGGCCGGAGCCGTAATATAGCGTTTGCCTTGCATGTAGCCAACCTGGGTTCGATCCCCGGCATCCCACAGGGTCCCTCCAAGCACCGCCAGGAGTAATTCCTGAGTGCAGAGCTGGGAGTAAGCCCTGAGCATTGACAGGTGTGACCCAAAACCAAACAAAAGAGGAAGGAGGTCAGGGCGGAGGGGAAGTGGGTGCCTTGGGAGGGTGAATGGTGATTCATTAAAATTTCAAAAAAAAAAAAAACCCAAAACACTAAGTGAGAATAATAATGGGGCAAAAAAACCAAAACACTAAGTGAGAATAATAATGGGGGGGGGGGACCTGACAAAGCTGATAAACCTGCAATTTGGGAAAAGGGGAAGAGTCTTTGTTGGAGTGTGGCAAGGGTGGGTGGGCCATGGAGCAGCAGCGGGAAGCAGCAGTGGATGGGAGCAGCCTGTGCAGGCCAGCACAGAAGCCCACCAGTTCCCAGAGCCCACTGCACACACAGTGGCACTTGCCAGGGGTCCGTTTTGTGGATGGATGCGGCACGGAAGCACGGCAGACCTGGACACATCCCTGGGCTCACTCGACACTGGAATGAGCTTTCTCAAGGCTTCAGGACAGAGGCCCAGAGGAGTGCAGAGGCTTCTGGTGAAGTTAAGGTCCCTATAAAGAAATCCTCCACCAGACTGCTGGCTTGAGTGGTGGAAACGGCCACTATCCCTCCGTCCTGGCATCCCTTTATTCAGCCAATAGGCAAGTAGGTTTCTCCAGAGGCACCTTAACACCTAACCTTAACTAAGCTTCCTCCAGGCTTCATAGGTCAGGGGTGGGAACATCCGGCCCAAGAGGTTTGACCCTGGTCCAGGATGGGACAGATCTGGATGCTTCTCCTCAGCTGCCCGTGGCCCATCTGCCTACACTGTATGGCTCGTGGATCAACATCACTGTCCTCCTGTTGTTCATCGATTTGCTCGAGTGGGCCCAGTAACATCTCCATCTTGAGACTTGTTGTTACTGTGTTCGGCATATTGAATACATCACAGGTAGCTTGCCAGGCTTTGCCGTGCAGGTGAGATACTCTCGGTAGCTTGCAGGACTCTCCGAGAGGGGCGGAGGAATCGAACCCGGCTCAGCCTGGTTGGCTGTGCCCAAGGCAAACGCCCTACCGCTGTGCTATTGATCCAACCAGTGGATGGTGTTCTAAATATTCAGTGGCCCTTGGAAGAAAAGAGGTTCCCACCCTGCCTCATAAGAAGCCAAGTGTCACTGCAAGCTCAACAAAAAGGCTATTGGCAACAAAGCAAATGCAACTCTTAAGTCACCCTGAGAGAAGACCATGTCCTCTTCACTAATGGCATCCTCTTTGGGGAACATCCTCAGTTCCGGGAACTGCATTTGAAAAGGATCAATAGCAGAACTCTGCTGGGGGAGGGAGGAATAAAGGATGTGCAGAGGCCAGGGAAAGCTCTGGAAACAAGACCAGGCACTGAAGGAGCTGCAGGTATGGAAAGGGCAAGGATACGGCGCGTGCAATCTCGTCTCTGGGCCAGGAGCTTTAGGGGTATGGGGATCTGTCTCTGACGTGAATGGCCCTGGCTCATTCTCACAGTCTCACAGCTGGGTGGTGGCCGGCAGGAGCTTGTGTGGGGAATGGTTTAAGTGCAGTCCATGGTAAGACTGTCGTGGGGGCTCAGGCCTGCGGTGGAGTGGCCAAAGGGCAGTGCCTCCCCCAGTGCCCAGTATTTCTACCTAGGGACTAGACAGAGTTCTACACAATGGTCAGGAGGCCCAATCTAGGGCGCTTCTTTGGGGTGACACAGTCATTTGGGTCTGTGAGAACATTTGAGCCAAACAATCAGACTGAGGTAACGATTCCCACCCCCAGAAGTGTGCCAGGGGAGGCTGGAAGACCACCAGCACCTTCCAACCCTTAACCTTAAGATTAAGCTGCAGACAAACCAGGCAAAACTCAAGGCTCCAGTGCCAAGGCCACTTTCTTTTTATTTATTATTTTTTTTTGCTTTTTGGGTCACACCCGGCAATGCTCAGGGGTTACTCCTGGCGGTGCTGGGGTGATCATATGGGATGCTGGGAATCGAACCTGGGTCCGCCACGTGCAAGGCAAATGCCCTCCCCACTGTGCTATTGCTCTAGCCCCAAAGCCAACCTATTTTCAGACCAATTATTTTCGGCCTCTAGGCAGACACTTCTAGAAAGCTTCCCTGTGCTCCCAGCAGCAAGGGGTTCCATTGTACCAGACTTGGGGCTGCAGGACTTATTTGGTGTGGCAGAGACACACAGCAAGCTCAGACAAGAGGAGCAGGATGAAGGCACAGACTCAGTCGTCTCTGGGACACTTCCCTGTTACACTTCCCAGCCAATCCTCCTCCCTCGAAGATGCCGCTAGCTCTTGGGCAAATGTTATTTTATTTTTCTCATTCTATTCCACCTTGGGACCGAAGGGTGTACGTGTGTGGGGGGGGGCTCTAGAGGCCTACGGGGGCTGTCCTTAGGTAGCTTTCATTTAACAAGAGACAAGTGAGTCTGTTTTAATAGCATTCGCAACACAGCAACATCCTTCTAGGGCATTTTCATCCATTCAACAAGCTTCAAAGCTTCCTCCCTCTGCAGTCCTTTCTCCACATTCAAGTTTTACCTCTGCTAGAACTGATGTCTACTCTTTGTTTCCCTGCCCTCTTTGACTGTGTCCACTTCAGTACTGGTACTCTTATTTTTCTGCATGCCGGGAATCCCCTCCTCTATTTTTTTTTTTTTTGCTTTTTTGGGTCACACCCAGCGATGCACAGGAGTTACTCCTGGTGTCATGCACTCAGGAATCACTCCTGGCAGTGCTCAGGGGACCATATGGGATGCTGGGAATTGAATCTGGGTCAGCTGCGTGCAAGGCAAACGCCCTACCCGCTGTGCTATTGCTCCACCCCAACCCCCTCCTCTATTCTGAGTCCAAATCTTTCCCATCTTCCAAAGTCCAGCCTAATCCCTCAAGTGATTTCTCAGCGCTAACCTAGAGACTCACAATCGCCTATGAAGTCCTGTTACTCTTGCTGCTTCTTAAGTATTTAAATTTTATGTCATTCACGGGCAGGAGTAATAATTTACTGTGCCCCAATTTTGTCCTTGAACTTAGGTCATCTATCTATCCACAGCAGAGTCACCTGAGAGTCCTTAAATAATTAAGGCCTTAATTATTTTCTTCGCAAATTCCCCCCTCCCTCCTTGGCGCTCCGTTTTGCCCACCATCTAAATGCAATCCATAGAGGTCATTCTGAAGTTGCGTTTAGATACAAACTTGCAAGGTCCGTCTGAAGGCACTGTCCCCACAACTGAATCCCTGAGGATTCAGCCTCAACAGTTTCTCGTTTCTAACTTTTCCCTGGAATACAATGTATCTTCCTTCTGATTCCGGTCTAGCTGGCTACTTTTATTACCACTTCGCTTCTCGGGACTGTTTCCACTTAGTGCCACTTTTCCTTTTTCTGAACTCTACCTGGAATACAATGTATCTTCGTTCTTGCTCAGTTCTGTCTGGCCAGTCTTTATTACTGCCGCTCGGCACAGGTTCTTTCTAACGAAAGCTTAGCTTCTTTGGGGACCCGCCTCACCTTTGGGGACTGACGCCCAACCTTATCTCCCTTGCTGCAGGGGCAACCAGGAGCAATTTTGCATCACAAAGGAAGCTGAGCACCGTCGGCAATATCGTGTCCGGCCCACAATTAGTGGGTGCATTACTATTAATGCGCAGAAACCGGGGTGGTGACCGGGGAGGAAGGGGAATATACCAAGCAGTGCCCCAAACACCTCCAATAAAGGCCGAGGGTTTTCAGGCTCCCCAGGGGAACTAGGGCGCCGAGAGAAAGCTGGATGATGAGCGGCAGGCAAAAGCAGTCAAGATCAAGCGTTTGGAGCAGGTGCCTCCGGCGCCGCAGGTCTAGGGTGGCCCTTGCCACCCGCTGGGGTCGAATAAGAGCAGGGTCAGTCCTGCAGCAGCCGCAGGCAACCCGGGGCGCCCCGTCCCCCCTCCGCCCTACCTTTCATCCGCAGCGCCCGGCACGACCACCCGATCGGTGCGTTGGGGAGGGGGGGTGGGGTGGGAAGCGCACTGGCCAATTGCAGTCGTCACGGTCAGCTCGGTTGTCCCGCGGCTCTGCGATCGCATTCTCGCGAGGTAGGGGCAGGGCTTCCGGGCCGGCCGAGCAGGGTGGGAGGAGGGAGGGGAAGATGAGGGTGGGGTCCGCGCATGCTCCGTAGTGTCGAGCTCGGCCGCAGCCGCTCCGGCCGGGCCGCGGGGCCGCACCCACCTTGCAGCCGTCGCACGGGGATCTGGGTTCCAGCAGCCACGTCCCGGCCCGGTTCCGGCGCGCTCCCGAGAACCCCACGTGGGGTCACGAGACCGGGTGGGGGTGGGGGGGTAGCAACGTCACCGCCTTTCGAGCCGGATCTTGCGTCGCGGGTGAGCGTGACGCGCCCGCCGGCCTCTATGACGGAGTCGCTGTGTGAGGTCAGAGCCCCCGCTCCAGGCAGCCTCACCGGGCACTCACTGTCCCTCGGGGTGGGCTCGGCGCGAGCCCATTACCTGATGGCTCAGAGAAATGAGGACTCGGGTGCCCAGGTAGACGCCCCAACCGCCCCCTCCCACCTCACCCCACCGCCCCGCCGCTCCGGCGCTTCAGAGCTGGCGCAAACAGAGTCACTTGTGGGTTGTCGTTAACGCATCACCCTCCCGCCCCCCACCGACCCCCTGCCCCCATCAGCACCTGCATCACCCACACGCGCGCGCGGCACCGCTGAGGGCCTCTGACAGGCCACCGGGCTGGAGTCCCAGATGCAAAACCCTTCCCACACCCCCATCCCCCAGCAAGTCCAGTAACCCCGAATCACTTTCCCTTTCCAGCCCACCGCGCGCCCCTCGCCATCACTAGTGAGTCAAGATGAGCTGCGCAAAAAGCTCTACCGGAGGTTTAAGGAACGAGGCGTGCTGGATACACTCAAGGTACCAGCCCCAGGCGGGTCCCGGGTGGAACTTTGTAGCCGCTTGGGAAATTTACCTGAAATTCACCAGGGCACTGGGACTAGGTAGGGGGCGGGGCCATTGCGGAGATTCTCGGCCGGGGGTGGGTGGTGTGGGGGGTGGGATTCCTGGGGCGCTTGAGGGGTGGGGGGAGCGCGGCGCAGATCTTGATTTCAAAAACCGTTTGTGGTGTGCAGGGTTTGGGGGAAAGATCGTTTCGGGTGCCTGGGTAACGTTTTCTTCCCGCTCGCTCAACTGTCAAGTTCGTGGAACGTAGAGATTGAACTGGCGTTAGGATAGCAGTGGGTGACTTGATCAAATGAAGTCTTTTAGGGTGGTGAGGCTGAATTTATAGATCTGGTTTAGGCGTTTCTGAGTTAATAAGTGGTTTTGTGATGCTCGTGCTTGGCGCCTTATGAATATCAAGATACTTTTATTTAAGTATAAGAATATTAACTATAATAAGTATTAACTATATATTATAGTTAATCTGAACAATATGAACAATATTAACTATAATAATATTAGCTATAATAGTATACCTATAATAAGAAGTGTTAAAGTATATATAATATGTATACATAGTAAGATTGCAAGTATAATATGCATGATAGTTAAGGACATTGCCTTTATACTAGAATATTTGAGGAATACATTTTTTCAAAGTATACTGACAGGTGTGAATATTTACTTTTGAGCATTAACAGCAAGGAATGATCTCAGATGTGTTTTCATTATATTTCAAAAGTCTGCTTTTGATTTAAAATTGTAGTTAAGGAAAAACATGTTTACCAAACATAAATGCAACAAAAAATTGCTATGCCAATGTTTCTAAATATATGAATGCTTGGTGTTTTGAAGACTAACAAGTGTTTTAAAACTTAATATAACCTAGTAATGTTTTATTGTGTTCACAATCCAAATGAAATTAATCTTCCTTTAAGTAGAATAATAGTACTTATTTTACCTATGTTATCACATGGATATAATTAGGATTAGAGCTTACCTGATAGTTAACAATTTCTTTTATGCTCAGAAGCATTGGTTATGCTTTCATAGGTTCTGAATTTTCTTATTTTTCCTAATCATTATGTTTTCTACACTGCTAATATCACTAAAATATGGAGGAACCATATTAAATTATTATCATTCACATCAATACAAGTGTTCTTCTAACCCTTACCTTTTCCCCATCTTTACATGCTTTTCCTTTTAAACATATGACTTATTCCTAAGTGCAATATTAACTAATAGTAATAGTAATGTTAATAGTAATATTAACAGATTAATTAATTTAAATCATATGTTCCCAAACTTTTCTGGCTTACCTCCTTGGCTTACCATCTCCTTCTCAGGAAAACAAAAGCCTGTTCAATGTCCCCCTGAACATCTACCTCCTTTAAGTGACCAGAAAGCCCCCCCACCCCAGATGAAACCATGACTAATACCCCCAGCTTTCCATCCTAAGGGTTAGCATTCTCATCCACTTTGGATAATAATAGTTTTGATTATTTATTCTACTGATATGCTGTATAACAATTTCTGCAAATCTGTTAGTGATTTTAAGTAATCTGTTCTTTAGAAACTCTTAGAATAATTTTGCATTGGACTTGTAAAGAAATCCAGTGGAACATTGTTGCTATTGCTGCCAGTGAAACATTGTTGCTATTGCTGCTGTTTTGGGGCCACACCCCACTGTGCTAGGGACTCCCTCCTGACTCTACACTCAGGTGTCACTGCCCTCGATGCTAGGGACTATATGGGATGCTGGTGTTCGAACCCACTATACCATTTCTGAACGTTGTTTGTAATTTAAATGAAAACAACACTCCCATTATATTAAATGGAGTTTTTTGCAAAACAAACACAAATTCAGAATGTATATGGTACATTTCAAATGTGAACTTAGGGGTCAGAGGTGTAGTACAGTGGGTAAGGCACTTGCTATGCATGCAGCAGACCTGGGTTCTGGGTTTAATACCTAGTACCCCCTATGGTTCCCCAGCACTGCCAGGAGTGCTCCCTGAGTGCAGGGCCAGGAGTATGTGCTGAGCACCTCTGGCTACGGCACAGAAACAAAAAATGGATATCAAAAAAAAGTGAGCTTATTTCCCACCCCAATTGTTTTAGTTTCTTAATACTTCAGGCATCCAAGAACTACAGGGGGGAAATGCCATCTCCAATATACTAATCTGCATGATAGTTTGAGTGTTCTTTTTAATTTTTTTTTCTTTTTGGGTCACACCTGGCTATGCACAGGGGTTACTCCTGACTCTGCACTCAGGAGTTACTCCTGGCGGTGCTCAGGGGACCATATGGGATGCTGGGAATCGAACCCGGGTCGGCTGCGTGTAAGGCAAATGCCCTACCCACTGTGCTATCTCTCCAGCCCCTCTTTTTAATTTTTTTTTATTGAATCACAGTGAGATGCAGAGTGTAAGATTGTTTATAATTGTGTTTCAGTTATGTAGTGTTCCAATACCCATCCCTTCAACAGTGTACATTAATTCCCACCACCAAAGTTCCCAGTTTTTCTTCCAAACCCCACCCCCACTCCCACCTGCCTCTGTGGCAAACACTTGCCTTCTCTCTGTGTCTGTCTCTCTCTCCCTCTCCATCCCACCCTCCCTCCCTTCTTCTCTTTCTCTCTTTCCCTCTCTTCCTCCCTTCCTCTCTCCCTCTTTCTCCCTCCCCCCTTTTGGGCATTGTAGTTTGCAATACAGTTACTGAGAGGTTAGCATGTATATTCCTTGACCTTACTTTAAACATCCAGTTCTTGTCTAGAGTGATCATTTCCATCTATTATTGTCATACTGTTCCCTTCTCTATTCTAACTGCTCTTTGCCTCTTACAGACTTAGGGCAAGCTTCCAACCATTGACCAGTCCTCCTGGCCTCTGTTTTTCCTGACCTTGGGTGTTAGTCTCATATTATTTTTTATAGTGTGTGTTCTTTTTGACTTAACGTCAATGAGCATTTTCAGCGTGTTGAAAACCTCAAGAAACTTTGAATTTTAGTCTGATACGGTATGCAGGGTGTGAGTGAGGGCTTCTAACTTTTGATCCAGAAGCTGTAAGTTCTAAAGTCCTTCTGGAAATAAAAGGAATCTAATCTAGGGGACAAAGATCTACATCTCCAGTGAAGTCATCCTGAGACATTTCTCTCCCCCCCTTTCCCCTGTCTTTGTTTGCATGCTAGACCCAACTTCGAAAGCAGATGATCCAAGAGTTGATGCAACCTGTACTATGTGGCGAAGTCCGTCCTCAGTCCATCCATGTGGAGGGGAGCACTCTTTCCGTGGAGGCCTCTAACATCCTGGTGGCAGATCATTTACAACGATGTGGTTATGAGTACTCCCTTTCAGTTTTCTACCCAGAGAGTGGTTTATCGAGGGAAAAAGTAAGATTCTTTCCTTTTCTGTTTGAGTTTTCTATTATGGGGAGAGAGTGTTTGTCTTGTATATGTGAGGCCCTGGGATTTATGTTCAGTACCCCCCCCCCCACAATTCACCCACACAACATGGAATTCTGCATTGTGAACCTGAAGCAGGATTCTTAATCTGGGTTATTCAAGAAACATCGCAATTTATCATTGAAACACCGAAGTAAAGCTGTCTCATATTTTTTTCTACAGATGTTCACTATGGAAGATCTGCTGCACCTCATTCAGATCAGTCCTCAGTCCAGTATTTACAAAACACTGGTAGGATTGTTTTTCCTTTTAATAATCTGATTTGGTTTCTTAGTGATGGCTGAATACTTGAATAAATGCAATGTGTTTTCTTTCAACAGATTTCAAGATTTGATAAAGAAAACCAAAAAGGTAGGAGCCTTCCTTCATCTTTGTAGAGAATAGCTACATACTTGTCATATACTTTTTCCTATAAAAGCATTAAATTAATCTAAGAAGGAAAACTGGGGAATGTAATTTGACTATCTGATTTTCCTAACAGTATCCTACTTTTATTTTTTTCTTAAATTTTTATTAGTGAAACACCATCAGGTACAGTTGTAGACTTCGAAATTTTTGTGCTTGGGTTTCAGTTATGTAATGATCAAATACCCATCCCTCCACCAGTGCCCATTCTCCACCACCACCAGTCCCAGTATCCCTCCCACCCCCCATCTCCCCATCCCACCCTACCTCTGTGGCAGGGCATTCCCTTTTGCTCTCTCTCTCCTCTTGAGTGCTGTGGTTTGCAAAAGAGACACTGAGTGGCAGTCTTGTTCGGTCTATAGCCTACTCTCATCATGCATTTCCCATCCTGAGAGGAACCTCCCAACACCCTTTATTTGGTGCTCCCTTCTCTATCTGAGCTGCCTTCTCCCCTAGCATGTGCGGCAGTCCTCAAAGCCATGGAGTAATCCTCCTGACAGCACCATACTTTTTATAAAAACAAAACATTTTATCTTTTGTTATAACTGATGTGGATCACTTCCCTTACATGTGCTTCTTTTAGTGTTGGAGGTCAAATGCAGGCCCTCATGCATGCGAGGCATGTGCTCTACTGCTGACTTAGGTCATTCCGGGCCCCAAGTTTCTTTTCTTTTTTTCTTTTAAATCAAGTCACCATGACATGCACAGCTACAAAGCTGTCCGTGCTTGAGTTTCAGTCATACAATGTTACAACACCCATCCCTCCACCTGTGTGTATTTCTTAACCACCAATGACTCCAGTTTCCCTCCTGCAATCCGCCACTCCTAATCTGCCTCTATGGTAAGAACTTCTCTCTCTTTCTTTTTGGGCATATAGATACTTGGAGGTTATCATGTTTGTTTTCACCACACAATTTTAGCACACAGTTCTTATCCAGAGTGATCATTTCCAACTATCATTGCTGTAGCATTTCCTTGTATATCCCAACCATCTTCTCCCCCAGCACCTCAGACAGGTTTCCAACCATGATCCAGTCCTCCTAGCCCATGTGTCTACTGTCCTTGGGTATTAGTCTCATACTATGTTTTTATTTCATGTCCCACAAATGAGTGCAGTCATTCTATGCATGTCCCTCTCTTTCTGACTCATTTCACTCAGGATGATACCCTCCATGTCCATCCAGTTATAAGCAAATTTCACGACTTAATTTTTTTCCTAACAGCTGCATAGTATTCCATTGTGTATATCTACCATTGTTTCTTTATCTAGTCCTCTGTTCTCAGGCACTTGGGTTGTTTCCAGATTCTGGTTATGGTGAATAGTGCTGCAATAACATAGAAGTGCAGATGGCACTTCTGCTGTGTGTTTTTGCGCCCCTAGGCTATATTCCCAGAGTGGTATTGTTGCATTACATGGGAGCTCAATTTCTAGTTTTTGGAGGAATGTCCATATTGCTTTCCAGAAAGGCTGGACCAGTCGGCATTCCCACCAACAATGAATAAGCGTCCCTTTCTCCCTGCATCCACACTGGGACTGGTTGTTCTTGTTCTTTTTGACGTGTGCCAGTCTCTTTGGTGTGAGATGATAACTCATTGTTGTTTTGATTTGCATCTCCCTGATGATTAGTGATGTAGAACATTTTTTCTACATCTACATTTTGGCCATTTGGATTTTTCGTTTAAGGAAGTATCTGTTCATTTCTTCTCCCCATGTTTTGATGAGGTTGGGTTTTTTTTTTTTTACAGTTCTACCAGTGTCTTGTATATCTAGGATATTAACACCTTATCTGATGGGTATTGAGTAAATAATTTTTCCTATCCTGTGGGATGTCTCTGTATCTTGGTCACCATTTCTTTAGAGGTGCAGAAGCTTCTTAGTTTAATGTAGTCCTATTTGTTTTTCTTTGCTTCCACTTGCTTGGTCAGTGGGGTTTCATCTTTAAAGATGTCTTTAGCTTTAATGTAATGGAGGGATTTAGTTATGTTTTCCTCCATGTACTTTATAGATACAGGTCTGATAATGAGGTCTTCAATCTGTTTTGATCTGACTTTTGTGCCTGGCACTATAGAGAGGTCTGAGTTTAGTGTGTGTGTGTGTGTGTGTGTGTGTGTGTGTGTGCGTGTGTGTGTGTAGCCATCCAGTTTTCCTAGCACCACTTGTTAATGAGGCTGTTCTTGTTCCAGTTCACATTTTTGCGCCTTTATCAAAGATTAAGAGGTCATATATTTGAGGGTCTATGTCAGGATATTCATTGGTCTGTGGGTCTGTCTTTATTCTAATATCATTCTGTTTTAATTACTACTGCTTTGTAGTACAGTTTGATATTGGGGAAGTTGATGCTTTCCATCTTCTTTTACCCAAGAATTGCTTTAGCTTTTCATTGGGGGTTATTTTTCCATATGATTTTTACAAGTGTTTTATTTATTTCTTTGAAAAATGTCATGGGTATCCTTATAGGGACTGCACTAAATCTGTATAATGCTTTGGGGAGTATTGCATTTTTTTAAAATGTTAATCCTCCTGATCCACGAGCAGGGAATGTGTCTCCATTTCCTAGTGTCCTCATGTCTAGCATGCACTCTACTGCTGACTTATGTTATTCTTGGCCCCAAGTTTCTATATTTAAAATATGTGGACAGGGGCTGGAGCAATAGCACAATGGGTAGGGCATTTGCCTTGCACGCGGTCAACCCCGGTTCAATTCCCAGCTTTCCATATGGTCCCCTGAGCACCGCAGGGGTAATTCCTGAGTGCAGAGCCAGGAGTAACCCCTGTGCATTGCTGGGTATGACCCAAAAAGCAAAAAAAAAACCCTAAAAAACTCTACAAATGGACAAATTGATTGAAAGATACTTTTTATGAAAGTATTCAAATGTTGGAGAGAAACAGTACAGCAGTTAGGTGTTTTCTTGAATCCTGCTGATCTAAGTTTGAATCTCTGGCACCACATAAAGTCTGCCAAGCACCTCTGGTGTCACACCTGAGCCAGAAATAACTCCTGAGCACCATCTGGTATGACCCTCAAACCAAAATAAGTAAATGTTACTTCAGTATTAAGTTTAATTTTCATGTTTAAGTTTCAGTTACATAATGTTATACATAGCAGTGTATAATATTGCATTTGCATTGTACATTATATTCAAAACTGATTATTTTAAAAGAATGTATTTAATCCCCTATGCTGGAGCTTTCATTGAGGAATTTAGATTGGGCCATTAGAAGCAATGTGCATTGAAGATACTTTGTGCCTCTATGACAATGTAGTTATATATGCTCCAGGAAGTGGGTTACCAGGTTTAAGGACATTTCCCTTGAATATACATAAATACTGGAAAACTTTCCTCTGAAGTGAATGAATACATTTCTCCCACTCACTTGCCAACACTTAAAAAGTATTAGTAAAATTTGTTTGGAATGAGGGGTTTAGACCACATCTACCAGTGCACAGGGATCACTCCTGGCAGTACTCAAGGGACTGTCAGCTGTGCCAGGTAGCAAAATGGGGTTGGAGTGTATACAGATAGTTCCTCAGCTATCTCTCCATCCCCAGCAGAGCTTAAATCTTAGCAGACCTACTGGGAAAATAGGACCCTTCTGTTGGAATGTTTGGACTTAAGGTTTTGCTTGTGCTTAACATTTCAGAATGTTGTTTGTGCTTATTCGTCACTTGTTCACTTGTCACTATAAACTTCATGTCTGTGTCTTGTCCCATTTTGTGTTTTCATACTCGTGTGCAAGAGCTTTGCGGTCTGAAAGCTAGCACTCCCTCTCCGTGTTGTGGGTATTTCTCTTTGTGCCATTTGTCCTTTTATTTTATTTCATGCCATAATTATTTTCAATTTTTTATACTGATTGATAAGTACTCTACTCTCTTCCAGGTTTTGTGTCATACCTGGAAAGGACTTTCCTCAGACACTATTCTTAATTATTTGTAAATTATTCTTAAGCTGTATACTGTAGAAAAGCAAAATACTATATGTCCAAGATTGACCAAATGACCGTGCCATGGTTGAATAAAAGAAAATTGTGAAATAAAATGATATCCATTTCATCTTTTTTAGGTTTTCTGATGGAATTTTTAAAAGAATTGGCAGAATATCACCAGCCCAAAGTCATCTGCGATGTGGGAACTCAAACAAGTCCACTCCCTAAGAGAGATTCTCTCGGTAATTACAGCCTTCTCTTATTTGTATTTGATTTTCTGTTGGAACCACGGATTTGCTGTGTTAGGTATTTGTTCCTTGATGGTGCAGACTGCAAGGGAGACTGAGTTTCCCCCTGAATCCTATTGCTAGAATAGCACAGGAGCCAGACTCACTCTCTAGATGCTCAGATCCAATGGATGGCTTCCTTGTGTGTCTGCTTGAGCCTCTTTTACTTTATTATCTTTTTTTTGCATTTTGGGTCACACCCAGCGATGCTCAGAGGTTACTCTGCACTCAGGAATTACTCCTGGTGGTGCTTGGGGGATGGATGCTGGGGATCGAACCCAGGTCAGTCACGTGCAAGGCAAAAGCCCTACCCACTGTGCTATCACTCCAGCCCCTCTGAGCCTCTTTTAACTGGGAGGTTCTTCCCTATGATCCTTGTAACATTACTTAACAATCAATCACTGAGTGACATCATAGACTGTGTTGCAGAAACCTGGTGAAGTCAGTGGGCCATCACTTTGTTTGAGAGTTCAGAGACCTGAGGTTGCCAGAGAAGACTGATTTGGAAACCCCCAGTCATGGTCAGAACTGCTAGTAGAGTTTGGGTTTTCTGGTTTACAAGCCAGAGCGTGCTCTACCACACAGCTTTCCCCCAATACCATCCTGCCCTCTTGTTGGCTCTCAGGGGAGAGGGATATGGCTAACTAGAAGGGAGGACAGTCATTGATTTCTTGGCTTTTCCTTTCAAAGAACAGCAGTGCCTTTAGCTAAGATTCCTTTCAAAGCATCTACTATGTTTGATTTAGATGTAAGTTTTCATTCCTCTAGGAACATAGTATGTACTTTTTCTCAGGTGGTATTGTTCAATAATAGGAACTACATCTGTAATTTTATTTTATTTTTTTAAATTTTTATTAGTGAGACACCATGAGGTACAGTTGTAGACTTCCAAATTTTTGTGCTTGGGTTTCAATTATACAATGATCAAATACCCATCCCTCCACCAGTGCCCATTTCCCACCACCATGGATCCCAGTATCCCTCCCACCCCCCAACCCCCCCCCCATCCCACCCTACCTCTGTGGCAGGGCATTCCCTTTTGTTCTCTCTGTCTTATTGGGTGTTGTGGTTTGCAAAAGACATCTGAAATTTTAAACATTCTCTTTGCCACAGTGGAAAAAATCAGTTGTAGTGTGTTAATATATTTTCTTTAACGTAATATGTGCAAAAGAATTCCAGCATGTAATGAAAATAACATTTATTTTTTGCTCAGTCTTTTAACTCTGGTGTGTCTTTTTATTTTATTTTTTGTGGGGGGGCCACCTCTGCTCTACTTAGGGCTTCCTTCTGGCTCTATGCTCAGGGACCACTTCTAGTGAGACTTGGGGACCATGGGGAGTGCTGGGAAGCAAACCTAGGTTGGCCGTGTGCAAGGCGAGCACCCTGCCCTCTGTACTATTTGTCCAGCGCTGCTGTGTCTTTTAAAAATTTTTTAAAATTTATTAATTAATTTTTTTATTAGTGAAACACCATGAGGTACAGTTAATAGACTTACAAATTTTTGTGCTTGGGTTTCAGTTATACAATCATCAAGTACCCATCCCTCCACCCCTGCTGTGTCTTTTATCCTTAGAGCACATCTCAGTTTATACCAGTCACGTGACTGGCCATATGTGTTTGGAGAACCTTGTGTCGGACAGTTAGAGAGCATTTGGAAAGCACAGGGAAGTGGACAGGAATGCATGTCTGGTGCAGGTGTGCGCTGTGGTATGGTTGGTTCACATCCATGACAAGTTTGTGGGCAACAAGTTACTTCGGAAGAGCACTGAAATTAGAGACAAAAGCCCCTGGCTTTACTTCCAGCTTTGCCCTTCTATGACTCAGGAGGTCATTTACACTGTCCCAGAACTTTTTTTCTCTCCAAAGGGAAGGGATTGAAACACATACGCTTTATTTCTTTTTAAGGTCAGCCATTGAACTTTTCCATCGGCTTGGCTTAGAGCAGTAGAAGAGCTCTCTGCCTGGACCCTCAGAGCCTGGCAAGATGGGCTGGTTGGTGGTCCTTGATTCCAGCTGCCCTCCTTGCTGGCTTTCCCCCAACATTGTATTTACTGAGTATAAAGAAACTTTGAAATACTCCATGAGATACAAAGTTGCAAAGTTCTTCAGGATTGAGTTTCTGTCCAAAAATGTTGGAGAAAGACAGAAAGAAGGCAAGTGCCTGCCATGGAGATTCCTTCACCAGTGCTCACTTCTCTCCACTGATGTCCCCAGTTGCTATCAATGTCCTCCTTGAAATCTGTTAGCAGTTGTTTAGGTGCATAGATGATATATGTTTAGGAGTATGATTTCTTCCTGATGTGCATGTCCCTTGATCGTTAAGAAATGACTCTTTCTCTCTTTTATAACCTTTTTGAGCCATAAGTATTTGTTGTCTGATATTAGTATGGCTACTCCAGCCATTTTTTGAAGGAGTTGTTTGCTTGAAAGATCGTCTTCCAACTTTTGATCTTGAGTCTGTGTTTTCTCTGACTATTCAAAAGGGTTTCTTTTGGGGGGGGGGCTGGAGCAATAGCACAGCAAGTAGGGTGTTTGCCTTGCATGCAGCCGACCGGGTTTGATTCCCAGCATCCCATATGGTCCCCTGAGCACCGTCAGGGGTGATTCCTGAGTGCAGAATGAGGAGTAACCCCTGTGCATCACCAGGTGTGACCCAAAAAGCCAAAAAAAGAGATGTGCAAAAGTGTTTCTTCTTTAATTTTAATTTTTGAACCACTGTGAGATACAGAGTTACAAAGCTGATCATGGTCAGGTTTCAGTCATACATTGTTCAATGCCCATACCTCCACCAGTATTCATTTTCCATCACCAATGTCCCCAGGTTTTCTCCTGCTACCCTCCTCCCAGCCTGACTTTAACTCTATGGCATACACTTTTCTTCTCTCTCTCTCTCTCTCCCCCCCCTCACTTTTGGAGCATTATGGTTTGCAATACAGGTACTGAGAGGTATTCATGTTTGTTCCTGTTTTCAGCACACAGTTCTTATTCAGATTGATCACTCCCAACTATCTTTGTCAGGGAGGTCCCTTCTCTATCCCAACCGCATTCTCCCCAGCATCAGCAAATGTGTTTCTTGCAGGCAGCAGAATGTTGGATTCAATTTTCTAATCCATCTTGCCCCTCTATGTCTCTTAAATGGTGCATTTAGATCATTGACATTGAGTGACACTGAGAGAGATTATGTCATGGAGTTTTGTACCATCTTTCGGTAGCAGTTTTTGAGGTTTGTCTTACCTTAAAGTAACCCATTCAATTCTTGAAAAGTCGGTTTCAAGTCTAAAAAGTTTCTAAGCTGTTGTTTATCCATGAAGTTGTATATTGTTCATTCAGGTCTGGATGAGAATGTAGCTAGGTAAAGTATTCCTAGTGAGGCATTCATTTCATTGAGGTTTTTATTTTTTATTATATCCTCCCACTTTGGAAGGTCTCATTTGATAGGGCTGCTGTAAATGTTAAGGATATCATTTTTTGTATATAATTTCCTTCCTTGATCTTGCTACTTTCAGTATTCAGTCTCTATGGATTTTGTTGCTCTCATTAGGATGTGCCCTTTTACTGGGCTTCTTTTAACTGACACCTTTAGGGGCCTCTTGGATCAGGGTGTGTGCACTTTTCATCTCTGGGAACTTCTTAGCAGTGATGTCTTTAACTGTTACTTCTTCATCAGCGTTGCCTTTCTGCCCCTCTGGGACCCCAGGGAGTCTTCATTCAGCTTAATTTCTCTTGAAATCATTCCACAGTTCTCTTTTCTGCTGTTCATTTTTTTTTTGCTTTTTGGGTCACACCCAGCAATGCACAGGGGTTACTCCTGGCTCTGTGCTCAGGAATTACCCCTGGTGGTGCTCAGGGGACCATATGGGATGCTGGGAATCGAACCCAGGTCGGCCGCGTGCAAGGCAAACGCCCTGCCCGCTGTGCTATTGCTCCAGCCCCTGTTCATTTATTTTGAGTCTTCCCCCCTCAGCTTCCTTTGCTGTTGTCCAGAGCTTTTCTGCATCTTATCTTAGACTTCTCTGATTTTGACCTAGCTGTTGGCTACTCTGCTGCTGAGGCCTTCCAATGAGTTTTACAGGTTTCTTACTTTTGTCATTTCTGTTTGTAGTTTTCTCATTTCTGCCCTCATATCCACCCGTGTTTTACTGGATGTCCGTTTCATTGTTTCTTTGAGGTCCTTAAACATCCTTAACATTTCCCCTGTAAAATCCTTATCCAGAGGGGTTATATAGCTGTTTAATACTGATTGGGTTTTCGGGGATGTCACCTTCATTCAGTAAGCATGGTGGGGTTCTGCATTGCTTTCCTATTGAGACTGGTGCAGTCTGGAGCCGTTATTTGTGTGGATAGGTGACTAGAGTTGGGATAGCCATGAGATATGAAGAGGTGAAAAAGTCTATGGCCAAGTGAGCAGCTGTGTGTTGACCTGGGGTGGGGGGAGGGGTATGGCAAGTTCCAAGTGCAGCTTCTCAGCTACTTCCTAGATACTTTGAATTCACAGGACTAAGGTTGGGGCCTTCCCAGGCTTATTCAGGGCCTCTTGGGGCCTTCTGATGCCTTCCAGTACCAAGTGCACCCGAGTATTTTATAGGGCCTGACCCAGGGGTGAGATGGCAAGTTCTCCCCCAACTTTTTATGATGAAACCTACAAACATACAAAAAAGTTGAAGTCGGTTTGCAGTAATCATGTGTTTATCTAGATTTCACCCATAAGCTACATTGTATTTGCTTGATCACTTGTCCATCTAATAATATATCTTGATTTGCAGTGAATTGCAGAGGGTCCTTTCATTTCTAAGTATCCACTTTGCGTTTGAACAAAGCCACTGTCTCTTGCTTATCTGACTGCATTTTTCTTATCTTACCTTCCCGTGTTGTGTTAATAGCTGAAAAACTTCAACTCATTGATGATCAGTTTGCAGAAGCTTACATTCCGAGGCCTAAATTAAAACCTCTAGAGATGAAACTAAATGAATACAAACGAGAAATAGAAGAACAGCTCCGTGCAGAAATGTGTGAAAAGGTGAGCTTTATCTTGTTAACAAGAATTACATTTTTTTTTGCTTTTTGGGTCACACCCTGTGATGCACAGGGGCTACTCCTGACTCTGCGCTCAGGAATTACCCCTGGCGGTGCTCAGGGGACCATGTGGGATGCTGGGAGTTGAACCCGGGTCAGCCGCGTGCAAGGCAAACGCCCTACCCGCTGTGCTATTGCATCAGCCCCAAGAATTACATTTTTGCTTGTCTTTTAACCTTTTGATGTTACACATATGAGGAAATATATAGAATCTTTATTATTGAATACAAAACTACTATTGTGCATATTTCTCTTTCAAACTTTTGGGAATATAATTTCTTTATGCCTTCTGAATTAATCTTTCAGAGAATGAATAAAGTGAAACCAAAGGTGAATTAAAGTAAATATATTTAGACAGCATTAATATTACACCTGACGATGGGGAGGGAGGATAAGTTACTACTTTATTATACTTGTTGATATTAATGTTTATTTGCGATCCATTGGCAGTTGAAATATCTAAAAGAAACTGAAATAGCAAAAATAAAAATGGAAGAGAGACGAAAGTCCGAGAAGGAATTAGCCGAGTTCCGAAAAGAGTTTGAAATCGCTTGCCAAGTAAAATCCGAGGCACTGCTGTCTCAGGAAAGACAGAGCATTGAGAGAATCCAAAAGCACAAGGAGGTAATGTTTTATATCATGTACTAGCAGGCTGTTTCCTGTTGCTCTTCTCTGATTGGCCAAAGAAGCAGGAGCTAGACAGGACAACTGGGTGGGGGGAGTGTTTGGGAACAAGGCCCTAATGGAGCAGTAGGGACTAGGGTCGCGCATAAGCGGAAGGATGGACATTGGAAAGGAGATGCAGAAGAGAAAAGGAAGCACAGCTGGGAACCCCTCTGCTGGGACTGTGACCCCAATGAGTTTGAGCAGGTTGCAGAAACTTTCACTGCACGCCCCAAGTTAGAATCTTTAGAGATGAAACGAAATGAAAACCAAATAGAACAGCTCTGTGTAGACCTGTGTTGGAAAAGGTGAGCTTTGTTAACAAGATAAAGCCTCACTCTCTGAAGCTCCATCCCCTCAGGCCAGGTCACCACGAGGCCTGGATCGGGAAGCGGCTGCTGGAGTGACCGGAAGGAGCTCTCTGCAGCAGGGTGCGTCCTGAGCACACTGAGATGAGCAGCACCGTAACCTCCCAAGTGTGACTGTTCTGGTGGCCTGTTACAAGTGATGGTTCTGTTCTAGCTCTTGGGGGCGGCCAGCGAGAGGAAAAATCGGTACTTGGGGAGTGGTACTTTTTTAAAATTTTTTATTTTTTTATTTTTATTAGTGGAACACCATGAGGTACACTTGTAGATTTACAAATTTTTGCATTTGGGTTTCGATTATACAATGATCAAGTACCCATCCCTCCACCAGCGCCCATTTTCCACCACCACGGATCCCAGTATCCCTCCCACACCCATCCCCCCATCCCACCCTGCCTCTGTGGCAGGGCATTCCCTTTTGTTCTCTCTCTCCTTTTGGGTGTTGTAGTCTGCAAAAGAGACATTGAGTGGCAATCATGTTCAGTCCATAGTCTACTTTCAACATGTATCTCCCCTCCTGGGAGGATCCTCCAAACACCCTTTATTTGGTGCTCCCTTCTCTATCTGAGCTGCCCTTTCCCCTAGATGGCCCGGCTGGCCTCTAAGCCATGGAGTTATCCTCCTGGTACTGATCTCGGCTATTCTTGGGTATTAATCTCCTATTTTGTTACTATATGTCCCCCAGATAAATGCAATCTTTTTATGTCTATTCCTCTCTTTCTGACTCATTTTGCTTAGCATGATACTTTCCATGTGGTACCACTTGTATGTAAATTTCATGACTTCATCTTTTCTAACCACTACATAGTACTCCATCGTGGAAATGTACCAAAGTTTCTTTAACCAGTCATCGGTTCTCGGGCACTCAGGTTTTTTCCAGATTCTGGTTATTGTAAAGAGTGCTGCAATGAACAAACAAGTGCAGATGTCACTTCGACCATACATCTTTGCCTCTCTGGGATATATTCCCAGGAGTGGTATTGCTGGGTCAAATGGGAGCTCAAGTTCTAATTTCTTGAGAATGGTCCAAACTATTTTCCAAAAGGGCTGAACCAGTCGGCATTCCCACCAACAGTGAAGGAGTGTCCCTTTCTCAGGGAGTGGTACTTTTTAAGAGCTGATTTGTCCTATTTAGAAAGGCTCCAAAGGGGCCGGAGTGATAGCACAGCAGGTAGGGCGTTTGCCTTGCACGTGGCTGACCTGAGTTCGATTCCCGGTATCCCAGAAGCCCCCCAAGCACTGACAGGAGTAATTTCTGAGTGCAAAGCCAGGAATAACCCCTGAGCATTGCTGGGCATGACCCAAAAAGAAAAAAAAAAGAAAGGCACCGAAGTTACCAGTACTGGAGGTACTGCGGTTCTCCCGGTGGTAAGAGAACCAGAGGGTAGATTGGGTAGTTCCAATCTCAGGGACAAAGACCAAAGGCGGGCTGGGTATCTGTGAAACTTGAAAGGCACCAGGAGTTGGCCTGGAGGTACTGATGAAAGAATGAGGCAGTGCCAGAGGCTTGTTGGGCCGGAGATTCAGGTGATGACAGGAAACCCTGCAGGCAGCCCCACAGTGCCAGAGCCCAGAGCAAGGTCCCTAGAGGAGAGAGAGAGTCCAGGGCTTCTAGCACCCTCCATAGCACCATTGGGTTCTGCCCCCTGGGAAAGTGAAGGGACTAGAGGTGGAGTGAAGAGGAATGACAGGTGGGTGCCACTTATTGGAAGGATTCAGCATTCACCTTAGAAAAAACATTTCCTTTCTCAGACCAGATTGGATCGGGGTCTGTTTCCGGTGCACATCTAGACCTCCCAGTGAACTCAAGTTAGGGGACAGTCCCCACGGTCCACCCCTCGTGCGTGATTTTGTAGGGCATTTCTAGGAATAGGGCTTGTTCAGCCGTCAAAATGTTGCTACAGTAGTCTGAAAGGTGCTTGATTGTATTGCAGGAACAACTTCATCTTCAAGGTAAATGACTAACTAGATCACATCAGCCAGTTAGCATATTCAAAGTTCCCACTGAGTTAACTGACTTTTTTTGGGGGGGAACCCCAAGATTATTCCGTCCTCATGAAAAGCACTAGGGGCTTATTCCATCCTTGCCATACCCTCCCCCCTGGCCTGATAGAACCAGCCTGTCCTTCAGAATCTTACCTTGGTGTCTCCTCAAGACTTAATCTGGTATCTCTCCTGCTACTGAGTCCTTTAGTACTTTGGTTATGAAATCATCAGATTATGGTGTGGTTGTTTCTCCCTTGTTTGTTTGTTTGTTTGTTTTCTTTTTGGGTCACATCCTGTGATGCTCAGGGGTTACTTCTGGCTCTGCACTCATGAATTTCTCCTGGTAGTGCTCGTGGCACCATATGGGATCCTAGGAATCGAACCTGGGTCAGCCACATGCAAAGCAAATGCCCTCCAGCTCCTTTTTCTCCTTTGTTAAATGGATGAATGTCTGAGTGAGGCATGCCAGGGATGGACCCCAGGGCCTCATATGTGCAAAGCATGCACTGTGCCACTGAGCTGCATCTCTGAGCCTTAAACTGTGAACTTCCGGAAGGACTTCATTCCTCTTTGTACTTCTAGCCCCCAGCGAGTTACTTGGCATATAATAGGTACTCAGTGAGCTCTTGTCTAGTGAATACATAACTGGAAGTGTGATCCATTTATTTGCTTGCTAACACTGAGTCAGAATGACTTAGGAACTGAAAATTTCAGACAACAGCACAACCGTGGGGCTTTGATTCTTCTGGTGTCTTAATGCTAAAATCACAGTTTTATTTTTTTCATGCTAAAGAACTACCAAATTTCAGGCTAGAGCGGTAGCAGATAGGGTGTTTGACTCGCATGCGGCTGATCGGGGTTTGAACCCTGGCATCCCATTTGATCCCCTGCATTCCATATGACCCTGAGCACTGCCAGGAATAATTTCCTGAGTGTGGAGCCAGGAACTAACCCCTGAGCACTGCTGGCTGTAACCCAAAAAGCAAAAAAGTCAGGGGGCTGGAGCAATAGTACAGTGGGTGGGGTGTTTGCCTTGCATGCGGCCAACCTGGGTTTGATTCCCAGTGTCCCATATGGTCCCCCAAGCACCGCCTGGAGTAATTTCTGAGTGCAGAGCCAGGAGTGTGACCAAAAAAATGTGTCAGATTTTAAATGTCTGAGAAATGGTTAGGTAGACTGATTAGACAAAGGATGTTAGGAATAGAGGGTATTATAGTTTAATAGTCATTGGGGAGAGTGTGCATTTTTGTCTAACTGAAACAGGTAAAATGCATACTTCAAATTAGAACCTCTTAAAATGAAATTGTTAGTCTAAATGTCAGTAATTTGTTTTCATGAGTTGAGGAAGCACTGTGTTTAGATCCTTTTTATTTTCTTCCTTGATAAGAAATGAATGCTTCCCTCTACAGATCGAAACAAAAGAAATTTTTGCTGAACGCCAGATTTTGTTGAAAGATATGGATTTGCTGAGAGAACGAGAAGAACAACTGAAACAGAAAATAGATGCCTTTGATCTGTAAGTAACATAAAAATGTTCACTTTGGATATTCAGAATGAATGAGGTTTAGATGAACAAGTAAATAATATGTTTTAATATTCTAATGTTACCTGCCAGGTAGAGTTCTTAAAGTTGTAAAGGTGATAGCACCTAGTTTTCAAAGGGACAAGTTAAGAGAAATAAGAGACTTGTGTTTTGCATTTCGAAGGCCTGGGAATGTGACTCGGTGGTAGAGCACCTGCCTTCCATGCATGAGGCCTAGAATTTAATTCCTGGTACCACCTCACATTGTTTAATGTGACCCTTAGTGCTATTTTTCTGACCCTCCTGTGCTCTGCAGCAACTGTGACCCCCAGCCCACTAAGTGTCAAAGTGTGCACTCCACAGACATTAAACCAACAGTAGCAACAACGGGTTGTGTGTGTATGTGTGGTTGAGACATTAGGGTAAAAAGCAGAATGAGAGAGTACCATCAGGCTACAGTTGTCACTGTCACTGTCCTCCCATTGTTCATCAATTTTCTCGAGCGGGCCCAGTAATGTCTCCGTTGTGAGACTTTTGTTGTTACTGTGTTTGACATATCAGATACGTCACGGGGAGCTTGCTAGACAGTATAATTAATGCTTTATGGAATTATGATTCAGCTTTGAGAGATTCCAGGGGTTAAGGGACTTTACTTCCCTTGTGGTCAACCAGACTCAATTCCCTGAGCATGGTTCCCCGAGCATCTCCCAGAGCAACTCCTGAGCGTTGCCAGGTATATCCCATCCAACCCTCAGGATAAATTTGGGCGTTGGGACCACACCCAAAAGTACTCAATTGCTTACTCCTGGCTCCTTAGTCACTGGTCACTCCTGGTGGGGATCAGGGGAACACATGTGGCGCTGAGCATGGAACCCAGGTCATCTGTAAGCAAGGCACGTGCCCTACCTGCTATACTTATTGCATCCATCCTCAAAGAATAACGTTTAAAAATATCGTGTTCACATTGGTCTTTCAGATTGAATAGTCCCTCTGTATTGCCCTGCTCTGGTACTCTGCCTAGGTGAAACTAGTTCTTGTAAGCTGCATGGCTTACTTTCACCTAAGTGAATATTTTGTCCTTCATGTCTAACCTGGGAATAATAGCACTGTAGCACTGTCCTCCTGATGTTCATCGATTTGCTCGCGCGGGCACCAGTAACGTCTCACAACAAATTGTGAGACTTGTTGTTACTGTTTTTGGCATATTGAATATGTCACGGGTAGCTTGCCAGGCTTTGCCGTGTGGGCGAGATACTCTCGGTAGCTTACTGGGCTCTCCGAGAGAGGGGCGGAGGAATTGAACCCGGGTCGGCCATGTCAGCCGCGTGCAAGGCAGGGAATAATAGCAACCTAACTAAATATGCTTTATTTGAGATCTGTAGACACTCCAGGACTCTTCATTAAAGATTTGTCTCCATTTTCATTGACATTTTCTCATTTATATAGGTTCGGTTCATTTGGTTTCTGTTCTCTGTCTACCTTACTCTCTTCCGGGGAAACACACACATATACATGTATACATATATTATTGCACAAACGTAAATACACACATTATTCCTTATTCTTCTGTCCACCCCCTTGACCTCATCCTTCCACCCAAGATCCGAGCTGACTCCCTAGTTGGCTGCTCGTTTGCTTTGCTGAGTAGCCAGCAGGGGGAGCCAGCACACCGAGCCTGTACCCTTGGTTGAAATACTCCACGTTCTGCACATTGCTCTTTCTGGTTTGATCTGAGTATCAAGGAACTCGATTCCTTAGCACTGGAATTGTTTTTGTTTGGGGGGTTTTGGGCCACACCCAGCGATACACAGGGGTCACTTCTGGCTTTGCACTCAGGAATTACTCCTGGTGCTACTTGGAGGACTATATGGGATGCTGGGAATCGAAGCCAGGTTGGCTGCATGCAAGGCAAACGCCCTATCTCCTGTACTATTGCTCTGACCCCTGAAATTGTTTTTTGTAGTTGATTTAGATCTCATTATAAAGACCATTCCTTTCTTTCTTTTATTCAGGAATTCTCTGCTCTTTTGGAATTCTTTTTAGTATTCAATCAAATCCTCTACCTACCTCTGACAAGTTACATTGCACAATTAAAAATATTTTTAAAACCAAAAAGCATATAAATACACTCATTTAAGTTTGTTTTGTAGCTTTGTAACTAATTTCCATTCTCTCACACCTGGTTATGGGCATTAGCTGTAAACTATTTGGCAGGGTGGGGGGTTGTGTGCACACCCAGTAGTGATCAGGGGTTCCTCCTGGCTCTGCACTCAGGGATCACTCCTGGCGGGGCTTGAGAGACGGTATGGGATGCCGGGGATTGAATCCAGCTCAGCCTCATGCGAAGCAGGGGTCCTATTCATTGTCCTCTCACTTGGCCCCAACAACCACTGTCTGCTAATCCACATCCAGCATCACTAGGTTATTTCATCGTGTAGATGGAGAACTTCTAAGGTTTCTGTGTGCGTACTTCCCAGCAATGACAGTGACATCAAAGTTTAGTCTGTGGCACTAAAAGAATGTTTTTCTGACCAAAGTTTTACTTCCAATGTTGTGGTTTTCATATTTGCTCTGTTTTTTTTTTTGATAATTCTAGGGCTCAGAAAGTAAAAGAAGAAGAAAACAAAGCCATCAAAGAGTCATTGAAGAAACGGGAGGAGGATATTAAGAACATCGAAGAGACCTATGAAGAAAAACTTAAGAACGAAATTCTAAAGTAATTGATTAGTGTTTTTAAGCAGTAATGTGCTTCACTTGGGTTGGTGGCAACTGGACAACACTGATAAAGCAGAATAGATGGACATTTATAGCAGAATATAGTATTTGAAAATACGTATTATCATTATAATCAAGGCTTTTCTACAAGTATTTGAATTAAGGTCACCCAAATAACCACAGTACAAGGCTGGAGAGACAGCTCAAAGGAATGAGGGTCTGCTTTGCATGCAGGAGGCCTGGATTTCATTCCTAGCACTGCCTGGTCCCCGGGAGTGACCCACGAGCACTGAGCCAGGAGTTGTGCCTGAGGGCCCCTGGTGGGAACACAAAAACAAAAATATAAATATATATACCATCGTGAATAGAAATCTTTATTTGTTCTTGTGACTTCTCTAAGCTGTATCAAGAGCTTGAGATTTGCTTTAGTTTTTAGGGTTCTTTATGATTTTCTCTGTGCTATCACTCCAGCCCCTAAAAAGGTAAAGGCCCTCCCGTTGTTCATGGATTTGCTTGAGCGGGCCCAGTAACGTCTCCATTGGAGACTTTGTTGTTACTGTGTCTGGCATATCGAATACGTCATGGGGAGCTTGCCAGGCTCTGCTGTGCAGGCGAGATACTCTCGGTAGCTTGCCAGGCTCTCCGAGAGGGGCGGAGGAATCGAACTCGGGTTAGCACAGCAGGTAGGGCATTCGCCTTACAAGCGGCCAACATGGCTGACCCGAGTTCAATTCCTCTGCCCCTCTCGGAGAGCCCGGCAAGCTACCGAGAGTATTCGATATGCCAGACACAGTAACAACAAAGTCTCCAATGGAGACGTTACTGGGCCCGCTCGAGCAAATCGACGATCAACGGGAGGGCCTTTACCTTTACCTTACCTTATGATTTTCTCAACTTGCACAGCTGGTAAGCTGTAAAATTGGAATCATAATCACTTTCAGTTATCATTTCCTCTGGCTCCCTTGTGCTGCTTCTTTTTTTTTTTCTTGTGCTGCTTCTGAGATGCAGATAATTTAAGTTTATTGATTACTGTAAGTGGTTATATTGTTTGTCAGCAAACACATGCCTGGTATTTCTTCAAGATTGCGAGAAGCCAGAACATGGCAAACTAAAATGAATTATATGACATTAAAAATTATAAAGAAAGAAAATAATGGGTAGCTATGGCTACTCACAGTTTTCCTCTAGCTTTAGTTCCATGTTCCAGTGAATAATATCTTAATGCAAAGATATTAAATCCAAGTGGCAGCTTTTTTTTTTGGCTTTTTCGGCCAGACCCATCAATACTCAGGGGTTACTCCTGGCTCTGCTCTCAGGAGTTACTCCTGGCAGTTCTCAGGGAACTGCATAGGATGCTAGGGGTTGAACCTGGATCAGTTGCATGCAAGGCCAGTGCCCTACCCACTGTACTATTGCTCTGACCCCCATATGGCAGCATTTTGATCCCGTATGTGGCATATTAACTAATGCTCAGTTCATATTTACCAAGTCAACAAATGTATAGCTAAGAGATGACTCAACTGTGGGAATGTCTTAATCATTGGCAACTTTTTATTGTCATGTTTATAGTTTGTCATTCCTTTTCCATGATGTAGTACCTGCAAAGTTTTCTGCAGGTCATTCTCCAGAAGGGTCTTATAGAGAAACAAAACCTGAAGATTCAAACTTGTATCCATTTTTTTTCTTTTTTGGGTCACACCCAGCGATGCACAGGGGTTACTCCTGGCTCTGCACTCAGGAGTTCCTCTTGGAGGTGCTCAGGGGACCATATGGGATATGCTGGGAATCGAACTTGGGTCGGCCGCGTGCAAGGCAAATGCCCTACCTGCTGTGCTATCTCTCCAGCCCAAACTTGTATCCATTTTGAAATGATGGATCTTGCCTACATACTTTCTGCCAGGTCTTCTAATTCGGTAGCAAACACTGAAGTATCTGCAATTGTTAAACATTTAGGAATCAATGAAAAAAAAATAGTGAACACGAACTTTCCAAAACCCATAGAGAGCAGGAACTGTTGGATCATTTATCTACCTTTGGGTACCCTTGTGAGTCTGCCAAAGGTTGGAGTTTAGGGATTATTACACACAGGAGTGCTTCTTTTTCATTTCTTCCATCTCGGGAGCTACAATATCAGCGTGTACCCGCTGGTGGGGAGTAGTAAAACCTGGTGAGAATGTGCGTTTCGGGATCCCTCATCCCTAATGTACTAGCACATTCCCTAATGTACTGGCAGCAGTTGGATCTTCTGCTTTGCCGAGCTGCTGCTGAGAGCATAAGTACTTTGCTCATTGGTAGGGAATATTGACAGTGGATTAGAAGTGACTGGTTATCATCTGGGGTATACAGTCTGTCGCATACAGACTAAATATGTAATTTACTTCTTTATGTCAGTGGGGACCAACTGAGCAATCATTGCTCTCAGTAACCTCAGTGTAACACCACCCTTTAGTTTATGTGATGGACTTTGTGTGATAGACCCAATTTACAGGGTCACAGAAAGGTGATTCAGAGCCCCGAGAGTCAGAAAGTCAGAAATAGGCACATTGTTGTGTCCAGTGCCCTTAGGTTTCCCTCCAACCCCGTGCCATGGTGGGTTCAGGTGTTGAGGGCAGTCTGTCCAGGAACTCACAGGAGTCATTCTGATTCTCAGATGCCAGATCGAACTAAAGGATGATTACATCGCTAGATCCAACAAACTGGTGGAAGATGAAAAGAAGAACAAGGGTAAGACTTGAGAGGTGTGGGTGTGGTGGGGAAACTTATTTTTCTACTTCTAATGCATGTTATTAGTTTCCTAAGTTTTTTGTGGCTTTTTGGGTCACACTCAGCAGTGCTCAGGGGTTACTCCTGGCTCAGCACTCACAATTAATCCTGGCGTTGCTCGGGGGACCATATGGGATGCTAGGGATTGAACTCGCGTCGGCCATGTGAAAGGCGAACAAATGCCTTACCCCTGTACCATCTCTTCGGCCCGAGCTTCCTAAGTTGAGTCTTTTCTATACTCTAGTACATGGTTTACACTTAATTGTTCCTGCACGTTGCATATTTTTGCCCTTATAATTTTGCAAGATTATAAGAGCAACCACTGCCTCTCACTGGTTCTATAAACCTTCATGTTTAACTTTTCTTATCTCCAAGTGCTTTATCAGCCAGATTTTATCCAACTTGATTCAGTGTAACCTGTGAGTGTCAGGCAGGTGGCAGCAGCTTCCTGCCATCTGGAAATGATACTCCATGAGGGACTTCATTTTCCACTTGTGGAGAGTCTAATTTGAACTTCTTTCTGCCCTGTGACCTAGTTTCTTTTTCTCTTGCTTCTAGTACCTTTTTATGCTTCACATTTTCACTCAACATATCGCCTCATAAACTCAGAAATACGTTAGCTTAAGGTGAGAGAAGTGGGACGGTTTTTCAATATTTGCACTATTTTCCATTTCTGTGTATTTTAAGAAAAGCTTAAGCTTTAATTGGATCCTTGGGAGGGACCCAGGGTTGGGTACTTGCCACTTGGGCAGCGGGGGTCCGAGTGTGGCTGCTCCTCATGTGATTCTTGTGGGGACACTGGTGGATTGTTAGGAACTAACTCCATCATATATTCAGCAAATTATTTTTTTATTTGAAATATTCTTTGTATTTTTTATTTTTTTTATTAGTGAAACACCACGAGGTACAGTTATAGACTTACAAATTTTTGTGCTTGGTTTTCAGTTATATAATGATCAAGTACCCATCCCTCCACCAGTGCCCATCCTCCACAACCACGGGTCCCAGCATCCCTCCCACCCCCATCCCCCCATCCCACCCTGCCTCTGTGGCAGGTCATTCCCTTTTGTTCTCTCTCTTTCTCTCTCCTTTTGGGTTCTGTGGTTTGCAAGAGAGGCATTAAGTGGCAATCATGTTTGGTCTATAGTCTACTTTCAGCATGCTTCTCCCATCCTGGGAGGATCCTCCCAACATCCTTTATTTGGTGCTCCCTTCTCTATCTGAGCTTCCTTTTCCCCTAGCATGTGTGGCTGGCTGGCCTCCAAGTCATGGAGGAAAATTCCTGGTGCTAATCTTGGTCACTCCTGGGTGTTAGTTTCCCATTATGTTACTTTATGTTCCCCAGATGAATGCAATCTTTCTGTGTCTATCCCACTCTTTCTGAGTCATTTCGCTTAACATGATACTTTCCATGTAGTACCACTTGTATGAAAATTTCATGAGTTCATCTTTTCTAACAGCTACATAGTACTCCATTGTGTAAATGTACCAAAGTTTCTTTAACCAATCATCTATTCAGCAAATTCTTTGATGACATGCCTACATAGAATGGTGTGAAGTAAAGTACAGGCAGCACAGTAGGAACTAGAAAGCCCTAATAGACACATCTTTCAGGAGATTCAGACTTGTTAGTATGAGGCCTTTGAGTAGTTAGGGTCAAGTCGGCTCACGGACTATCACGAGGAAGTTCCCCAAGTCTGTGACCTGTATATCTGCTCATCGCCTGCTGGGTAACAGGGCTGCTACTTTCCCGCTGATATTTTGGCCTCGGCATTTGCTACTTGATTTTATTTACCTAGAGAGTTCGGAGAGCCCGGCAAGCTACCGAGAGTATATCTCTATATCTGCTCATCGCCTGCTGGGTAACAGGGCTGCTACTTTCCCGCTGATATTTTGGCCTTGGCATTTGCTACTTGATTTTATTTACCTAGAGAGTTCGGAGAGCCCGGCAAGCTACCGAGAGTATTCGATATGCCAGACACAGTAACAACAAAGTCTCCAATGGAGACGTTACTGGGCCCGCTCGAGCAAATCGACGATCAACGGGAGGGCCTTTACCTTTACCTTTACCTTTACCTTTACCTTTACCTTTACCTTAGAGAGTGGGGAGGAATTGGACCACACCCAGCAGCTTCTAGAGGCCTACCCCTGGCTCTTTGCTTGGGGATTGCTCCTGGCAATGCTTGGGGGAGCCGTTGTCATGCCAGGTATCGAACAAGGGTCAACCGTGAGCAAGTAAAGCACTTTAACCTGTGATTCTCTCTCACACCAACATCTGCTCTCTTAAATGATGAAGTAAGGGTCATTGGCAGCACACTGGTCATGAATGATTAAGTGATATTGGTATTCCATAGGAAAAAAATTGCTAAATTGGTTGGTTCTTCCTTTCAGAAAGAACTGTGCATTTGGAGGAGGAACTCTCAGCTTTAAAATCAAAACTGGAAGCGTTCAGTCACTCTGAAAACCATGCTAAAGAACTTGAGGTAACTTTCCATCCTGTTATTCTTTTTTTTTGTTTTTGGGTCACACCCAGCAATGCACGGGGGTTATTCCTGGCTCTGCACTGAGGAATTACTCCTGGCGGTGCTTGGGGGACCATATGGGATGCTGGGAATCGAACTCAGGTTGGCCGTGTGCAAGGCAAACGCACTACCTGCTGTGCTATTGCTCCAGCCCCCATCCTGTTATTCTTTTTTTTATTTTTCTTTCTTTTTTCTGCTCTCAGGGTTGTCTGTACAAATAGCACAGGAAGGACTCATAGGGAAACAGCCCAGAGGTTACCCCTATCCTTCCATGCTCACACTGACAGCCTCTTCGGGAGCCTGGGTGGGGTCCCGGGCACCTTTGGGAGTTAGAGCTGGCACTGGAGCTGCAGCGGGCTGGGTCTTACTTCGGGCTTTGGCCCTAGCCTGGGTTGCATCCTTGGTTTCAACCCCTGGCAGAGCGTGAGACTCTTGGCAATGCGGGCATGAGCATTTTCCCAAGCTCGGGGTGAGCAATATATGCAAGCTGACTGAGCCTGTGACTGTTCTTTGTGATAATGGCCCTGGCCTACTTGGACTTCGCAGGGACCCTGACAGCCTCGGCCTGGGAACTCATGGCCTTAGCATGGTTAGCCTGCATCTTCTTCAGGCCCTTCTTGTTGTGCTTCTTGGCAAAACGCATGTTCCTTAGGAATTTGGAGTCTAATTCTTTAAGAGACTCCTGTGTTGTGACCAAAGTTTCTTTCTTTCTTTTTTTTTTTTTGCTTTTTGGATCACACCCAGCAATGCTCAGGGATCACTCCTGTCTCTGCACTCAGGAATTATTCCTGGCAGTTCTCAGGGGACCATATGGGATGCTGGGGATTGAATTTGGGTTGGCCACATGCAAGGCAAATGCCCTACCCGGCCCTGACCAAAGTTCCTTTTATTTATTTATTTATTTTCTTTTTTGGTCATGCCCAGTGATGCACAGGGGTTACACCTGGCTCTGCACTCAGGAGTTACTCCTGCTGGTGCTCAGGGGACCATATGGGATGCTGGGAATCGAACCCGGGTCAGCCGCATGCAAGGCAAATGCCCTACCCGCTGTGCTATCTCTCCAGCCCCGACCAAAGTTTCTTAATGCCTTTTCTGTGCCATTATTGAGACTGGTTGTGCGTAGTGTGGTTCTTGGACTTGGCTGTGTCTGCATGGTTTGCGTTTCTACCTCTGGGAGTCACGGATGACTCTGGTTAACCGTACTCACCATGACCACAGTTCCCCTGTTATTATTTTCAATGAATCTTGAACAGTATATGAAAATTCAGCTTCAGTCCTACACAGCTATCCTCTTGATTTTAGGGGATTATTTAGTATTAAAGAACCCAGAGGTCAGAGGCTGAACTAAATTTACTTATTCCCTCATTTCAGTCTCGACCTCTTTTTTTTTCTTTTTGGGTCACACCCAGCAATGCTCAGGGGTTACTTCTGGCTCTGCACTCAGGAATTACTCCTGTCGGTGCTTAGGGGAACCATATGGGACGCCGGGGATTGAACCCAGGTCGGCTGCGTGCAAGGCAAACGCCCTATCCTCTCCAGCCCCAGTCTTGACCTCTCTTGAGAAGCAAAGAAAGGGCATGTTTTGGCAGTGGTGAGAATCCCATTCTCAATCCTTTCTCCCTTTACTGCTTGTGTGTCTCTGCCAAAGTTTGTGACCATACATTCCCTATCCGTAAGCACGGGGGTATTGCCCACGGCCCATGGTGGATGAGGGAATTCAGGGAGGCAGAGCAGTCAGTACTGATGAGTTTTCCCTCTCTGAACCATCCATCAGAAGTAGGGAAACCTTCTTGTCAATATGTCCAGATTGTGCAGAAACTAAGAAAATGAGATGCACTTTCCACATGCCACTGTTTCTTTTTTCTTTTCATTTGTGTGCTTGCTCTGTGAAGAACAGTACCGGAAGTTGGAGGACTTAAAATATATCCTGTAGGGCTGCAGAGATAGTATGAGGCTTAAGGTACTTGCCTTGCATGCAGCCAACCCTGGTTCAGATCCATTGCCAGGGGTCACTAGCCCCTGCGTGTGAAACAAAAATAAAGAAGAAAATAAAATATTTATATTTTTTTGTATCTAAATTTTGTTTTAATTTACATATATATTTGGGTGGGGGACACCCAGTGGTGCTTAGGGCTTACTCCTGGATCTATGCTTAGAAATCCCTCCTGGTGGAGCTTGGGGGAACATTTAGGATACTGTGAATCAAACCTGAGTTGACTACATAGAAAGCAATCACCTTACCCCTTATACTATCTCTCTGCCCCCCTAACTCGGGGAAATTTATTATAGGCTTTCACGGCCATGCATGTGGTATGCTTAGATGGGCAAAGTCCTTCCCCGCCCATGTCCTCTCATGTACCTGCATGCTCTGTCTCCTGTTTACATAAAAATGGTGCTGCAATCTGTGATTCTTTGGGGGGCAAGGTTATGCATGGAAAATGGTGTTATCATCTGCATCAAAAGCCTGTACTTGGGGCTGGAGCAATAGCACAGCAGGTAGGATGTTTGCCTTGCACGCAGCCAACCTAGGTTCGATTCCCAGAATCCCATATGGTCCCCCGAGCACTGCCAGGAGAAATTCCTGAGTGCATGAACCAGGAGTAACTCCTGTGCATCGCTGGGTGTGACCCAAAAAGGAAAAAAAGCCTGCGCTTGGGCCAGAGCAACTGGACAATGGTTTGCCTTGCATGTGGCAGACCCAGGTTTGATCCCTGGCATCCAATATAGAGCCCGCCAAGGAGTGATTCCTGAGTGCAGAGCTAGGAGTAGCCCCTGAGCACTGCCAGGTCTGGCCCCCAAAGCCTGTGCTCTGTAGGAGAGGAGTCTCCGTCTTGCCCCAGCTCTGGGCCGAAAGGTATTCATGAAGGTAGTTTGCCTCTTGTTTGAGGGGCCCAGACCTCTGCCAGGGAACCTTAATCAAATCACAGCTTCCCATTCAGAGCAGGTCCATGACGTTGTATTTCAAATACGAGTGCTCCTTTTGCAATTCCAGCTTGAATTAGAGTCTGCCAAAGTCCAGGTTTTAGCACTAACTGAGCAAAACCAGAAGCTAAATGAGAAGGTCAAGGAGAAGAACTCCATACTAAAGGAAGAAAACCTGGCCCTTCAGGCGCAAAACAGACTGCTCCAGCAGCGCCTGGAAGAGAGCAGAAATGAAAACTTTCGTCTCCGGAATAGTAAGTTCATTATGAGTTCGTGTGCTTGGCATTTCATCAGACTAATACTAGGAAGCTGTACTTTATACCTGCAAAGGAGCCAGCACCAGAGATTTGATAAAATGATATTTCTCAGATTGTAATTGTTTCCTTTTTGTTTGCTATCGCATAATTTATGGTGTCAGTGTAAGAAGATTTTAAAACTGTCCAGGTAGGCCTCTGGATAGGAACGGGCTTCCCTTGCCTTCTCACAGGGTCAGGCCTCCAGGGACTCCAGAGCTGGCCTGTAACGTCTCCCTGGGCCACTGTATCTGCACACCCTCTTCATCTCTAGGGATTTCTCCTTCACCAGCCTGCCAGCCCCATGCAATAGCTAAAAATGTGGTTCAGTTACAAGTCCAGGGATCCCCATAATCTTTGTGGCTATCCTCTGCAGGATACCCATTATTCAAGGGACCTCCAGTGACCTGACAAGGGGGTACTTCAAGGTTTCTAAGCCTGTACCCTAAGTGTTCTGCCATGGGACATCTTTTTTGGCCTTCCATTCACAGTAGAAGAAAGAGAGAGGTTTTCAGATCCTCAGGAAGCGTTAACTCCATCTAAGTAGGACCCTGAGGAGTCACCAAGATTGTCACTTGCATATATTAAATCATTTCGCTTTGAAATTGGTGAAACAGGATCAGTTAGTTCATTTGTAAAATTGACATCCTATTAAGGGCATCCCTGCCAAGAAACTTTAAGTGAATTTATTACATGAAATGAGAGAACTCCAGATTGTTGATGACCAGACTTTCTCACCTCCTTAGGACAACCAAGGTCATCATCTGCTGAGATTGTAGTTGTTGAGCAGGACCACCACCCAAACCCAGAAGGGTTTAACTCCAGTTTGCCTTCACGTGGGAGTTTTGAAACCCACAGGCAAGCTCTCCACAAGCAACTACGAACTGAAGTGAGTATCGCTTCCTGCTTTCCTTGTGGTGCCCATTCCCAGATGTCCATCATACCAAGTGATTTGAACACCCAAAAGAACTCCCTTGATCTGTTGTGTGTCCTTTCTCATCTGCACAAACGCTTGCATGTTTATATGCCTTGATAGTCATAATAGTAATCGAATCTGAAGGAAAGCAAACACACCCAAATACAAACTTCCTCAATTCCTGCTAGTTCCTGGTATTCTAGCATCTCTTGGTTCTCTCCTTGAGTCTGGCAGAGAACAGCGCGCTCCTTCTGAGGGCTGCCTTGTGCCCTGGAGGAGCTGTTCTTTGAGATGAGTTTAAAAGAGAGCAAAAAAAGTTATTCATGTGCTCTGCTTGTTTCTGTTTTATTGGGACACTGTGCATTAGAGTTGTAACACCTCTCCGAATTAGCAGACTAGGAAAAGTAAAGGCCCCATAAGAGGGGTTTCCTTTTCAAGTGAATTGTACACTGATTTCCTTCTCTAAACTGTTTCAGATTGAGCATTCTGCACAGCTGAAGGCCCAACTATTGGATTATGATTCTTCTGTGAAAAGGTTAACAGCACAAGTTTCTACTCTAAAATTGCAACTGAGACAAACTCAAACAGGTTAGAGTAATTTTTAACCTTTAAATGTGTGTGTGTTTCTCTTATAAGAGAAATGTCATAGGACATACATCACCAGGCTGAAACAATAGTATAGCATGTAGGGCATTTGCCTTTGCATGTGGCTGACCCAGGTATGATCCCTGGCATCCTATATGGCCCCCCAAGCACCTCCTGGGGTAATTCATAAGTGAATAACCAGAAATAACTCCTGAGCATCTCCAGGTATGACCCCAAAAGCCAAGAAAAAAATAATAATACACCATCATACATGTAAAACTCCCTTGATCATTTCAGAGAGTACCAACCCAGATCATTAACTTGCGTAATTGGTTCACAGATGTCTCATACCCCAACTCGAATGGTGTGGTGTGACCCATGTGTCCAAATCCCTCCCAGGCTTATGCTCTCCTCTCCTATTTGTTCCCTGGATGATAAGCCCAACAACTCTTGGGTGACTTGACATATTCCTCCACCAGGTGTGTTACTGTCAGAAGCATCAGAGGCCTCACATAGTCAGAAACTAGTCCTCACTGGTTTTGAAGTAAACCAGATTTCATTTGGAGGGTTTTAGGAAGGGGAAGGGGGGAGAGAAAGTGAGAGAGAGGAACACGCTCAAGAGTGAATGTGGGCTTCTCCAAAAGGCAGAGCCCCTCCACACACCCTAGCATCAGGTAAGAAAGCATAGAAGCACATACCTCAACAGGGAGATGTGGTGCTCAGGATCAACCCAGGGCTCCTGCACACAGAACACGCACTCATTTCATTGGGCCATCTCTCTGTCTCTTACTGATATGCCCCACCCCTTTTCCAGGTCACATAGAAAACAAGCAAAATCAGGTCTGGTTAAGCTTTCCAAATCTATTACAAATGTAGTTTGTGCTTGGAGCTTTTTGTATTTAAAGACTGTGGAAAATGCCCTGCATTACAAATGAAAATCTGTTAACCTAGTCTGTAGATACTCTTAGCCCATGTCAGTTGTGGCTGTCATTACTGTGGTTTAATAGTGCAATTATTTTTTGCTTTTTGAGCCATACCCAGCTATGCTCAGGGGTTACAACTGGCTCTGCACTTAGGAATCACTCCTGGCAGTACTTGGGTACCATATGGGATGCGAAGGATTGAATCTGGGTTAGCCATATGCAAGGCAAATGCCCTCCCTACTATACTATTGCTCCGGCCCCTAATAGTGCAATTTTTTCTTGTTAATACTTTTTTTTTAAATGATGATCTAGAGTGGATGGTAATTGTATTCTCCAGTGTTCCCCCTGGTTTTGTGCGCCCATTTTCCCCTTCTAACCCACAGCTTTGGAGAATGAAATGTACCACAATCCAAAGCCTTCAGGTCCAGAGTGCTCTAGTTCTCCCGGCGAGTTCTTGACAGGGAACGTTCCGCCCCTCGGCTCCGATGCAAGCGGCGACCTCCCCGGACTACTGCAAGACCAGGAAAGGCTGGAGGAAGGTGCAGTGAGGACTGAAAGGGGTGACCAGGAGACCGCTTCCCCTGATTCCGACTTAGAGTTTGTAGCCATCACCAAGGCTCGGGTGAAGGAGTTAGAGGAAGAGGCTGAACAACTGGAGAAGACCTTTCAAGACTACAACCTGCGGGCCAGCCAGCAGCAGCCTCACAGCCTGATAGACGAGGCACAGCTGCTTCCCCTGCAGTTCATGAGAAGCTCGCGGAGTTTCACACCCAGATCCCGGAGGAGATGTTTCCTCGCCGACAGCAGAGTGGGGTCTGAGGCTCCGCTGGGGGGCCTGCCTGATGGCGAGAAGAGCGAGTCAGCAGAAGGAGCATCCAGCAGTAGGTCCCCTCGGCGGAGGGGTATCGCCTCCCGCCGCCTGTCATCCATGGCCAAACGGAGCTTAGAAGATGAACTGGGCCTCGAAGGTAAGTCGCTCTGGCGAGAGATGCGGGCTGCCCTGCGTGGCATGGGCCCAGACTTTTTTTTTTCTTTTTTTGGGTCACACCCGGTGATGCTCAGGGGTTCTTCCTGGCTCTGCACTCAGGAATTACTTCAGGCGGTGCTCGGGGGACCCTGTGGGATGCTGGGAATCGAACCCAGGTGGGCCGCGTGCAAGGCAAACACCCTCCCCACTGTGCTATCACTCCAGTCCCTGGACCCAGACTTTAATGGGTCTCTGATCTACTTTTCTGAGCCACCAGGACTGACAGCCTCAAGCATCAGTGCCATCACAGGCTCTCCTTACCTCCGCCGACACACAGCCGGCCACATGGGCTGCCTTAGGGTAGAAGGCAGCGGATTGTGCCAAGTTTGCCAGCATGTTGGCCATAGGTTGCGGCTCCAGCGGTGACAGTGGCTTCCCCTTACCCTCTAGTGCTGCCACCACAGTGCCATTCCAGTGCTTGAATTGTGTGTCTTGTACCACTTCTGTGTTCACTCAGCTGCTTGCAAGGATGGCAGAATGCCTTTGTAAAGCAGTAGGATACTTTAAAAAAATTAATTGGATCACTGTGTGATGCACAGTTACAAAGTTCAGGATTGAGTTTGATACAATGCTCTAACACCCATCCCTTCACAAGTGTACATTTCCCAATACCACTGTCCTCAGTTTCCCTTCCACCCCCCCTCACTGCCCTATCAGCCTGTCTCTATGGCTCTGACAGGTCTCGCTCTCTCTCTTTCCATCTCTCCCTCTCTCCCTCCCCTCTCTGTCTCTCATTTTCCTTTTAGGCACTGTGATTTGCAGTATTTTTACTGAAAAGGTATCATGCATATCACTTTACCTCCTGTCAGCACTCAGTTCTTATCCAGAGTGATTATTTTCAACTATCATTGTATAGCGCTCCCTTCTCTGTCCTAATTGCAGTGTATCCCTTTGTGGCAAGCTTCCTACCATAGACCAGTCCTGGCGCTTGTTTCTACTGTCTTCGGGTATTATTTTCATACTATGTTTTTTTTTTTATCCCACAGATGAGTGTGATCATTCTGTTTGTTTACTTAGCATGATACTCTCCAAGGCCATCCATACATAAGCAAATTTCATGACTTGATTTTTCCTAACAGCTGCATAGTATTCCATTGTGTACATTTGCCATAGTTTCTTTAACCAGTCCTCTGTTCTTGGGCACTTGAGTTGTTTCCAGATTCTGGCTATTGTGAACAGTGCTGCAACGAACATAGGCGTGAAGATGGCTTTTCTGCATTGTGTGTTGGGGCCTTTGCTGGGTTGTGTGGAAGCTCAATTTCTAGTTTTTTGAGTAATATTTATATTGGTTTCCAGAAAGGCTGACCCAGTCAGCATTCCCTCTGGCAGTGAATAGTAGTCCACTTCTCTCCGCATCCACGCCAGCATTGGCTGTTCTTTATAATGCGTGCATGAGTCTTTGTGGCATGAGATATTGTTATGATTTGCATCTCCCTGATAATTAGTAATGCGCAGCACTTTTTTTCATGTCCTTTTTGGCCACTTTTATTTCTTCTAAGGAAGTTTCTGTTGATCTCTTCTCTCCATATTTTGATGGAGCTGGATGATTTTTTTCTTATGAAGTGCCACCAGTGCCTTAAATATCTTTTATATTAATGCCTTATCAGATGAGTTTTGGATAAATCATTTTTCCCATTCTGTGGGCTGTCTTTATATCCTGGTCATCATTTCCTTTCCTTTTTTTTTTTTTTTTTGCTTTTTGAGTCACATCCAGTGATGCACAGGGGTCATTCCTGGTGGCTCTGCACTCATGAATTACCCCTGGCGGTGCTCAGGGGACCATGTGGAATGCTGGGAATTGAACCCATGTCGGCCGCGTGCAAGGCAAACACCCTACCCGCTGTGCTATTGCTCCAGCCCTTCATCATTTCTTTTGAAGTGCAGAAGCTTATTAGTTTAATGTAGTTCCATTTGCTTCCACTTTCTTGGATCAGCAGTGTTTTATCCTCAAAGATACCTTTAGCTTCAGTGTCATGGAGCGTTAGCAGTAGAATTCTTTACAAATCACCTTGCTCTCTTCTCTCTGAAATTTGTAATATTCTCACCCTGGTTCCTTGTGCCCCGTAGGTGATGGACAGTCTTGTGTGAATAGCACAGATCGTTGTCTAAACAATATGCTTCAGCCTTTAGCAGCTGAGGCAAAATGCCGTTCTCCCACCCATTCCCACTACAGCACTCTGGACCCAAATGCCAGGTAAGCACCATGTTCTCCTCAGCTTGAGCTAAGTCTGGTTATCTGTTTGGTTTACGTAGGTGATGGTAAAGCCCATATCATGACAGTCTAGAATTTGGAGTCACAGATATTTGAGAATTATCTGAATTACCTGGGATAAAAGAGTCCTTTTAAACCGGAGAGATAGCTCAGTGCGTTTTAGTATATGCTTTGTTCAAGTCCCAGCACCACGTATGGTAGGTACCTTGAGTATTGCTGGGCGTGAGCTCTGAGTGCCAACATGCCTGGCTCAAAAGACAAAAAAAGAGGTCTTTTGCGAAGAACTTGTTTCTATTTCTTTGTTGTACTTTTTACTAAAGGTGGGATGCCCAGATCATTCCCAGAGCTTAGGGAGAAATGGGCAGAGAAGGAAAGAAACCAAGGGGGGGGGAAGGAATAAGATGAGAAAATGCAGTGAGGGGAAACAGGGGTCAGGGGCTTTGGTTATACTGATGATGTGGGAGAATGGTCTGGCTCTATATCCAAAGCACAGACTCAACAACACTGAAAATACGAATTCTGAGCTGTAACAACTGAACTTTGTCAAAGTGGCAGGCGGGGAGAGGGGGGGCGAGGAGGAGGATTGAGAGGGAGTATGGGAGCAGTGGTGGAGGGACACTGACATTGGCAGTGTGATTGGTACTGGAATATTGTATACCTAGTACTCAACTTTCAAAAGCTTTGTAAATAATGGTTGTTTCATTGACGAAAACAAAATTTTAAGTTATTTAAAAATATTTTTGGCATGTGAGACCAGAGAGATAGTACCAGGAGTAAAGCTCTTGTGACACACACACACACATACATGCATACATGCATGCATTTTTGGACCAGGTAGATGGTTCATAGGACTGAGTACATGCTTTGCTAGAGACAGCCCCAAGTACAGTCCCAGACACCCCTGTGTATGGCCCCAAATCAAACAAATCAACATTAGCATTTAAGTAGGCACCACGAAGATTCCTTTCTGCATGTTCCTGAAGCAAGTCTTAAGTGGGAGGTGGGCCTCAGGCCCTGTGGCTCAGCAGAGCAGACGGCTGTGTTCAGAGGTTCAGCAGTTGCTCTCTTATGGGTTGTTCTTCTAGTCATGAGAGGGACTCCTGCCCTGCCTGTTTAACCCTTTGCCGCAGTGGTGGGACTTTCTTTTTATTTTGGATGTTTGGATCACACCCAGGGATGCTCAGGGGTTACTCCTGGTTCGGCACTCAGGAATCACTCTTGGTGGTGCTTGAGGGAACCATTTGGAATGCCGGAGATCAAACCAGGTCGGCCAGGTGCAAGGCAAATGCTGTATCTGCTGTACATTTGCTCTGGCCCCATGGTGGGACTTTCTGCCTCTTGTTAGTGGGCTCAGGCATGAGCCTCTGCTAGGGGATTCAGTTCTGCTCTCCAGAGCTGGGAACTGCCTCTGGGCCTAGGTCCCAGAGTGGGTGCTGAGTGAGCACATCACCCCTTATTCCTTGTTGGCTCCTGGCTCTGTACCCAGGGATCACCCTTGACTGTGCTTAGGGAACCATAAGGGATGTCAGACATTGAAGATGGATTGGTGGCACTTGCAACAAGCACTCTAACCACTGTACTATCTCTCTGGCCCTTTGATCCTTGTTGGATGTAGCCCCGATAAGACACAAGATGGTGTCAGCTACTTTCATGTACAGATTTCTTTAGCTGGCTCCTGAGGAAGTTGCAGAATTAATTCTTTTAGATGAAATTCTGTGCTTCTGGAAAAACTTAACCTCTCCTCAGACTAGGCGTGAGAGGCACCATTGCTCTGCCATACGTGATTGAACCTACATCACATGCAGGGTGCTCACAGCCTTGCCCAGCACATGAGAGCTCTTTCTGGTCTCTGAATTTTATTTTCTAAAGCATTTTTTTCTGGTCACAAAGGCTTTTTGTAAGCCTATTCTCTTGGGTTTTACTTCATTAATGTCCCATATTCATGACTTTTGTTTTCCTAATCCAGTCTTTTTCAAAGGCCGGATGAAGTTGAAGACAGTGAATTTCCAAATCTGGACGATGTAGATTTTATGGATAAGGAGGAATTTGAAGCTTATGAATGTAAGTTCAAGTATGATTATTATGTTGATAATTGAAAAATTAGAAAGCTTAGTTTGCATGAAGTCTTGTTTCCCATTCTTATGAAAAGCAAAGAAGTTACAAATTAGTATATGTTGATTTTGTGCTAAAAACCACAAAGACAGATATATATTGACTAATTTTTATTAATATTTTTAGAGGCATGTCAATTTCTATTCTTCCAAATTTTGGATACAGTTCAAAAGCTACAGTGAAGCCGATATGTGAATCTGTAGCTTTCCTTGCCAAGTTTGGGATGGCCTCAGATTTGTTTATCTTAACATTTACTCTTCATTGTGCTGTGTGACGCCCTGATGTAATGCAGAAACCAAAATACCCACGTTTCCAAATAACATGACTCTCATCTCCACCAAGCATGCAGTCCTTATAGAAATAGGCAGAGCAACTTGGGTCTATATTCATTTCACGGCTGTATCAGTGACCTTGTTGCCTTGTTGGCTGCAGGGAGAAATATATAAAAGAGATGAAGAAAATGAAATCAGGCTAAACACGCACACACTCGCCCACCCTGTCACAGCTTCCGGTGGAAATCCAGTGGAAGCACGTCAGAGACAGCCTCAGATGATGCCAGAGTGGCACAGTGTAGACTCTATCATGCAAAGCGAAAGGCACATAAAAATGTCTCCACTTTAAAAATAGTTGGGGGGGGGGGTTGGAGCGATAGCACAGCGGTAGGGTGTTTGCCTTGCACGCAGCCGACCCAGGTTTGATTCCCAGCATCCCATATGGTCACCCCAAGCACCACCAGGAGTAATTCCTGAGTTCATGAGCCAGGAGTAACCCCTGTGCATCGCTGGGTGTGACCAAACAAAGCCAAAAAATAAAAATAAAAAATATATGATTGGGGTTGGGGGTTCTGGCACAGTGTGAGATCGGAGTTGGGTCCCCAGTGCTTCCCACTGGTACCAAGTGAAGTTCTGATGGCCCTGCACTCCCAGCCCTGCATATGCAAGCACTGGAACTGCATGGTGCAGACACCAGTTAGCACTGCAACTTCAGCAGTGTCCGAGCATCCTGACGAGGAGTGTGATGACCCCCGCCTCGCACCCCCACTCCACAATGCCACTGCCTACACCCCACAGGCATGTGTGTTGTGTGTGGGTTCCACAGCGACCCCTGGTGGGCAGTAGTACCAGAGTGTGCCAAGCACCACACTACATGAGGCCACCTCCAGGTGCAGGCAGATGTGCAGGCGACTGTGAGCATTGTGAGCAGATGTGCAAGCGCCACAGCCAGATGTGAGGCCCCTGGTTAGAGCAAGCAGTGAAGAGAAGAGGAGAAACAGTAGTACATGGAGCTGACAAAGGCAAACTTGCATTCTGCATATGCTCTAAGGGATAGCGAAAATCTACAAGAAAATGCCCACCCCAAGCACAAAGCTCTTGACATGTGAAAAGACAAGTTTGCACTCTGAAACATTTGCTAGGATAAGCCCAAACCCGGGATCTTGAAAGGGAAACTCAGATAGAGAAGGGAGCACCAAATAAAGGGTGTTGGGAGGATCCTCCCAGGATGGGAGATGCATGCTGAAAGTAGACTATAGACCAAACATGATTGCCACTCAATGCCTCTTTTGCAAACCACAGCACCCAAAAGGAGAGAGAGAATAAAAGAGAATGCCCTGCCACAGAGGCAGGGTGGGATGGGGTAGATGGGGGGTGGGAGGGATACCGGGATCCGTGGTGGTGGAGAATGGGCACTGGTGGAGGGATGGGTATTTGATCATTGTATAATTGAAACCCAAGCACAAAATTTGTAAGTCTACAACTGTACCTCATGGTGTTTCACTATTTAAAAAAAAAACCTGGGATCTCATGCAAAAACGAACCTAGAGAAGGGGCTTAGGTGTTCAATACATTTTAGTGCCCCTTGCTGAGAAAACCTGGGGGAAATGAGAAGCGTCCTAAGCAGGCTCCTGTAGCCCCATCTAGCCTTGTGCCATGGCAGTTTTCTTAGTTGTCTGATTAAAAAATTGGAGCTTGACAGCAGCACGGTATAGCAGAAATGGGTTCTGACTGACTCGCTTCCTTTCTCTGTCAGGACATAGATTTTCGTCCTTTTTCTATATAGTATTATATATATGAGTGTTATTTTTGGAAAACCCATCCTATAGCCATTAAGTTAGCCAGTGAAGAATCTCTTCTCCTATGATGAGTTTTGTTTTCTTGTTTGGGGGGGGGCGCTCCCAGACAGTGCTCAGGGAGCCCTGGGCTGCCCCTGGCCATAGTAGGGTCAGCTGACCTGGACAGCTCATTACCTGATCTAAGCAGTGCTGGGGGCCATCCATGGTGGTGTTCGGGGCCTCCAGGGTGACCAGACTCTGCCTCTGAGCCCTGGGCCCACCATTGGCATTTCCTTTCTCTACCTTTCGCTTCAGAAGGGAAAATGTTGGCAGCTGTTGCTTCTTTCTCTCCATGGTACACAGCAGCTAGTTCAGCGAGAGCCCTGTAAGGATGACGATGGAACCCTGGATATCCAAGAGGGTCTTGCACATTTTGTCTTCTTGTTGAGCTAGCCTGGGGGTGGGTGTTCAGTCATGCTCGGTTCCTTCTGGTCGTTTCCCTGGTGTGCTGCTCAAAACTCCACAGGTGGCTCTTCTCCGGTGCCTTTTCTTCTTCGTCTCTTTTTCTTTTCTTTTTGGGTCACACCCAGTGATGCACAGGGATTACTCCTGGCTCTGCACTCAGGAATTACTCCTGGTGGTGCATGGAGGACCATATGGGATGCTGGGAATCGAACTGGGGTCAGCCGCGTGCAAGGCAAACACCCTACCCGCTCTGCTATCGCTCCAGCCTCTGCCTGTTCTTCTTGAGGGGCTCACATGTAACCCTGGGCAATGTTGCCAGTCACCTCAGGTTGAGGAGACTAATGCACACTGAGTGGAGGTGCAAGAGTATTCGCTGAGAAGTCAAACCTAGTCGGATTCTGTCTCTGTCTCAGAATCCTTCCCCTCGGCGCACTTCCGGCCTTGGGGTGAAATCAGCCTGCAGAACCTCAGCGATGATCTGAGGTTCCAGCCCCAGCAGGTGTTGTAGCTAGTCTGTACTTTAGTCTCAGGACTGTCATGGCAGAGTGACAAAGGACCTTTCCAACAGTGCAGCGAGAGACTGACCGACTCCCCCAGAACCCTGGTGACCTTGTCACCTTGCTGCTGTTGAAATAGAACAGAAACTGTCAGCAGAGCCAGGCGAATTCTCGTCCCAGCTCTGTCTTGAGGATAACAAATCTAAGTGAACCGAATTCTCCGAAGTAGCAACACAGCAGCAAGCTGCTACTCCTTGGACTTTGTAAGGCCAGCTGACACCACGGTGCTCAGTGCTTAGTGTCCTCCCCCCCATCCGCCTCTGCTTCTGTTAGACTCATGAGACCATTGTTTGCACCTCATATAGATGGAGGAAGTTTCCCAAGGCCTTTTGACCTGGATGCATTTTATCCTGCTGGTGACATGCCACACATAGATACTACCTCTGTTGCCATCCACCCTGCTGGGGACATGCTTTATATGGACTCTGCCGCGGCCGCCATGCCCTTCTCTTATCCAGGTAAGTTTGTCTTTGTTTTCACTACTGGTCCTGACCTGTCGGCCTCGTGCGCGGATGCGTGGTACAATTTTCTGTACCCTCCAAGGACTTTTTATCAACAGCAGGCTCTGGTAGGGATTGGTGCTGTTTATGACCTTGCTCGAGTAATCCTAGTTTCAACCCTTAAAGACCCTGGGGAGGGCAGGCTTCATCTGAACTTCTGGGTGTCCTCCCGCAGGCCAGTTGGTAATAGATATTATTATCTGGAAGGATCTGGGTGGGCAGCAAGCCTCCCCTGGCTTGTTTTCTAGCTGGGGGGGGGGGTGGTCTCTGCTAGGCAGCCGTTTGGCAGAGACCTGCGTTGGCCGGGGATGAGAGAAATCTTCGCAAATAAGGGAAGCCAGTGGCGGGATACGTGTTCTGTCTTTGGGGTCGAATACAGATTATAACAGTGGGACTTGGGGTGTTGTGTGGATGGTTTGGGCCACATTGAGCAGTGCCCAGGGCCTGTTCCTGACTCTGTGCTCAGGAGTGATCCCTAGCCGTGCCTGGGGGACCATGTGTAGTGCCGGAAGATGCAAGCAAGCGCCTTAACTATTGCATTATGTCTCGAGCCCCAATCATGATGGCTTTTAAATTCATCACTTCTCGTCTTCATCTGGGGTACAGAGGGAACTGAACAGGCAAACCTCGGGGGTCTTTTCGTTGCCTAATAGAAATGCTTTGCTTTCATGTCTCAAGAGATTTTTGTTGGTTTGTTTTGTTGGGTCTCAGGCCACACCCAGCAGTGCTCAGAGTTTATTCCGGGTTCTGTACTCAGGGATCACTCCTAGCAACTCAGAGGAGCATATGGGGTGACAGGGATTTTTACTTCAAGGTTAGCCATATGCAGAGTAAGACCTCTCCTGCTGTACTAGCTCTTCATCCCTAAAGAGGTTTCTTTATGCCACCCTGACTGACAAAGTACATCGTATCAGCCAAAAAAAAAGGTGGTTCTTCTTTGGAATTTCTTTTCAAATTGGCATCCTGTTGTTGCACGTTGCTCTTCATGTGTGAAATCAACAACGTTTGGTTTCGATCAACAACGAGTGCTTTTGCCACTTCCAAGGAAGAGCTTGCATGCACTTCTGCCTGTGGGAATGATCTCTGCAGGCATTGGAATTTTATGGCCAGGATCGAGAAAGAGGGAGGATGGTGTCACTTGTTCATTGGTGAAACAAGCTCAATTCCGACAGCTGAATTAGAGTAGGGTAAAGCAGAGAGTTCCGAGTCCCCTGGTGAACCTGTGAGTTTGTCCATTTCTTGGCACTGTTAGGCGAAATGGCTTGGGTTATACTACAAATATGGATGAGGTCAGCATGGTCATCTGTGGGAGGGTGATTTAATGAAACGTGGGCAGGTGAGGGGCGGTGCTCAGAATAGCACAGAGGTTTAGCATGATGCCTTGCAAACATATGGTTGTGAGTTCAAATCCCCGATGTCCAATATGTGCTGAGAATAATCCTGGCCTGAGATTCCTGCCGCTGCAAGTAGATTTCCAGCCACACTGCAGCCAGACATGTATAAGTACCATAAAAAAGGAGCATGACTCCTTGTGAACACAACTAGAAATATGTGTGTGTCACAGGAAGCACTCAACAAGCAGTGTGACCATGTATGTGACTACACAACTAACATGCAAGTGGGTATTTACCCCAACAGGCCTAGGGATTTGTGGGGCTGTAGGGAAGAGAGAAATCTCTAAATGCCTTGCCTTCCCAGAAGCACCAGGGGGTGAAGAAGTAGATGGCATTGCTTTAAAGCCACAGTTTAGGGGCCATGCAGGAAAGATTAGTGGTCACTGTGTGGATGAGGTTGATCTCAGAGGTGCCATCGAAGGGGTTTTGTTGGAGAGGTGGGAAGAAGGAGTGCACCAAGATACGGTCATGGAGGAAGGCAGTCAGATTAATCACCAGAGAGACACTTGAGCACCTTCGCGGATGTGACGTAATCAGGACACTAAGTCCAAATGTTCCTGGTAGGGTTCAAAATATTCCCCGCAGTTGAGATAAAGGCCAGGTTTGCTGCCCAAATGTGTCTGGGGGCTCAAAGCCAGCAACACAGGCCTGGAGCTTGAAGCCAACGAGTGTAGTCTGAGAACCCCAGGGCTGGTTCCGAGTCTTGGCAGATGGCTCCTGCAAACTCGTTTTATGTTCACTGGAAATAGCTGATGCTGGAAACTCCTTAATCTCTGTACAACAAGACCCAGAGCAAAGACGAATTCAAGACAGGCAGGCAGAGGAGCAGTTGTGGGAACAGCAAATGAAGGAGCGCAGACTGAGGGAGGAAAAACGGCATAGCGAACGACAAGAAGCTTTGGAAAAGGAACGGAAAGAACTGGAACGGCTGGAACAGGAACGGGTAAGGCTACCAAAGTCAAATGCTTCTCTAGACGAGGTTGTCTGTATTCTCCCTGACTTGGTGTCTTCCTCGCGGGAAGGTGAGTGGGTGCATGTCTGATGTCAGCACCAGACAGGCTCATTGAGTCACTGGGGGATGTTACATTTAGCCTTTGGGGGTGTTCTGAGGAGAGCACGCTCTCTCCCAAGGAACTCTATCTACAGTCTGCAGGGTGTATTTGAGGGATGGGATTCTATTACTATGTGCTTTTCTGGAAATCTTCAGTGTTTTTAAAAAATCTACTTTCTATTCTGGTGACCACGTATTTCACAGAAATTGATCGAGCAAACGCTGAATCTGAACATAGAGAAAGAAAATGAACCCAACGTGGAAGAAACGAAAGAAGAATCTGCTTGTGATGATAACCCTCTAGAGAAATACATGAAGATCATCCAGCAAGACCAACAAAAGGAGGCTGAAGATAAGGTGCCATTGCTATGAGGGATGGGGTTGACCAGGTTGGATTTAAAAACGTTGGGGAGGGGCTGGAGCAATAGCACAGTGGGTAGGGCGTTTGCCCTGAACATGGCTGACCCAGGTTCAATTCCCAGCATCCCATATGGTCCCCTGAGCACCGCCAGGAGTAATTCCTGAGTGAATGAGACAGGAGTAACCCCTGTGCCTCACCATGTGTGACCCAAAAAGAAAAAAAACTTTGGGGAAGGAATCTGTCTTCTCAGTTGCAGGCCAGTTCACACGGAGCCTTGAGTCCTTAAAATATATTAGACTCTTGGCAGGATTTTATCTCTTTTGCTTGGGTAAAAAAATGAAAAGTTGGGATTTGTCAAAGTTTATAAAAATTTGGATTTCCTTTATTTTAAAAACGAAAAAAAAGGAGGGCCAGAGGATAATTCAAATGACTCGATACATGCTTTGATGCTGAAGGCCCAGGTTGTATACCTGGTACCAAATGTTCCTTCAAGGGGCTAGAGCGATAGCACAGCGGGTAGGGTGTTTGCCTTGCACGCAGGCAACCTGGGTTCGATTCCCAGCATCCCATATGGTCCCCTGAGTACCGCCAGGAGTAATTCCTGAGTGCAGAGCCAGGAATAACCCCTGTGCATCGCCGGGTATGACCCAAAAAGCAAAAAAACAAAACAAATGTTCCTTCAAGCCCTGTGAGGATGTGGACCCTCTGTAATCCAAAAAAGAACAAAATACAAGGGAGCCTTTATGGATGAATAATGGATGCACTAATACTTTCTGGGGCTTTTGTTTTGTTTTTGATTCAAATCTGGAGGTGCTCAGGGCTTATTCCTGACTCTGTACTCAGGGATCACCCCTGCTTGGATTTGGGGGACCAGATGGGATGTTGGGGATCAAATCTGATTTGGTCACATGTGAGGCAAGTAACCTACATGCTATACTATCACACTGGCCCCTGAGACATTGATATTTGATATAAGTGTGAAGTCGTACGGGTATAGAGAATGTATACTGGATAGTTGATTTTGATGTGCTTGCAAAGTTTCATACTTAAAAGTAAATGCCTTTTTAGACTTTTAGACTCATAAAATATGTACTGCAAAAATAGTTCTTAGAAAATTTACATATATATATATATATATATCATACCCAGTTGTGCTCAGGGCTTACTCCTGACTCCGCACTCAGGGATCACTCCTAGTGGGCTTGGGAGACTATCTGGGATGCCAGGGCTTGAACCCAGGTCAGCCACATGCAAGCCAAATGAGAAATCTTATGTTTTTAAATAAAATTATGTATAACTTCAAATTTCTTTCTACCTCTTTGTCCCAGAATGAAAAAAAGAAGACCAAAGAAGGTTCCGGAGTTGATACACCACCATCTAGTGATAAAGAAGGAAGGTATGGTGTCCCCAACTTTGTGTGCTTATGCCAGTTATTGTTGCATTGCTGGTTTGGGGGTGCTTGTAAAAAATTATTGATTCAATCAAAATTAGTGACTTGAGGGCCAGAGAGATAGTACAGGGATTAGAAATCTTGCCTTCTATCCAGCCATTTCAGTATTGCATATGTTTCCCCCAAAATGGCCAGGAGTGACCCCTGAGGACACAGTCAGGAATAACCCCAGAACACTGCTAGACATGACCAGATACTCCCACCTCTCAAAAAATGAGTGATCTAGTAAAGATCAAATTTTAACTTGTGAAATTGCTCCTGATACGAATTGTGAGGTTGTAAACCCCACAGTGAATAAGAACATGATGAAGATCCCCAAGTAAACTTGACCAGTATCAACATTTTAAAAATTTGTCTCTGTCTTTAGTTTCACAGGTTTTTCTCAAGAAGATGTGGACGACTTTTGGTAACCATTTTCAGCCTCAGTGCCTGTAGTATTAACATCGTAACTAATCTGTAATAAGGTAGAACTAGCAATAAAAGCAATGCATGAGAGTCTGTGTGATTTATTTTTTCTCTCGAGTTTCTGGTATTACAATGTATAAACAACTTTGTTGAGGGATACTTCAGACAGTTTCATTCTTGGGCCTTTCATTCCTTATACTAGAGTAGAATCTCATTTTTGTCTTTTTAAAAAATTTAGACACTGTGGTTTAAGATATTGATAATGGTAGGGTTTCTTGCATCCAACACCATAACTTCCATCAGAAGTCCACTTCTGTCCACCACTGTCCCTTTCCCTTCCACGGTAAGCTTTCTACTGAAGACCACGTCTTAGTATCTGTTGCGTTGGGGCATTTGCTACTCCCCTACTATGTTTCTTTATATCCAGCATATGAGAGAGCTCATTCTGAATCTGCCCCCTCCATATAGCAGCAAATTGCATGATTTCATCATTTCTTATAGCAGTGTAGCAGTGTACTGTATATTGTATATACATTGTATATACATTGTATATCTGTACTGTAGTTTCTTTTTTTTTATTAATTTTTATTACTGAAACACCATGAGGTACAGTTGTAGACTTACAGATTTTTGTGCTTGGGTTTCAATTATACAATGATCAAATACCCATCCCTCCACCAGTGCTCATTTTCCACCACCATGGATCCCAGTATCTCTCCTACCACCCATCCCCCCCATCCCACGCTGCCTCTGTGGCAGGGCATTCCCTTTTGTTCTCTCTCTCCTTTTGGATGTTGTGGTCTGCAAAAGAGGCATTGAGTGGCAATCATGTTTGGTCCATAGTCTACTTTCAACATGCATCTCCCATCCTGGGAGGATCCTCTAAACACCCTTTATTTGGCGTTCCCTTCTCTATCTGAGCTGCCCTTTGCCCTAGGATGCCCGGCAGTCCTCTAAGCCATGGTGTAATCCTCCTGTGTACCATAGTTTCTTTATGCAGTTATCTGTTCTTGGATACTTCCCCCATTTTTGTCTTAAAAACCAGGGTAGACATACTCCAGCGAGAATAGCCTAGCTCTCAGGAATAGGAATAGGAGGATTTCATTAGGGGGTGAGAGATTCATGAATTTGGGGGAGAAAAAGACTGGCTGGAGGGTTGCTGGAATCAAGGTACTGCCCAGATTCTGACCATAGTTGGTCACTTTCAGGGGTTGTCATGCAAGTGTGCATTGTCATGGTGTAGGTGGTTGTGGTTTTTACTATGACATGTATTAGTTGCCCATCAATTACCTGGGCCTTCTCAGATTCTCTCGGCTCCTAGAGCGTATTGCAAGTACTGGGCTTCATTGTACTCATCTCTCATAGAGTGTTTATTGTTTGTTTTATTTTGGGGCCACAGCTGCCAGTGCTCAGGGATCACTTCTGGCGGGCTCGAGGGATTATATGGGGTACTGGGGATCAAACCCAGGTTAGCTATCTGCAAGGCAAACTCCCTACCAGCTCCAGCCCCTCTCTTAGAGCGTTTAACATCTATAGCCTATTAATTCTTGACGAAACATCATGTGGTTCAAACACAGAATAGGTACCACTTCAAAGAAGTAGTGGTCTCTACATAAGACAATATTCTTTTGCCACAAGGTGACTAAATTTTTTTAAATAGAAAACTGTATAGCTTGGATCATTTGTATATCATACGCTGGCTATTTTCTTACCTTAATTCCAACAAGAACTTGGCATCTTTTTCAATAATATCTTGAGTAATTATTTTTCTTCCAGCTTTATTGACAGTACTGATATAATGTGTGAGTTTAAATATATTAACATATTGATGTATATTATGAAATGATTACCACCATAGTCTTAGTAACACCTGCTTCATGTTACATGATTACCACTTGTGATGAAAACATTTAAGATCTATTCTTAGGAACTTTCTGATAAGTAATAGCATTACTAAGTATAATCAGTATGTTGTACATTTGACCACCTGATTGTACTCATCTCATTGAAATATTATATTCTTTTTTTATTCTATAGCACTGTAGCACTGTCGTCCCATTGTTCATCGATTTGCTTGAGTGGGCACCAGTAACGTCTCCATTGTGAGACTTGTTGTTACGGTTTTTGGCATATTGAATATGTCACGGGGAGCTTGCCAGGCTCTGCTGTGAGGGTAGGATACTCTTGGTAGCTTGCCGGGCTCTCTGAGAGGGATGGAGGAATCAAACCTGGGTCAGCCGCATGCAAAGCAAATGCCCTACCCGCTGTGATTTCACTCCAGCCCCTGAAATGTTATATTCTTTGATGAACAACTCTTGCCTTCCTCCTTTATTATTATTATTTATTTATTTTTGCTTTTTGGGTCACACCTGGTGATGCACAGGGGTTATTCCTGGCTTTGCACTCAGGAATTACTTCTGGCCATGCTCAGGGAGCCATATGGGATGCTGGGAATGAAACCCAGGTTGGCCGTGTGCAAGGCAAATGCCCTACCCGCTGTGCTATCACTCCAGCCCCTGAAATGTTATATTCTTTAATGAACACCTCTTGCCCTCCTCCAAACCCTGGGTAACCATCACTCCAGACTGTCTCCATGAGCTCAGCTTATTTAGATTCCACATTTGTGATTATATAGTAGTTATGATTCTCTGCCTTATTTCACTTAGCGTCATGTCCTCAAGAACCATCTGTGTTGTTGCAAGTGACAGGACCATTTTTTAAAAATTTTTATTAGTGAGACACCATGAGGTACAGTTGTAGACTTACAAATTTTGTGCTTGGGTTTCAGATATACAATGATTGAGTACCCATCCCTCCACCAGTGCCCATTCTCCACTACCACTGATCCCAGTATCCCTCCCACCCCCCGTCACCCCCATCCCACCCTCCCTCTGTGGCAGGTCATTCCCCTCTGTTCTCTCTCTCTCTCCTTTTGGGTATTGTGGTTTGCAAAAGAGGAATTGAGTGGCAATCATGTTTGGTCTATAGTCTACTTTCAGCATGTTTCTCCCATCCTGGGAGGATCCTCCCAACACCCTTTATTTGGTGCTCCCTTCTCTATCTGAGCTGCAGAACCTTTTTTTTTCATTGCTGATTAATACTTCATTGTGTGTGTCTGTTACATATTATTCGTTCCTTGATGGTCATGGAGGTTATACACACACCCTGATGATTGTGAATAATGTTGTGGTAAACATGGGGGTGCAGGTGTCTAAGATCTTGGTGGTTTTCTCCTCTAGGGGCTATGCATGTCGTGCTCTGGGACCCCAGGCTGCTCCCAGCAGAACTTAACCTATGGTACTCTATTGGGTGTGCTCTAGGCCACTCCCTAGGAGTGCTCGGGTCATCAGGGCAATACCCAGCAGTGCTCAGAGGTCGTGCAGTGCCCAGTATTGACTTCTAGGCTTTGCACAGGCTAGGCATGTACTCCTCCACTTGAGCCATACTTTCAGTCTCGGGATCATGATGTTTTGGTTTATAGTTTTGGTCTGTACCTGGTGGCATTACTCCTGGCTTTGTGCTTGGGAGTCAACTGTGTCAGGGCCTGGGAGACCATGCGCTGCAGGAGACAAGCTTTCCGCTGATGCTAGGTACTTTTTTCAATCACTCTTTCCTTTTTTTTCTTTTTTGAGGTCACACCCAGCGATGCACAGGGGTTACTTCGGTGATGCACAAGGGTCACCTTCTGGCTCTGTACTCAGGAATTACTCCTGGTGGTGCTCAGGGGACAATATGGGATGATGCTGTGGATCGAACCTGGGTCAGCCGCATGCAAGGCAAATGCCTTCCCTGCTGTGCTATTGCTCCAGCCCCTCCCTCTTTCTTTTGAATAACCTTCCTGCCTCTCTTCTCTTGCACGGCCTCTATCACGCATACGCTGTTTCCCTTGATGGCGACTGGATTCCATGAGGTAGAGGGCAAGAAAGATGTTTGCAGGCTTCCCTGGTACCAAGGGATAAGTTCAGTCTGCCTTGAGGCTAGATTGGATGCTTTAACCCTCAAGAAGCAGCTGTTCAAGTAAGCCTGGGGGTAGGTACTTCAGTGTGCTCCTCTCTGCATGGAGCCTCGCAGAGAACTAAAAACTGCTGCTTGCCTGCAGTTCTATGGCCTTTCAGAGCCAGGTGACCCAGAGACATGTGACGAGCAGCAGCTGCTGAGGCAGCTTCTGTGGGAGATGGCGATGGCTCGGAGTGGGCTAGGTGGGCAGATGAGTGAGCACAGCCTTTAGCATCTGAGGGCGACAGCATTAGCCCCTTAACTGTGCTGAATCCGAAGCTGGACTTAGGCAGTGCTGTTTGATATGTCCAACTGTTTTATTTTAATTTTTAAATGTAGGAATACTGCTATTTATTCAGCCATTGGTTAAGCTGATCGAATTGGGCATGAACTCCACACCAATTATTTCTTTTTTCCCTTTTTTTAATTATTTTTTTTCTTTTTGGGGTCACACCCAGTGATGCACAGGGGTTACTCCTGGCTCTGCACTCAAGAGTCACTCCTGGCGGTGCTCAGGGGACCATATGGGATGCTGGGAATCGAACCCGGGTCAGCTGCATGCAAGGCAAACGCCCTACCCGCTGTGCTATCGCTCCAGCCCTTTTTTCCTTTTAAAAATATTTTATTATTATTATTATTTTGCTCGAGCGGGCCCAGTAACGTCTCCATTGGAGACTTTGTTGTTACTGTGTCTGGCATATCAAATACTCTCGGTAGCTTGCCGGGCTCTCCGAGAGGGGCGGAGGAATCGAACTCGGTTTGGCCATGTTGGCCGCTTGTAAGGCGAACGCCCTACCCGCTGTGCTATCGCTCCAGCCTGGCAAGCTCCCCATGACGTATTCGATATGCCAGACACAGTAACAACAAAGTCTCCAATGGAGACGTTACTGGGCCCGCTCGAGCAAATCGATGATCAACGGGAGGGCCTTTTACTTTACTTTACTTATTATTATTATTTTAATGAATCACCATAAGATACAGTTACAGACTTACAAACTTTTTTTATGTAGGAGTACTGCTATTCATTCAGCCACTGATCACCTGATTGAATTGGGCATCAACTCTGAAGACTTACAAATATTTGAGATTACATTTTAGTCATACAATGATTGAGTACCCATACCTCCACCAGTGCCCATTCTCCACCACCAATGATCCCAGAATCCCTCCCACCCCACCCATCTCTGTGGCAGGGCATTCCCTTTTGTTCTCTCTCTCGTTTTGGTTGTCCACACCAACTATTTCTTAGGGGAAGTCTGGAACTAGGATCCCAATCGTTGGAAAGAAATGTTTGATAGCACTTCAGGGCTCTCATAGACATCTGCCCTGTTGGCCTTACGACTAGGTATTTTGGGAGGCCCATCCCTCAAGTTGGAGCCTTCAGACCTAGGGAACAAACAGCGCTGGAACCCCTTCTTTTCTGCAGGGAGATGCCGGGCAGTGGCCTCCCCATTGCGACTGTGTGGGTCTGCTGGTGTGGGCTGACAAGGGGGCCTGCCTGTCTGTCCCGTTCCCCCGTGAGGCGTGCTTGTTTGCCTGACACGTGAGACTAATTCAGCACTTCTCAGTACTTCCTGAGGACTCTTCCACGTGACTTACATTTGGAGTCTCTGCGGATTCTGGGAGTTTCTGCCTACGTTTCAGCCCCAGGTAATATCTTGACACTTTCTGACATTGCTGAGCTTTTTACCCACTGTGGATTTTCAAAGCCCTTGTTTGTCTTAACTTCTTTTTATTTGACTCTTCGGGTCACACCCGGCGATGCTCAGGGGTTACTCCTGGCTCCGCACACAGGAATTAGTCCTGGTGGTGCTCAGGGGACCATATAGGCTGCCAGGGATCGAACCTGAGTCAGCCATGTGCAAGGCAAATGCCCTCCCTGCTGGACTTCAGTCCCCGTGTCTTGGCTTCTCTTTTTGGTTTTGTATTTGTATGTTTTGGGGGGAGGGAGGGTGGGCGCCAGTTGTCACACCTGGCAGTGCTCAAGGCTTACTTCTGACTCAGTACTAAGGGCTTACTCCTGATGGTGCTCAGGGGACCATATGGAATGCAGGGATTGGGCCCAGCTTAGCCACATGCAAGGCAAGTACTCGCTCCAGCCCTTAAGTCCTAGCTTCTTAAACTATATTTTCAGCAGTGCTACTTCTGTAACTGAATACAGGGGTTGCAGAAAACTTGGCAACAGCAAAAGGTTTCTGAATGCACAATGATTGTGAACAAATTCCAGGTGTTCCTGTCAGCGTTCACCTGAGATGTATTCCTTAGGCGAAATGGGTCATTAGTGGAAAGAGAAACCCCCGGTCGAAATAACTCATTGTATACTTGGTTTTCTAGCTTCGTGTTTTTTTTTCTTTTTGGGTCACACCCGGCAATGCACAGGGGTCACTCCTGGCTCTGCGCTCAGGAACCACCCCTGGAGGTGCTCAGGGGACCATATGGGATGCCGGGAATCGAACCTATGTTGGCCGTGTGCAAGGAGCACTACCCTCTGTGCTATTACTCCAGCCCCTGGCTTTGGTTTTGGTAACTTCATTTTTCTCCTGGTCAACAAATTCTGAGCTATATTCTTTTTTTGTTTGGGGAGCCAACCCTGGTGGTACTCAGGGGACCTTGTGGTGCTAGGGACCCACCTCAGGGTTCCAGCATTCAGAACATGTGTTCCCACCATTTGAGCTAGTTCTCTGACCATAGATCAGTATTCTTAATATTTAATTCTCAATAATAATTTAAAGTTATTTCTTTTTTCTTTTCTTTTTGATTTGCTTTTTGGGTCACATCCAGCAATACACAGGGGTTACTCCTGGATCTGCACTCAGTAATTACTCCTGGCGTACTCAGGGGACCATATGGGATGCTGGGAATCGAACCTGGGTCGGCCACGTGCAAGGCAAATGCCCTACCCGCTGTACTATCACTCCAGCCCCTAAAGTTATTTCTTAGTTCATATAGCTTCACCAGTGTCTCTCAACCTATTTCTGACTATGGCCCCCTTCTGACTTTGTTTCCTTCCTATGCCCCCTGTTCTACTGGTTGCCCCCCCCCCTTTATGCAATTTTCACCTGCAGTCTCCAACCAAGAAACACTGATCTAGATGAGTTCCCCTTCTCCCACCTCTGCAAGCCCCCCCTGAGGCCCTGTTTAAATGACCCCAGTGATTCTTAGATATAATAAAGTATAAATATCAAAGGAGATCCACCCAGATCCCCCACCTTTCAGTATGTAGGCGTTACACCCACCAACTGCCCCCGGCTCCATGTAATCTCATCAATGGCCAATACCCAGAGACTCAGAGATTATAAAACCCAGCTCCTGGAAGATGGCCACGTGACATCTTATTATCTTATTATTATCTAGGTCTTACTCTGGAGAACCTGGCAGGCTACCAAAAGTATCCTGCCCACATGGCAGAGTCTGGTAAACTCCCCGTGGTGTATTCAATATGCTAAAAATCAGTAACAATGATGGGTCTCATTCTCCTGACCCTGAAAGAGCCTCAAATGTGGCACTTTTAAAATCTCAGGGCTAGGACTAAGGAGATGTTACTGGGGCCTGCTCGAGGCAATCGATGAACAACAGGATGACAGTGACAGTGATCAAAGAAGTGATGAAGATTGAGTTCAGCTTTGAAAAATAATGTTCTTTACCAATTCTGATTTAGCTCTGTTTTATTTTTTTTGTTTGTTTGTTTCCTGAAAACCTCTTACAGATTTACTTGCTCTGATTGTCTCTTTGAAAAAGAGGATAAATCTATGCTATTTTAAAAATGTGGGAACAGATTTACCAGAGAGATGGATGTTCTCATTTCGGAAAAGATACTACTAACAGGGACCGGAGCAAAGTGGCTTTAAGGCTCTTTTCTTGCACACAGCCAACCCAAGTTTAATCCCCAGCACCCCTGGAGTGATCCCTGAACACCACTAGTTGTGACCGTGAAACAAAAGAAATACTACTAACAAAATGGGTTCCTTCAAATGTGAGTGAAGATCATGGCATTATGAACCACAGAAGAATTTTTTCAAAATCTTTATTGTGGAAACTTTGGACCTCATTTTGGGCAACCTGAGGCCATACCTGGCTTTTCTGACTGTGCTCAGGAGTGACCCCTGGTGGTGCTGATGGGATCATACGCGGTGCTGGTCAAATGGGGCAGTTGCATGCAAGACAAGTGCCTTACTCTCTGTAATGTGCTCTCTATGACCCTGGTCCTCGTTTTTAATCAACTTTATTTTGTATTTTAATGGGAGGGTCTCTTCCCTGTAATTTTGACTTTGTTTTCACCCCCTCAAATGTTTCAGGGGTAGGTTCAGTGGTAAAGAGCCTGCTTTGCATGTTTTTTTTTGTTTTTTTAAATCATTACTATTTCTTATTGAATCACTGTCAGATAGGCCTTTACAAAGCTGTTCATGACAATTATTGCAGTTATAGAACCTCATGAGCAACACTGTCAACCAACTTTTAAATCTTTTTTTTTCTTTTTTTTCCATAAATTTTTATTAGTGAAACACCACGAGGTACAGTTGTAGACTTACAAATTTTTGTGCTTGGGTTTCAGTTATACAATGATCGAATACCCATCCCTCCACCAGTGCCCATTTCCCACCATCATGGATCCCAGTATCGCTGCCCCTCAAAAAATGCTTTGCATGTTTGAAGCCCAGGATTCCATTCCTGGCACCATACACACACACACACACACATACACACACACACCACCACCACCATCACCACCACACACACAAACACACACCACCACCATCACCACACACACATACACACACACTTCAGAAGGTGTCACTGCAGGAAGGAAAATATTTCCTTCATCTGCATTTTTGGTGGCAGGATTCTGACAATTAAGACAGAGGCATTTGATCTTATCTGGCCATGATTTATACATGCCTTATTAGGTGACTCAATTTAACAAATAATTGCACAAAATTCTCAACAGAAAGTATTAAGTAATGTGACACATAGCCTACTAATTGGGCTCCTGCCTGTTCTCTTGCCAGGCATGAAGGGAGGGTGAAGGGTGATGGTCTGATCTGACTCAGCACCTCATTAGCAGCAGTGATGTGTCAACAGTGAACGAAGAGGTCCTTACTAAGAAAGGTCACATACAGGAAATCTAGTTGCCTCATCACACCAGCACATTAGTCATTTAAAAAAGACTATACGGGGGGCTGGAGAGATAGCACAGCGGGTAAGGCATTTGCCTTGCACACGGCCGACCCGGGTTCGATTCCCAGCATCCCATATGATCCCTTGAGCACCGCCAGGCGTAACTCCTGAGTGCAGAGCCAGGAGTAACCCCTGTGCATCGCCAGGTGTGACTCAAAAAGAAAAAAAAAGACTATACGGAATCCTAAATCACAACCTTTTTTCTGCTGCTTTAGAGAATGGGAACCTTAACTATAAGAAATAGATTGGAGGGGGCTTTACCTGGCATTGCTCAAGGTTATTCCTGCCTCTGCACTCAGGAATTACTCCTGGCACTGTTTGAGGGACCAGATGGGATGCTGGGGATCGAACTTCGGTTGTCTGCGTGCCCTACTTGTACTGTCACTCTGGCTCCAAGAACTAGTTTTACAAAACTATTTCTGACAACATCTTCTTTCAGTTGACTTCACTACTTTGGGCGTGTAAGTAGTCGATGGAACGTGGACCTTTATGAAGTTCCTTGCTGTCTGTACTTTTCCTGAACTTGAGTTTTGTGTTAATCCCTTGGTCTGTCTGCTAAAACACGACGAAAACCTTCATATTTTTCACTGAGGACTGTAAAGTGTTTTGGCACTTTGTGTAAAATATAGCCCAGTGGGGTAGTCTTTTCTCAGACTGCTTACTTTAAAAGAGGCATTTTGTCAGAAATGAAACATTGCACGCATAAATTTGATTTCCATACAAATGTGTCCCCTTGAGTATACATATTTAAAAACGACACCATACTGAGGACAGAGAAAGATAGTATTTATGTATGGTAAGAAGGCAAGTGAATGAAGCTATAATTTTATTTCATTTCTCTTAGTACATCGACAGCTATTTCCACCTAAATATATCTTTAAAATAAGCATACACAAGTATTGACTATTATCTACAAATATTTATTGTAACACTTGAATAGAACTACAGAAGCCCTTGGCACTGATAGAAAATATTGATTCACTGTTAGGTTACAAAAATTTATACATAGCAAAATTTAATGCTCTTTACATAAAAAATATTAGACTACTTAAACAAGACTTTCAGAAATTCTTGGTAATAGCTACCAGAATTAGAAAAGTAAAATTAGGCTTTAGACGCTGCATCTTCTAGAACACTGGACTCTAACAGCACCTCCACTGCTGGAAAAAATATGTAAGTGTCATGCAACAGGAAAACAAAGCACCAAGCTAATCTGGAACAACTGTTCTACACAGAAGAGAGCTTCTTCCAATTAAAACAAAATAGTCAAGATCCAAAGAAGCAGTTTTAGGCATTAACAACAACAAAAAGAGCCCAAAGGAAATATTATACTTGATGTTCAATTTTAATAGTATCTTGCTATAAAGTATGCTTCCTTTCATTTTAATACATTTCTGCACGTGTATATGTTTTAAAATCCAGGAAACAGCCAAACCACAAGTTAATTCTTAACATGAATATACATAGTTAATCCTATATTATGCAGCCCCCTTAAAAAGCACTGATGCACCCAACAGTTATATGTATCATTTCAGAAAGAACAACACAAAGTTTACCATCACTAATACCCAATACCTATAGTCAATGTTTGGAAACACAATGATTTCGAAGGCAAATTTATTTTGAAAATGGCTTAAAAACTCAAGCAGGTTTTTTTTGTTATTTTTTTGTTTTTGTTATTTTTTTGTTGTTTTGTTTTTGCTGAACATTGAAGTTTATTATGCCAGGAAACAAAGGTCTAGAGAAGAAAAGGTGAAATAAATACCAACCCTAATTTAAGTATTCAAGTCTATAAAAGTAGGAGGTCTGTGGTCTTTCTGTAATTAGATTTTAGATTGTTGGTATGAAACTGTAAACTCACTATTCAGACCACGTGAAATTGGTTTACAATGGTGGTCATTTTAATAAGGTAACACTTCTTAAGAAAAACAGTTGTGGGATAAAAGTGTATGAAGGATTTGGGGATCTCTTATTGTAATTAAGTAGAAATTGAAAGCAAATATTCATTAAGGCAAAGCTGACATTTCCCCCAGAAGAATGAAAACAGGGCCATTTTCAAAGTGAAATTTGTTACAAAATTGGTTCAGGAAAGCTTGTCAATGAGTCAGAATCCAGTTTCAATGATAGGTGTAGTAGAATTATGGTATCTCATGTTAGCGTTATGGAGTAAGTAACTTGCCCTGGACTTGGGGAGTCAGCTAATTAAAGTCGATTGTAAGAATCATAATCTCTTGGATGAGCCAAAGTTGAATAAATGTCAGCTGTCAGAAATGGAATTAATTGCACACCAGTGCACTTTTATTTCCTGTGTCGATACATTTGAACATAGATGGGGTGTGTGTGAATTCATGTTCACATCTTTTGATGCTGGCATGTGGTGGGTACCTATCCAGTTTTGTCATATTCCCACTGTCTTGTCGGGGGATTACTCGAGCAATATACTAGAGCATGCCCCAAATTTCAAAGGGATGAACAATCGTTTTGTCAAAGTGTTGCCTTTTAAAATGGCTCAAATGAAACCTCCAAGATCTGTTCTAAAGAAAAAGATTTACCTGCTGGAAGATTTCCCTAGAAATACATCCCAGCAGCATGAGATAGACAGTGAAGTGTTTGTACTTCTATGTTAGTTTGGTGGGATACACATCGGTACTGCGGAGCAGCTGTGTGGTGATTTGTCAGATCGTCGGCGATAACACTCTGGCAAACACTTTATGTGTAAGAATTGAGTTGTTCTTTTGACCGAGACTGGATATCTTGCAGTTCCTGTTCTTCCTTTGCTTTGATATCCTGGTAAGCCTGCATTTTGCTCGCATCCTTTAAGTAAGCCCAGTTAGAAGACAGTATCATGAGGAAGTGGATCTGGAAAAGAAGGGTGAGCATGATGGCTAGTGAGCATGTCAGAAGGTAAAGCCAGCTGCTAGTCAGATTAGACGGTCTTTATTTGGACGAGGGGAGAAGGTTATTCTGGATTAATGTTCATTCTGCTATCAGGATCACACACTGGAAGCATGCTCTACTAGTGTGCTTAGTATTAAAAGGCCGAAGGAACGTTAGTATACAAACATAATGAACTTGCGAAAACGGCTAAGGTTATTGTTAAGAAAAAGCAAACATGAAGTACGAGAGGGTGCTTTTTACCATTGGAGAGTAATTTTAAAGACTAATTCAGAAGTTCAGAAGCACGATGTTTTATTTTTACATAAGTGTCATGCAAAGATCTTTCCTATCTGTGGATAAAAATTCGTTCCCCAAAGGCCTGAAAGTGTGAACAAAGTTTCAGTAAATGAGAAAAACTACATATTGAACATTAAAAAAAAAAGTAAGTGGATGTCAAAACCAGAATTACAAAGAGTGAAGTCTCCGTGGTTTCACTACTGAAAAATGTGAAGATGGTTTTCCTCCTATCACTGACATTGTTGCGCTTCGCAAAATGCAACAAGCCTGATTCTCACTCTGCGGCTGCTATTTCTTTCGTATTTAATTTCTTCCTCTTGCCTACAAAGTAATTCTACAGCTCAAGTTCCTTATACCTTGTATTTCCTTCTCAACGTATCTGAGACTTTCAGGTCAAAGCAAATGTCTCTTTCCATTAAAGTCTTACATGCATTTTGAGAACTGGCTCTGAGAAATCAGTTACTACTCTCCCAAGCACAACAATTTAAGGGTGTTAATTGTGTGGGTTCTGAAAGGAATGCTTGTGTTGTGCCTTGAAAAACTTCTTTCTGAGAAAACAAATGCTGATTTTTATTTTATTTCCAGTTTTCATATCGCTGATCTGGGGGAGGGCTGCAATTTAGAGTGAACTATTGAAAAATTCTTCAATTTAGAACTGATTTGTGAAATATTTTTCAGAGCCTGCTAAAACTCAGATTAAGCTGATTTTCTTCCACGTCATCTTCAGGATGGGTTTTCACTGGCATCATTGGAACTGGTTAGCAAGCAAGCAAAAAATAACAAGAACTTCTGGTATTTCTCCCCAATTGTAATACTTTGTGCAGTCTCTCTAAGTTTTTAAGCTCATCATGCCCATTCTTAACTGACTCCTTTTCAAAATGTGGAAATAGTCAGGTATCACTGTTTTATAATCCAGGTATAGTAAGTCATTTTGTTAATCTACCATGTAAATTGCAGTGACTAGAGCTATTTACAAGTGACTATGACAAAACTGCAGAAACCTAGAGTCTGCTTTAGTCTGGGCTGTCAGTGATGCTTCCCGCTACATAGTCTATAGCTTGCTAAAGCGCCCTATTGGCCTTATGCATTTTAGAATTTAGTGCAGCAATCTTCCCGACTCTTAAACTTCAAAACCGCATAGTTATATGTAGTAGCCATCATGTAGATCAGCTGGTGGAAGAGAACAAAACAGGAGAGTAAGACACAGGTAGTGAGCGCTGGGGCCACCGCACTTCTCAACTTGGGCAGGGGGTGAGCCAGCTAACAGCTGAGGGGTTTCTGTTGCCCACTATCGCCTCAACAGAAGATTTGCATATATAGCATAGCCCTTTTTTCATTTCACACGCACGGTGTAAGTCCTCAACAAGGGAGAATGCTGAGTCAGCAGAAGAAAGATGCCGCTGAATCGCCCATCTCCTTCCTCCTCCCCTGACCCTCCAAGATTGCCTACTCAGCAGATATTGGTACTCTTATAGTCTGTGGCCTGGCCAAGAGAACAGGTCACCACCACAGCTGAGCATGTGTGTTCTCCCAGGGGCCGAAGAACTTATTTCCCTGCAGCTGAGCTTTTGATACCCTTGTTCTGCTAAACTAGATTTCTTGACATCAAAGCCAAGTTATCCATTTATGTGCACACACACGAACAGTTGATCCTCATTATTCACAGATTTGCGAATTTGCCAAGGTGCTAAAATTTCTTGTCTCCCCAATTTCCAAGCATGGGAAGTCATGAGGTGCCTTTACATAAAAGATATGTGTGCTAAATGAACTTCATTCACATGAATGCTATTGGCCATGGGTCCAATGTTGATGAATAAGCGATTATACTAAAGAACCTAAAAGGGTCTGTATTTGGAGGGTGGAGACTCAATCATGCTTGGGGTGGGGGGGGGGCACATATGCAGTACCAGGAATCTAACCTGAGTCAACTACATACAACAAAAGTACCTTAACCCTACTCTCTCTCTCTCTCTCTCTCTCCCACTCCCTTTCTCTCTCACCCTAAATTGGTATTTAAATAGAAGCACCCACAAGGTTGGTTGTAACCAGAGGATCATTTCCCTGAGGAGGAGTGACTTGGTATTCACAGATTCAGTATTTGAGGAGACTTTATAAAACACAACAACCACACATGACAAGCTCAACTGTACAAATATATATGCAGACATTTGGAAACAATAATTTCTTGGCTAAGAAATTATTAATGCTTCATATGAGCACTGACCGATGACTAGCCAGGAAAGTAATGGCTAAAAGCCAACATACCAGTTCCAGTCAAAAATGGTTGGCACTGGTCTTCTTTTCCATAGAATCCCAATACATTACCTGTAATTTGTGCCAACTGGAACTTCCTGCAATCTAGACACATGGTAAGTTTACATGGATAACCTCAACGAAGTTGGAATCACAGAATAATCTGCTTCAGTAGGTTGGCTTGCCAGAGCTGGAAGGAAAATGTGTCATTACAGAGACTGCAGGAGGGCAGTCCTAGGCCATTACTCACCAGGGCAATGACGGTGGCACCAGCGCCTGCACAGGCCACAATGAACAGGTGATAGGACATGTAGAACTAGAAGAGAACAGTGCATTTACATCAGCATTTGACTGCAAGGGTCTGGAATATGGTGCTGTGTCAGTTTTTTTTCCTCTATAGCTCTTTTTTGCAAAGCTGGGGCAAGCGTATATTTTCCTTTCCAGTACTTACCATCCTTTGGGACCAGCCATGAGCTTTGTGCTAATCTTAATGATGGGTGTACAAACTCATATATGAGCCAGTAACTCATTTTAGTAACTCACCACTTTCCAAAGCCATGTGAGGATTCTCTTAAGTATGCAAACTCCACTAGTACATTTAATAATTTTTCATTATAAACAGCTATAAGCCAATGCCTGAAAATATTCTAAAAACTTGAAGTGAAGGCAAACAAGAAACAGTAGCAGTGTTACTTTGGAGACATAAATGATTAACCATCACTTGGTCCAAACCTAAATGCAAGGAAATCTTTTTTAGGAAAACTCAGATATGTTTGTCCTTTGACAAATATTCTACTGTCTGAAGGGGAGAGAGAAACATCTATATAATGCTTTCAGATTTGAAGGAATGGGATCACTCCCCAGTGATGGCCAAGACAGTGTTTGATTCTAAGGGATCCTCATGGAATGGCTTGGATCACATGAGAGGGCTACTAATGCCCAAACATTGGTGATTACATATAATTCTTCTTGGAGTTCACAAAATAGAGCTTTCCTCACTAGCTTTTTGCTACTTCTACCTAGGAAAGCTGTTTTGGGTCATACCCAGGGGTGTTGGGGATTGAGCCTAGGGCTCCTGTATGGGTCCAGCACTTGGTGCCATGGCCCTGCTCCCAAAGAGCCCCTTTTCTTTTTCTCATGTACAGAGTGATCAAGAGTCCTTGGGCGAGAGAGGTACTTACCTCATTGGTGTTGCAGATGTTCTCAAGAGCAGAGCCACATATTCTTCCTGGGAAAGCATTCCACGGAATGATGCCTGCAGAGGGAAGCCCAAGGAACCTCTTAGTATGATCTGCAGACCTCATATTTGGATGCCAGTTACTTACCATCAGATGCCATGCTTTGATGACAGGTGACAGACAAATCTGCCCTCTGCAGAACAGGTGTTTTGGAATACCAAATTCCACTTGGACTAGAGGTGAGAGCAAAATCATCTAGTCCATAAGAAAAAGAGTCTGATAACTCTGCATTGTGTGCTTGAGCTGATACTTTTCAAAAGTGATTTTCAAAGCGACATTTTTCCCTAGAGAGACTGAGTTAAAGTAAATTCACCCTCCTGTATAAAATAATCATTCTGAGGTCAGATGAATTTTCACCAGAACCTTGGCTTTGGCACCCAATTCCATGTCACGAGTTAACTTTGCAATTGAATATACAGAAATTGTCATGGCAGCCTGATGAATTATTTGTTTATTGTAATGTAACACAAAAATTTGGGTTACTATTTTATTATGGCATTGTTTTCATGTTTGTTCTTGTGTCTTTTGCGATGTATTGAAAATTCTTTTGACTTGAGCATTCAGTCGAAAATTTGAAAAAGAAGATAAACATGGTCCTTCACCAAAGATCTATGACACCTCTCCCAGAGAAAAGGAGGATTAAAAACCATTCTCCATTATTACCATGGGCCAAGAGTAAATCCTATGGTATATGAAGTGTCTCTAAATTGTCAGTGGTTTCAAGTGCAAAAACATTTTGGAGGGGAGGGGCCACACCCAGTGTTGCTTGCGGGTCCATGAGTTGCTGGAGATCTGGATAGGCTTCTCACATGCAAAGCATACACTCAACCTGTTAAATGATCTCCCTGGCTCCGAAACAGAAGGTTGAGATATATACAGATATTCACTATTAATTTTTGTCATCAGTAATTAAGAAGAGAAACATAATATACATTCATTTACAAATCCTTTAAATATCAAACTGAGATTCACTTTTTTTTTAATGTAGGAGTATTGCTATTTAATCAGCCATTGATTAGGCTGACATGAACTCCACTGAGATTCACTTTTTAATCCATTACAAAAACAGTGTGTTTGTGAAAGTAGTCTCTCAGGGCAGTTTTTGGGTGGGGAGGGGAAGCGTTGGGCCACACCTAGCAGTGCTCAGGGGTTGTTCCTGGGGATATTTGGGGAATCAGGAGGTGCCAGGAAATAAACAGGGTAGGCTGCATGCAAGGTAAGCACTTTCCTCTATAGTATCTCTCTACCTCCTCCAAGGCAGTCTTATGCAAGTTTAATATTATGGTGTAAATAAGGCTGAAAGCCATGATAGAAAAACAAGCAAAAACAAAATAATCACTTATTGCTAGTAAAGTTCTAAAACAAGTGATTTCTTCAGTTTTGCTGAAAATTCCTCACCGCCCCCACATCCCCTGAGCTGCTTCTGGCTAGAAGCACCAATTAAACTCTTACTTAGAAGGGTGCCTTCTCACTCTTACAGGGAAGTCCAAGTCTCAAATTAATTGGCAGGAGGAGCAATATCTACTCTGTGCTTGTCAAAATGGACCGGCCTTAGTTGCCTCTTAAGGAGACTCCTACTCCATTTAAATACATCTGGATTTTATGGGGGGGGGTTGTGTGTAGATGCCACATAAGCAACAAATCATTTAAAAAGAACCTGATTTCAAGAGCTGGACTTGCAAACTAATTGGATTACACAGTACACACGGTGTTACTATGGATCACACAAAACCAAAAAGAAATTGCAGGGGAAGAAACAATGTGTACTGTAGAGATCTGGAAGTCCTTTTTCGTTGAACTGCATTAAAAAATGCTAGGCTGTAAGTTACTCAAAGTAACTTCGAATTTTTGTCTTTTTGTCATTTTTTTGTCATTTTTTTTGTCATTCGAATATCTTTTTGTCATTCGAATTTTTGTCTTGCTACAGATTCGAAAACTTCAGTGATGTTTCCATCTAGAAAACATGGTGAGGTAAAGTATATGCGGTTCCCGTGGAAGAAAGGAGGTGGCTGCTTGATTACTGCCCAGGAAGTCACACAGAAACCAAAGCCCACTTGAGTAATCCGCACCCGAATGTTAACATTAAAAGGAGGTACCATATTGCCGGATATCCACACAGATCTGGTCCACACCGGCTGTCCCGTTGGTCTGGGGCGACTTGATAACTTCACAAGTTGACCAGATGTTGTAGAACATGAACACCGGCACCGCAGAGAAACCAAACACGCCCAGCCAGGCCACTCCCAGTACATACGTGAGGAAGACGAACTAAGCCAAAAATGAACAGGAAGATGGGTCACTGGCCCTGGCCAGGCTCCCCTGAGGTCCTCCCTTAACATGAACATGAAACCCTGAGATGATCCCTAGAGCTCATTAGCAGCAGACCCTCCCACATGGGGGGTCTTTCTAAACATCAGGTTGAAGAACAGAGAGCGTTTCTCTCAGTCCTTCTCTGAAAGAACTTGTATTGTACAGGAGAGACAGGGCTTCTGGGAGCAATGGTTATCGCACTACCCCTCTGAAAAGGAGCTTCACTCGTTCTCTGACCCTGCAAAATTACTAAAAGCGCCAGCCGTTTTGAACCGTTATGAAAGGTTTAAAATAGCTTTGAACCTCATCTTAATGCACAGGGAATCTGATGAAATTCTCATTTCCCTCTAGTTTCTTTCGTCTTTAAAATTCACAGCAGCTCTGCAAGCAAAGCAACAGCTCAGGAAAAATTTGTGCTCACCCACACGTTGCCACAGGCGTTTTCAGGGAGAATATAATCATATTGCTTTCCTTTCTTCATACCCTTCCGCCCTGACTACCAATTTTCAGACAACTTTGAAAGGCTGCTTCAAAACCATTGTGGTATTTACATTTTCAGAATGTGCGCCCACAGAGTGTGTGGGTGTGGGTTTGGAATTCAAGTTTGACTTCTATTTTTTTAAACCCAGCTGAAGACCTTGAACATTCCAACTTTCCGTGGTACTGGCAATACCTGGATGATTCCAGGAAAGTCCAAGGTCGGGCCCAGAGTCACTGCCTCCTGTTGGTCACCCAAGAAAACTGTAGGAGCAAGTCTCCTTCCTTTTCTTTCCAAGGACATTTATATACCCTCTGGTATCAATTTCATTTCTAAACTCATGCAAAGCAGCCGCTTTCTTTTACTTACCCTTCAAAATAATACTGATTTTCTAATAACACCACAGAGCGTTGGAAAAGAGCTGCAGAGGGAAGGCCTGGTATGGACAGCCCTAGAGAGAGCCCTTCCTATAATGGCCGCCTCCAGTCCTGACAACAGGGAGGGACTTCCGGTGAACATGGCCTAGCTCTGCTAGATCCTTGTGGGAAGGTATCTAGAGCTCACTTGGCTTCCTTGCCTCATGCAACTTCTGTGCTTAGCATGTTGCTGTGGCCGTCAGCAGCGACCTGCCCTTCTGGGTGGGCATTTTCAAGGAGCCACTTATCAACAGAACCACAGTGTTGAAGGCTACAGGTGGTTGAGGGTAATGGAGCCAGACAGCCACAGTCTCCATCATAAGCTCCAGCACTCCTTACCATCCACCATTCTGTAATACTTGCTAAAAGGCAAACGAATGCAAGTTCAATTGCCAAGAAATTGGAAATTTTATTACTCAAGTGCATATCAGTTCAACCTATCCACAGGAACAGGGGAGAGATGTTTAGGGAAGATGGCGAAGCTAATGTGATGGCAATGTGGTGAGGGGTGAATAGTACGTCTTGCCTCCAAGTCCCCTAGAACATGGCAGGCAACCACTGCAGTTCTGGGGCCCCTGGAACTTATCAAAACACACCACAGCTCTGGCCAAATAGGTGGTAGTGGCTGATTGAATCCCATGCCCCGGTAGACACCTGAGCTGCCAGTGCTCTGTGCCCCTGCTTTGGTTGCTGTGCTCCCCAGTATTGTTTTTGAGTTACTTTCCCTACAAAATTTACTTTTGGGGGCAGTGCCTGAACTGAACCTAGAGGTGCTCTTTACTGCTAGGCCATATCCCTAGGCCCCCGTGAAAGTTCCCATTCCCTTGAATCACATAGAGCGTTCTTGTACTGTTCTGCACAGTAGCTTTATCAACATCTTCTTTGCAGCTGGGTGTTTCTGAGTCATCTACTCTCATGTTCGATGAGCAACACCAGAGTGCAACCAGTTTTCTCTTTGGGATTTTGGAGCTGGAGAGGTTCAAACCCAGAAAGAAGGAAATCGTTCAACAGTTACTTTCAGCTCAGAAGGTCTTTCCTTTTAAGAACATAGTTTTCTTAGGAGAACTCCAATTCCACTCAAGGGGGCCTGGGACTTGGAGGAGGCCTGCTAGCAGAGCCTAGAGGAACAGGGTAGCCTGGGGCGTGGACTAAGATCTCCCCTGGTACAGGGCCATGGGGGTCTCTCAAATTATCAGTACCCTTTGGCGGAGCTCCTTCGGGAACCCTACGACCTTCCTTGCCTTTCTCACAATTCTTTTCTGGCTCCACCACCCCCAACCCAAGGCCCCTTCTCTTCCCCAGGTCCCTTCCTTCCCCAAACCTCAAAGTGAGCTCCTTCCTGAAGGCCACTTCTGCACACACAACCCTGTCATCTCTACCCTCTACATCCACAGAAGCCTCAGCTCTCTGCACTTTCCTCCTCAGCCTGGCTCTTGGGGCCTTTCTGACCTGATCCCCTGGCATGTGGTTGCCAGATTTGACTAGCTCCAAGGCTGATGGGCCTGGTTCTTTCTAGGGCTCAAGTCTTCTCTTTGAGGCAGTGCCTTCGGCACATGCCCACTGCAGTCCTGGGGCTGTCCAGCAAATGGTCAGACTCAGCAGGAACCAAGGTCTGGTGTGTTAACTGGAAACTGGGAAGACTCATGGCTTGGACCTGAGGCCACCAGCACAGAGGCATGCCTAGCCACTGTCTTGGACTCACCATGCCACTGATGCAACGGCCGCAGGCAGTGGTTTTGAATTCTCCATGCAGCTCCTTCACAGCGCTTGTGGTGTAGAAGCCTTCAGCCAGCAGGATGATTCCGTACAGAAAGAAGAAGGATGCAATTCCATAGATGACATACTGCATCAGCTGGATCCTGTGGAAAGAAGGCATCCAACGAAATTCAAGGCATCACAGAGAGCTGTCATGTTTCCAGACCTTTAGTAGGAAGAACCTGAGGGCAATGACTTCTGTGGCTCATGGGATACTCTGGGCCAACACCAAGAGCTCTGGCGCCAGGGCCAAGCACAGCTGTAATCTTTACACACTGGCAAGTTCTCATTTGGCAGGTAAGCAGACACAGGCCTGGATGCACCCCAGTGTACTGAGTCACTGACAGAAACGGCATCTGAGCTGCTGTTAAAAGGACAATGTGTTGTTGGGTAGGCGTACAGTGTGGTCATTGTACTTTGAAGAGGCGTGAAATTGTACCCCTAAGACATCCCATCTTGTAAACCAATGTCACCACAATCAAAAATTAAAGGACAATATGTCCTTTCCACCCTATCAAAATGCCATCCTATAAGGCACCCTATCAGTTCAACAATATGTCCTTTCCACCCTATCAAAATGCCATCCTATAAGGCTGGTGCTGAGTGGCATTCTGAGAAAAGGCCTAAGCGTGCTCTAAGGGCTGCCTGAAGGAGCAACCTAGACAGATGATTTTGCTTTCACATTCTTGCTCCCAAAGTGCTAATATGGAAGGTAGCTTGAGATTCAGAAAATTTACTGACAACTAATTTTGTCCTATGAAGGCCACCAGAGGCCCAGATGACTTTGACCTTCCATTGGTATCATCTGGTACTGGGGTCTTCTTCCCAGAGATCAGGGTACTGGTGGTCTCGGGAGAAGCCCGGGAATGGAGACTTCTTAAAGCTTTCTGGGAGTTTGAGACCTACCCATCAAGGATCCCAGAATGAGAAGGCAGAGATTTTAGCTAATGCCCAGGAACTAGCCTTTTCAGGCTTGGAGTATGCCCCGGGATCTGTGCTCCTGCCAGAGATCGTAGATCTCAGGCTGTTCCTTTGGACTTGGGCTAAGTCCTCAGAAGGATTTCTACTGTTACAGGGACAGTCACTTCCATGAACAATAGATGGCACGATTCTCTGGGAGCAACTGGTCACCTTGCCACAGTCTCCACAGCTAGTGTGAAGAGTGGCCACCCAGGATGGCTGGCACCCCCTCATTCATTCCCTTTTCCTTTGCCCATGGGCCTTTTTTCTATTTGAGGACAGCGAGCTCAAGGATGGCATCAGTTTTCAGCCAGGAGAGCACATTTCAGTCTTTTCTAGAACTCAGGGTACCTGCAGTTCAAATCCACCCATTCAGGGAAGGAAATACTCACACTTCGCTCAACAGGGCATGGTCACTGGCATTGGTGGAGAAGTGTTGCTCAAGAATCGCCACAGTACCCGCAAGAGCCACATGCCCACAGCCACAGAACAAGGCGACTCCAGAGAAGCAGAGGATGGTGGCCACCAGGGAGGCATACGGGACTCCTCCCAGACACTTGATGCAGCACTCAAAGCAACCTGGACCCAAGCAGAGAAGATGCAGCTGTGAGGGGTCTGTGGGTCTCAGGACCACCATAACTCTTCTAGCAGAGAAGGCACTCCCTCCTTTCCCTCCTCCCACACATGCTTTGTGACCAAAAGCTCAACCTCCCAAAGGCCGGGGGATGGGCGAGGGGAAGTTGTTATCTCCCATTCTGTTGGCCAGGACCCGGAGGCTCCAAGTCGGACTGTGACTTGCTCAGGGTCTAGAAGGGTAACGAGTGGCAGACCAACTGATAACAACTTATGGAGGAAGTCACAGTTCTAGAGCTTTCTGATTGTGAGTTGCAGGGGCGCGGTCATCCCTACTCAAGTGACAATGAGGAGCAGCCATTCCAGTGAGGGTCAAAAGAGAGGACACCAGGGAAGGAACACTTCTGTGAAGAAAGAAAGTCAAATTCCACAAATCTCAATTTTGGTACATCTATTTCTGTAGTGACCCATGGTTTCCTCTGAGCCTTTGACCTACTGGGCAACCAGAAGTATCAAATACAGTCATTATATGTGGCTGGGTTTCAGAAACTAATAATTTTTAGAAAGGTGCTGGGTACTTTGGTCCTTTGGTACAGTTACCATGTTCCACTCAGTGGGTCCACTCAAATTCATTCACATTCATATCAGAAATTACCTTGACCTTTAACTAAAAATATCACCCCCAGCCCAGGAAGCACACTCCCTTAATTCACAGTCCCTTTCCGCCTCCTCCTCCCAGCTTCCATCTGCCCCCTTCCCCAGCATATGTTCAGAGTAAGAACCCAGATCTGGTGAGTGACATTCAAGCAGTCAAAGAGGGGGAAGGAAACAGAAGAAACAAAAAAGACAAAATGAGCATCCATGGAGTGAAATGAAGGAGAGCGAGCCACAATTCACTCTTCCTCTAGGAAGAGTCAGACTAAATCCTTTAAAGGCAGATTTTTCTTGAGATATCCATATGCAGCCCTCTCCCCCAGGATAGAGCCAGATCACATATTCAACTGGAGACATTTTTTTCCAGTGGAATAGAGCTGGTCTCGGGATAGCCTCTCCTGGCCTCCCTTTTCATTTATATCATCCAGTTGTCCAAAAGGAAAGTGGAGTCTGAACACATTCTGCTGTTAAACCACAGTCAAGAGCATTTCATTACTCCAAGATAAGCACTCTGAATTATGTTAACCGCCCCCCCCCCTGGCCAAAATTGTCTGTTCCAGTAGTCAGGCCATGGCCGGCTAGCAGGAAGCACTGGAGAAGTGTTTTCCCTCGTGATGAACAATCCCATTCTCAACTAACATTGGCTTAAACCCACCGTATGAGGCAACCACAAACTCATTGCCAGATCTCTCATCAGTCCATTGGAAAATAAAAAAAAAATCTGCTAAGGCTTCATGCAGAGTCCTCTCCCTGAAAAGGACTTACGGAACTATATAAAATGAGATACAGAATTGCGTATCGTTCACATTCACTAGCAAGCTATCAAGTGCCTTTAGGAGCTGGGATAATGCAGATCTGTGGACAAGGAGGACGGGTTCCACATTATTGGTGGTATCACCTGGAGGTTCTGGTCGGAAGCATGTTGTTTTACCAAAATTCTCTCCAGTCTCCAAACCAAGAGAAATCAAAACTCCTGGTCTCAGTGGGATCCACAACATAAAGAGCAACAGGTACATACATGCTGTGTCAGCCACACCACCACCCTTATTGTATGTCCTTGATGATTATACGACCAAGATGCATGCCCGATTCCCTGGCTAACTGTGACATATGGTCCTAAGTGGATAGAGACATGTGGCCTGGGGACTGTTTTGTCCCACATGGTAGCCACTAGAACATATGGTAGACTTATTAAAAATTCAGGCGGTGATTCAGTTCCTTGGTGGCATTGGTCAGATTCTTCATACACAACAGCCACGTGTGCTAGTGTGTTGGACCAGGCAGACAGTTTGATCACTGCAAAACACTGCTTTGGAAGATACATTTTGATTCATCACATGTTTAATTTCATATAACATAAAGCTTTGGTTTTCATTTTGAACTTCATTAATTTAGTACTTTTTGAACACTGGATGTTAAGCACCGTGCTTGGCACTGTGGATTTAAATACGAACTAAGAGGGTTTGGGGCTTTTGTTTCTGGCCTCCGAGAAGAACACTGTAATGCCACAACATCCAAGTAACAATTTCAGTACAGTGGAATGAGGGTTCAGATAGAGACTTTGAGGGCCCAGATGGGTGTGGAGAGAGAAGGAGAGAAGGAACATAATTTCTACTGGAGATGGGTCAGGAAAAGCTTTCAACAGAAAGATGTAGTATGCAAAATTCACAAACAGAATTTGTGTCTGTATATTTAGGTTATGTATCTATTAATAAACTCACATCCTTTCTCATCATTTGAAGTTGGGGTTAGATGTTACAGAAGAGCACATTTGCCCTCCAACATAGAACACATCATTCCAAATCCACAGTGGCCACTTCAAAGCAAATGCCTTTTTATCCAAAGAGCTATACCATTGTGCTGCTTTCTAAAGAAATATCAGAGCTGTTCCCTGGCTCAGGAGGATAAGTGAGCCTAGAAGAATGATGTTCCTCAGTCTCACACTCGCTGCTAGAACAAAGATAAAGTTTCCCTATAATTTATCTTTCAAGGATTTCAAGTACCCCACCCTAGGAGTCTAGTTCTATTATTACAGGCATCAACAGGGACTCTTGATTTGGGGGATCACATCAAAAGATTACATTCTCTATGCAGACACAGGTGCTCTGATGTTTATAGTTAATGGTTTTACTTGAGGCTGCAGGAACTCTGGTTTGTACAGAAGTCACCATATCAGTTATTGTTTCACATGCACAGAAAAAACTTATCTTAAGACTCCACTGGCAAATGTGAGTAAAAGCTTGTGGAATACAGCATGGGAAAAATCTGTAGGGAACATTAGCTGGATACAGAACTTCTCTGGCTTTGTTGACCAGCTATTTGCAGGATACAATTGCCTAGGTATCCAACTATCTACAGGTAGATCTGTCCCCTCTGGGCTATCAATGTCAGAAGCTATCTCTATCTACGGTGTGAAAGATAATGTCAAACACTGGGAAGTTTGGTCATACGCCATACAATATGTCAGAAAAACCAAAAATACTGTCTACTATTAGTGAAAAAAAAGATCTGAATGTGATTACAACCAATGAAATCAATACTGTTAATACCCTTGCATAAACAGTACTTATGACTTAACATACATGTGGTATGCATGTGATAGAGGTGGCAGTGGAGTTCAGGTTGGCCTAATGGCATGTGGCCTGTGCAGTTTCATGGACCTATACTTGTTTTAAAACTCTGCAATTGACATGTTGAAGTTCTTGATACTTTTTAAATAAGGATGTCTGAATTTGATTTTCCAATGGGCCAGGAAATGATGGAACCAGCCTTGACTGTATTTATATGGAAGGAGCTCTTTATATACACATAGAAACATTTTTGTCTCATTTTAGTATTAGAGAGAAATACAGCCTAGAAAGACAGACATTGCCTTGCCTAACATATCCCCCTAAGTACGGCAACCATCTAATGCTATATGAAGGGACAAGTAATGTTCTACATTGAATGACTTTTTCATTCTTTTTTTTTTTGCTTTTTGGGCCACACCCGGTGATGCTCAGGGGTTACTCCTGGCTCATGCAGTCAGGAATTGCTCCTGGCAGTGTTCAGGGGACCATATGGGATGCTGGGAATCGAACCCGTGTCGGCCATGTTGGCTGCATGCAAGGCAAAGGCCCTACCTGCTGTGCTATTGCTCCAGCCCCGACTTTTTCATTCTGAAACAGAGTAGCAATTACTCACTATGGTATCCATCACATGGTCAAAGCTTAATTCTCCTAAGTCAGCAAACTGCTCCTAGACAAAGGTTTTATAAAGAGTGTTCTATTGGAACACAGTTATACCTGTTCATTTACAAATTGCATGGTTGATTTTTGCCCTACAATCAGAGTTAAAGTCCAAAATATTATGCACTATTTACACAAAAGTTTGCTGAATCGTGGGAAAAAACCTGGACAAAATACATAAAAGAGTGGTCTTCAAGTTACTAGATATCAGACTATAATGAACCATCCATGGCTAATGAGTCAATTATTAAAATATGTACTCATCAGAATCAAAGGACCAGTATTGTTCCATAGCTCATTTCAAAGAAGCAGTTCACAAATACTCATAGGAAGATTGCTTTCCTCTTCCTCAAACAAGAGAAAAGTTTCCCGAGTACCCTATTTTATGACCATCTCAGTATTGCAGTGTCAGAGAGGACTAGTTTAATGGAAGCCATCAGTTACTCAGTGAGACAGCTATAGGTGAGGATGACGGCATTAAGAGGAGGGAACAGCTGTTCCCTCATTGCATTTCATTCATTAGTGAACAATCAATGCTCACAAGTGTGTCTCGGAGGCCCTATGCTTTGAGATGGGCACTGGGGACTTGACTAAGAGCTACAATCAGCTAAGAGAAGCACTGTCTACATGGTAATGGAGTTTACAGTCTACAGGAAAAATGGGCAAGAACAGATGGTTTCAGAATTAGAGTTCATTCTGTAAAGGGAGAGAAGATGGGTTCTATAGCATGCTCTTAATGGCAGCAACAAAAACCCTGTGGGAAGAGCAGGGTGCTTTCCTGAGCCTGGAAGAAACTAGAAAAGAAAGAACAGTTGGGAAGAGAATGTGGAGAGGCCAGGAAGGCAGGAAGGATCCCTCAGAGGTAGAGCTCTCAGAACTTCCTCAGCTGCCTGAAGGAATCTGGACTTTATCCTCAGAACTATGTGAAACCAGTGAACATTTATTTTCTGGAGGTCTTTGGACCACACCTCTCAGTGCAGAGGGGCTACTCCCAGGCTGTGCTCGGGGACCATGTGGTGCCAGGGATCAAACCAGGGTCAGTCATACACAAAGTAAGCATGCATTAATTCCTTTACTGCCTTGCTGTTCCCCCCCCCCCCCCCCACTGAGCATTTTAAACCACAA